CGATCTCACAAAACGAGCGAAGCCTGAGGGAGGTGATCTCAGATCAAGCCGAGCGTCCGAGGGCGCCGATCCGCCGTCCGAGGGTCCGAGGGCGTCGGCCGAGGGGGCGGCGCCCTCGTCCCGAGGGCGCCGAGGGCGCCGAGGGCGCCACTGACCCCCCTCAACGTGGAAGCTGTAACTTGTTGTACTTCAAGTTGACATTCAACAACAGCGGTCGGGGCTGCCTTCCACGCGATGGACGCCGCTAAAGTCGAGCAAGCCATGGAGGAAACCGGCCTCCAGCTCCAGGTCAAGTGCCACGAGTCCTGGGACAAGTTCTGCGACGTCGTCGAAGCCAAGGGCACGTACGGCCCGAAAGCGGCGGAGTTCCTGCGGCGCATCGTCGTCGACGCGCCCGTCGTCCTCGGCTTCGCGTTCGTCTGCTGCGCCGTCTTTTTCGTCAACGTGGTCGCGCCGGGCACGAACGTCTTCGTCGCGTGCCCGCCGTTCCGCATGGCGAGCCCGCTGAACCCGCTGACCTACCTGCGGCTGCTGACGCACACCGTCGGCCACACCGGCTACGACCACCTCAAGGGCAACATGGTGAACCTGCTCCTCGTCGGGCCGGCGTCGGAGAAGGAGTTCGGCTCCATGAACCTGCTCAAAATCTTCCTCTACGTCGCCGTGAGCTCGGCCGTCGCGCACATGGCCCTCGGCCCCGCGAACGGCTACCAGCTCGGCGCGTCGGGCGTCGTCTTCGCGTTGATCCTGCTCAACAGTTTACTCTCCGCCCACAGCGGCGTCGTGCCGCTGACCTTCCTCCTCACCGCGGGCCTCTGGGTCTCCGACGAGGTCTTCCGCTTCTTCTTCGCGCGGGACCAGGTCTCGCACGTGGCCCACCTCTCGGGCGCGGTCGTCGGCACGCTCGCGGGCTACGCCATCCACGCGGACCGCGCCAAGCTGCGGGCCGCCCAGGTCGCGAAGTCGTGGCTCGCGCGCGCGCGCGCGAAGCGGCCGCGGTTCAAGCTGTGGTAACTGGCCGCTACAGCCCCGTGGCGATCATGGCGAGCCAGGCCCGCGCGGCGAAGTCCGGCACGCCCGGGTGGGCGAAGTGGACGTCGACGCGCGCGCACGCCTGGGGCGTCGCGCGCGGGTAGCTCTGCGGCGGCTCCGGCATGCCGCGGCGCGCGAAGGCGCGCCTGAGCTGGGGCACGAGCGCGCTCTGGTAGATGCCGTCGACGGACTCGACCGCGGCGCCGAGGTAGTCGTCGTGGCGCGGGTCGAGGCGGGGGACCTTGGACACGACCTCGTCGCGCCGCGCGTAGGAGAGGAGCACGTCGACCTCGTCGAGCGGGATGCCGCACGGCGCGTCGACGGCCCTGTCGCGCACGGCCCCGAAGTGGTACTTGTAGCACAGCCGCAGCGTCGCGTCGGGGCCCGCGAACTCGTAGAAGCCGCCGTCGGCCGTGCACGTCGCCGGCCGCTGGAAGGGCGGCCGCGCGCCGCCGTGGAGCGCCTTCGGGTACCACGCCGGCACGTCGTCGCGCGCGAAGCCCGTGCAGTGGCCCGGCCGGCCCGAGGCGTCGGGCTGGCGCACGTCGGCGATGGGCCGCCAGTCGGGCTCCTCGCCGGGGTCCTCGAGCCGCGTGCGCACCGCGCCGCCCGTGAGCTTCGATTCCGCGGCGCAGCCGACGGCGATGAAGGGCTGGCCCATGAAGCTCAGCCCCAGAAACACGACGGTGACGGGGTCGCCGCGCGGCCGCCGCCGCTCCGCGCGCCGCGCGTAGGCCGCGGCGACGGCCGCCGGGTCGCTCACGTCGGGCATGGCGCAGCGGCCCGCGGCCTCGCTCAGCAGCGTCCAGTGCCAGCGCCAGATCGGCGGCCGCTTCTCGCAGGCCGGGGCGACGTGGTAGCGCGCGCGCAGGATCCAGCAGTCGTAGCCGTAGGGCGCCGCGGCGTCGTCGCCGCGGTAGAGGAAGACGCCCTCCTCGGCGATCGCGCCCTTCGTGACGTTGCACGTCGGCAGGTCCGCTCGCCGCCGCGCGGCGAGCGCGTCGACCTCGGAGGCGCCCGGCGCGACGGCGCGCCCCTCGAGGAGCTTGGCGAGCACGGCGCTCGCGCGCGCGCCGACGTGCGACGCGCCCTCGTCGGCGACGAATTTCACGGCCTCGTCGATCGCCGCGCGGCCGGCGGACGCGTGGCTCAGGTTGTACATTTGCTCGATGGCGAGCAGCTCGGCCGACGGCGCGAGCACCGGCGGCGGCTTCTTGCGCTTCCCGGGGTTCGGCCGCCGCTTGGCCGCGCCGGGCTGGGGCGGCGGCCGCCCGAAGGCGTCGGCCTCGGCGGGGCCCGGCCGCCCGGCGCCGCGCTTCTTCCTCTGGCCGCCCGCGCTCCGCTTCGGCGGCGCGGGCTCGCCGAGGAGCGCCAGCGCGCACAGCAGCGCGGCGACGCGCCTCATCGTCGGGCTGCCTCCATTATCTAAGTTTAAAAATTCAAACCCGTTATTGAACGCTTCTTGAACCAGCTTCCTAAAATCAAGTGATGGAGGCCGGCCTTCCCGCCTTCGACGGCTCTGAACAAGCAGCCCAAAATCAAGTGATGGAGGCCCGCCTTCGCTCCTTCGAGCGGCTCAAGGCCCGCGACGAGGGCTTCAGGGCCTTTCTTCGCAGCCGTCGCGCGCAGAAGGCCGCCGAGCCCGCGGCGCCCGCCGTCGAGGAGGACACGAAAGAGGCGACGGAGGTGCTGGACCCCGACATGGTCGCCTGCGTGGCCGACGCGCAGCGGCGCCGGCGGCTCGCCGCCGTGCGCGTCCGCGCCGCGCCGCCGCCGTCCGCGGACGCGCCCGCGGACTCGCGGCGGAGCGTCGCCGTCGAGCAGCTCGGCCACGTCGCGCTCTCCTACGTCGGCTGGTCGACGCTGGGCCGCCTCCGCGTCGCCGGCGCGTTGGCGGTCTTCGGCGAGGCCGCGGCGCGCGAGCTGCGGCGGCGGACGTCGACGTACGACTTCGAAGCCCGCGGCTGGAGCCGGGAGGGCTGGGAGGGCTGGGGCTGGGGGCGCCTCGCTCTCGAGGCGTCGCGCCGCGACCGCTACGCGCGGGCGTTGCGATTGCGAGTAGATTCCAGTGGCGCGGACCAGCGCATCGAGACGAACGCGCTCTGCAACTGCGCCAAGGCGGGCGACGTCGCCGGCGTGCGCGACTGCCTCGAGGGCGACGTACCTCACGCTCGCCGCGGAGCGCGACCGCGTCCGCGTCGTCCACCTGCTCTGCCTCCTCGGCGGCCACGCGCCCGAGGACGGCGCGGTCGCGCGCGACGACGCGCTCGCCGCCGCGGCGAACCGGGGCCACGCGGGCGTCGTCGAGTACCTCGCGCTCGCCGGCGGCTGCTCGCTCGGGACGATGCGGCACATGACGCGGAGCCCGCTGCGCGTCGCGCGCCTCTTCGGCCACGCGGCCCTCGAGCGGAGCATGGTCCGCCTCAGTGCGTGCGGCGTGGACGCGCCGGACGTCGGGCCCGAGGGGGACCTGGCGAAGATCGCGAAGCGCCTCGAAGACGCGAAGAAGCCGAAGGTGAGCATCGGGTTTTAAGGCGCGTGGGACGCGTTCGCGGGCCGGGGCGGCGCGTAGCGCGAGTCGCGGAACTGGGCGTCGGTCTGGAAGATGGACACCTCGTTCACGGCGAAGTGGAGGTGCGCGAAGTAGTCGTCGTTGTCGAACTGGGACTCGAGGAACGCCTCGCACGTCGCCGCGCGGTCCGCGCAGGTCGACGCGCCCCAGACGTTGCCCGCCCAGTCGCCGCAGAACGCCAGGTTGAAGATGATCTTCTGGTTTTTGAAGGCGTCGCCGCAGCCCGTGTCGTCGGCCAGGGAGAAGTGGGCCACGGGCAGGCGCCAGTCCGCCGTGTCGATTTCGTCGCGCGAGAAGTCGGGCAGCTCCGGAACCAGACCTTGATGGCCTGCGCCCCGCCCCGGGGCGCAAACTCGGTCGCGTAGACGCCGCCGCCGAGGTCGTTGAAGCCCGCGCCCATGCCGCCCTCGGCGCCGACGATGCCGCAGCCCGTGCCGGCGTTGCAGTCGCCGTTCCACGTCTCGTTGCCCGCGTAGGGCGGCGCCGCGTAGGCGCTCTTGAACTTGCGGCTGCAGCCCGGCCCCGCGTGGAGCGTCGTCGCGGAGACCCGGCTCAGGTGGACGCCCTCGAGGACGTCGATCTCGCCGCCCGCCGGCCACGCGGCGGGCGTGCCCGCGGTGGCCGGATCCGTCTGGTTGCACATCCAGAACGCGGGCCACGCGCCGCAGCCCACGGGCATGGCCTCGATGTCGAGGACCGTGAGGCCGCCGGCGATGCTGTGCCGGCCCTCGATGCGCACGGACGGCAGCCGCGCGGACGCGGTCTTCGGTCGTCCCGCGCCCATGAAGAAGGTGCCGTCGTCCGCGACGTCGACGAGGCCCGCCGCCATGGCGTCGCCGCGGTCAAGGTAGTCGACCCAGCCGTGCGTCGGGTCGTCGGCGGAAAAGAAGTCGAAGTGTTCCAGGAAGTCCGCGCCGCGGTAGCGCGCGCGGATCGAGAGCGAGGCGGAGGCCGTGTGGAGTAGGGCGATGGCGAGGAGCGTAGTGGCGGCCATGTTGGTGCGTGCGTGTCGCTCACGGTGGAGGAGGTTGCTTTCGAATTGCTACCATCCGAACACCATCCGAAGCTGCCCGCCTCGACCAATCAGGATCGCCGTCAATTTCTTCTTCAGGGTCGGCTCGGGCAGCCGTTCATTCCAGTCCGCCACGACTGGAGCAGCGGCATGGACGAGGACCAGGGCCCCGAGGAGGTGCCGCGGAGCCCGACCTCGACCATGGAGCGCGTGGACTTGACGGGCAGCAAGGGCTGCATCTGCGCCGATGAGGGCCCCGAAGAAGTGCCCTCGTCGAAACCCCGGCGCCCCAGCGCGGCGGACGCGGACCCCGAAGAGGACACCCCCGGGAAGGCGGTCGCGTGGTACGACAACGACGGGTCCCAGTCCTTCACGGAGCGCACCCGGCGCGAGAGCGGCGTCGTCTGGAGCCGCTCCGTCTCGGACATCGCCGGCGACGAGGACGAGGACGAGCCGGAGACGCTGCCCCGGCCCGGCGCGGGGGACGAGGCCGCGGCGCCGGCGCGGAAGCCGCCGAAGCGGAGCGCCTCGATCCTCGCGCCGCACGACTTCGAGCCGACCTACTTTTACCTGCCGGACTACTGCGACAACTGCGGCGGCGTCATCATCGGCAACGGCTTCCGGTGCCGCGGCGCGTGCGGCTTCAAGATCCACCGGGGCCTCGGCAAGGGCACGGAGAACTGCCACGCGGACGTCCTCCTGACGCTCTGCGAGAAGCGCGAGGGCCACGAACACTCGTGGGACACGGGCGACCTCGCGAAGCAGATCGCGCGCAACACGCACCAGGCCGTCAAGCGCGTCGCCCCGCGTCCCGTTTCTCTCCCGCGCCGCGACCCGCCGCGTTTCCCAGGGACACGGTCGTCGCCGCGACCATCGACGAGCAGAAGGACTGGGGCAAGTTCGACCGGCTCGCGGCCTGGGCCGAGTTCGTCCGCGAGAACTGGCAGGACGACCGCGTCGTCGTCCTCGTCGCGCAGGCCGAGCTCGCGCTCACGTTCGTCGCGTACGCCCTCGGCTACCTGCTCGTGCGCGCGCTGCGCGTCACGCGGTCGCACAAGGCGTCCGTCTACCTCGACCTCGCCGAGTTCTCCGGCGCCATCGCGGCGCTCGCGTTCCTCGCCATCTGCGCGCTGCTCCTCTTCGCCGTCGAGTTCGCCGCGGGTCTGGGGCTGCGCTACAGTGCCTGGGTCCACGTCTTCGTCGACGAGATGATCCACGTCAAGCTCGTCGACATCGGCGTCGACGTCGCCGCGTCGTGCCGCGAGGTCCGCAAGGCGGCGAAGAAGCTCGCGTCCGGCTCCGCGCTCGGCGCGGCCGTCGCCGGCGCGCACTACCTCTACGTCCTCAACAAGATCGCCCTCTAAGGGACGTTGGTTCTTAGGCCGGCGCCTCTCGTAGGCGCCCGGGGGTCGCGGCGGCGGGCTTCGCGCGCGCGCGTCGCTCGGCGGGCTTAGGCGAACTTGCAGTAGGCGCCGGCGGCCGTGAGCGAGAGCATGAGGAGCTCGGGCACGTAGTGCATCGGGTACTTGACCTTCATCTTCTCCTGGAAGAGGCCGAACTTCGCGTTCCACGGGTAGAGGCAGCCGCACGCGAACGACACGGCGAAGGCGACCGTGAGCGCCTCCTCCGTCGGGAGCTTGGTCATGCAGTAGACCATCGCGAGGTAGCCGCAGGAACCGCCGCGGAGGAAGAACTCCGCGGTCGGCGTGAGCGGCGCCGCGAAGTGGTCGTCGTTGAGCTTCTTGGGCAGGAACATCATCTGGACGCTGTACATGAGCATCGAGCCCATGAAGACTTTGAGGTACATGTCCGGAGAGATCATCGTGCGACTGCGACGCGGGGAGACGGGGTGAGGCGCGCGGCGCGATGCCGGCGCGATAATCGCGGCGGGGGGCCGTTCGCCGCCGCGCCTCGCGCGGCCGGCCCGGGTCACCGGGCCGCGGCGCCCCGACGCGACGGCGACGCCCTCCGAGCGCGAGCGCCCGCCGCCCCGAGCGACGATGAGGCGAACGCGTGCGACGCGCCGCTTCGGCGGGTCACGGAAGCGAGCGAAGGGAGAAGGCGTCCGAGGCGACGAACGTTCGCAGACCGGTCGGAGGCGGCTCGTTGGGTGCCGAGGAACGGGACGGGAGTGTTTTTGCGCATGGGCGGCGCGCGGCGACGCACCGGGTGATGAGGGCGGTGAGTTTTTTCTGCGAATCCTTCCACGGACTTCCACGGGACCCACCACGGACTTCGGCGCGCCCTCGCTTCGCTCCGGACGCTTCGGCGCGCCCTCGCTTCGCTCAGGGCGCTCTCGCGGAACCCGCGGCGCCGTCGCCGGGGGTTTTTGGGACACGGAGGCGGGTGCCACGGGACCCGTCCGCGGCCCGGGCGCTCGGTCCAGGCTGGCAGTGGCTGTGGCCGGCGCTCGGACGCGAGACGCGAGCCCCCGACGTCTGCACACAGCCCTCTGCACGAAAGCGCCTTAGAGCGCGAGGCTCCCCCCGTCGTCGTCCGCGCCCGAGGCCCGGAGCTCCTTGGACCGGGCGATGGCGAGCTTGATGGCGAGCTTGAGGTCCGCCGGGGGCTTGACCTTGGCGAGCTCGCGCGGGTTCGCGGCGTCGAAGGGCCGGACGCGGCTCTCGGGCTCGACCATGTCGAACTGGGTCTCCCCAAAGTAGAGGACCGTGCACTTGCGCGCGTGGGCGCCGTCGCCGCCCGCGCCCGGCGGGAACGCGTCCATGATCTCGTCGACGGTCTGGAGGCAGACCTCGCCGGGCCACCACGGGTACGCGCCCGACTTGGCCCAGACGAGCATGCCGAGCTTCTGGCAGGACACGCCCCCCGCCGCCGCGTCGTCGCCGCCGTCGCCGTCGCCGGCGGGCGGCGCCCCCACGGCCGCGTCGCCCGTCGCGAGGCGGACCGCGTGGTCCGCGAGGCGGATCCACTCGGACGTGCCGTCGTCGTAGTCGCACCAGTGCTTGTCGTCGCGGTCGCGGTACTTGGCGAGGACGCCCCGGAACCACTCGTCCTCGCCGTCCCAGTAGACCTCGACGGCCCGGCCGAGCGCGGCCTCCCGGGCGGGGACCGCGCCGCCGGCGACGTCCGCGGCCGCGGCCGCGGGCGCGCGCGACCGCTCGGCGCGCCAGGCCGCCGCCGCGGCGCGCGCGTCGGGCCCGCCGGGTGCCGACGAGGAAGTCGCGAGGACCGCGGCCCACTTGGTCTCGAAGGCGGACGCGAAGACCTGCGCGCAGTGGAGGATCGTCTCGAGGTCCGGGCCGGATCGCCGCGCGGTGCCGCCGTCGGCGCGCCAGGACGGCGGCGGCGTCTTGGCGCAGAGGGCGAGGACCGTGGCGTGGACGGCGCGCACGTCCGCGGCGAAGTGGCCCGCGTCGACGTACGCGCGGCGCGCGAGGCGGTCGCGGCACCGCTGGAGCGTCGACCCGCCGGGCAGGTCGCGGCACTTGGCGACGTGGCGCGGCAGGAGCGTGCGCAGGTGCGGGTCCATGTGGAGCAGGGGCTCGGCGACGTCGAGGGACACGAGCCAGGAGAGCACGGCGTCGCAGGTAGCGGGGCCGACGCCCGCGGCCGACGGCGCGGCCCGCGCGGCGTCGACCGCGCGCCACTTGGCCTTGCGGGGGCCCGACGCGTCGAGCCACTGGAGGCTCAGGTCGCCGTCGAAGAGGGCGAGGTGCCGGTGGCTCGCGCCGCGCTTCGCCTGCGCGATGACCGACGCCGCCTCGTAGCCGCCGCCGCCCCGGACCTCGAGCCGCGCGGGCAGCGCGCCGAACGTGGCCTTGGCCGCGGCCTGGAGCAGGGCCATGCGCGCCAGGGCCTCGTCCGCCGGCGCGTCGGCCTCGCGCGCCTCCTTGGCCTCGCGCGCCTTCTTCGCCTTCTCCTCCTTCGCCTTCCGCTTCGCCTCCTCGGCCGCGGCCTCGGCCTCGGCCCGGCGCTTGGCCTCGGCGGCCTCGGCCTCGGCTTTGGCCTTGGCCTGGCGCTTGGCCTCGGCGGCCTTGGCCTCGGCTTCCGCCTTCGCCTTCGCCCTCGCTTCCGCCTTGGCCTTGGCCTCGGCCTTCTTCTTCGCGTCCGCGGCGGCCTTGACCGCGGGGTCGACCTTCTTCTTCTTGACGAACTTGGAGGGAGGGGGGCCCGCCGAGAGCATCTCGACCTCCCGGTGGCCGCGCTTCTTCGAGGGCGACGGTTCCGGCGCTTCCGCCGCCGCGGGCGCCGGCGCCGGCGCGGGCGCCTTGGGCGCGGGGCTGTCCGGCAGGGGCGCGACGTCGCGCGGCGGCGACGCGTCGAGCCCCAGGGCCGCGCGCGCGCGGCGGAACGCGCGGTCGTCCGCCGCCGCGCCGACGTAGTCGTCCAGCACGTCGCAGATCGGCGCGTCGAGGCGCTCGAAGTCGACCGTGAACTCGTCGTTGGGCCGCATGGGCGCGTCGCCGAAGATGAGCACGAGCACGCGCCGCAGGCCCTCGGCGTTGAGCTCCGTGACGCGCGCGGCGAGCTGCTGCCGCTTGTCGTAGCCCCAGGGCCCGCCGGCGTCGCTGCTCGAGACGACGGACATTTTTTACGGCGCGTGGTTTAGGGGTTTCAGGAGAGTGGTCTAGAGGTGATTTATGGGGGTTGTTGTGTCGCACGGCGCGCGGGCCCGTGGAGCGCGCCGCTGTTCGACGGCGCCGACGGCCGTCGGCGTCTCGGTCCCGCAATTCTCGCCTCAACACAGCGTCGCGCCAAACCTTGCCGCCCATCTTGCCGCAAGCCGCGCGGCGCATCTCAGCTGCGGCGCCTTCGTGCTGGCCGCCTGAAGAAGGAGCCGCCTCTGACGGCCCGGGAAGCCCAAGGATGCTCAACCTGAGCAAGGCCCTCTCCTCCGCGACGGCGCGGCGGACGTCGTCGTCCCGCTGGGCCCGCGCCTTCTCCGAGACGTCGGAGTCGGTCAAGGCCGCCGCCCCCAGCGCCGTGGCGTCGTCGTCGGACGCGCCCGCGGCGTCCTTCGACACGATGACGCCCCGGGCGATCGTCGACGAGCTGGACAAGCACATCGTCGGCCAGAGCGCGGCGAAGCGTGCGGCGACCGCGTCCCCCTTCTGCGCGCGCGCGCGCGGCGCTCGACATTGAACGCTTAGGCGCGGTCGCGATCGCGCTGCGGAATCGGTGGCGGCGGCAGCTCCTCGGCGAGGAGCTCAAGGCGGAGATCGTGCCGAAGAACATCCTCATGATCGGCCCCACGGGCTGCGGCAAGACGGAGATCGCGCGGCGCCTGTCCAAACTCGCGCAGGCGCCGTTCATCAAGGTCGAGGCGACGAAATTCACGGAGGTGGGCTTCCACGGCCGCGACGTGGACCAGATCATCCGCGACCTCGTCGAGGCGTCCATCACGCTGACGCGCAAGAAGAAGGCCGAGCAGTTCCGCGAGGAGGCGCGGCGCCTCGTCGAGGGCCGCATCCTCGACACGCTCACGGGGCTCAACGCGGCGCAGGCGACGCAGTCGTCCTTCCGCGAGATGCTGCGCAAGGGCGTGCTCGACGACCGCCAGATCGACGTGGACCTGCCGGCGGCGCAGCCGGGCGCGCAGCCGCCCGGCGGCGTCATCCAGCTCGACCAGAACAACCCCATCTCGATCAACGACTTCCTCGGCCGGTTCAACGCGCTCGCGCAGCAGGGCAAGGGCCGATCCGAGCGCAAGCGCATGTCCATCCGCGAGGCGCGGCCCCTCATCGAGGAGCAGGAGCTCGACAAGCTCCTCGAGGGCGTCGACATCCACAAGGAGGCCGTCGCGGCCGTCGAGGAGAGCGGCATCGTCTTCATCGACGAGATCGACAAGATCGTCAACGCGTCCGACTACCGCGGCGCGGACGCGTCGGCCGAGGGCGTGCAGCGCGATTTGCTGCCCTTGATCGAGGGCTCGACGATCTCGACGAAGTACGGCAACGTCGACACGGACTACATCCTCTTCATCGCGTCCGGCGCGTTCCACCAGGCGAAGCCGAGCGATTTGCTCGCGGAGCTCCAGGGCCGGCTGCCCATCCGTGTGGAGCTGGACGCTTTGACGGAGGCGGACATGCACCGCATCCTCACGGAGCCGGAGACGAATTTGATCGCCCAGCAGCGCGCGCTCTTAGCGACGGAGAACGTCATGCTCGAGTTCACGGACTGCGCGATCCGCGAGATCGCGCGCGTCGCGTCGCTCGCGAACCGCACCATCGAGAACATCGGCGCGCGGCGCCTCCACACGTGCATCGAGCGCATCATCGACGACATCTCCTTCAACGCCTGCGACTACAAGCCCGGCGACCTCGTCACCGTGGACAAGGCCTACGTCGAGGGCAAGGTCGACGACCTCCTCATCCAGTCGGACCTGTCCAAGTACATCCTCTAGGGCCGCGTCCCCGCTAAAACTACTACGCCGTCGGACGCCCGTTAGCCTACTTGAAGTCGACGGTCTTCTTCGCCTCGTCCGTCAGCTTCTCGACGAGGCCCATGAAGCCCGTGAGCGGGTTCTTGGGCTTGTACTTGGCGAGCAGCCGGTCGACGTCGTCGGACATGCCCACGAAGTCCGTCTCCTTCTTGCAGAGCGCGAAGTCGTCGAAGCCGAGGGAGAAGGCCATCTCGAGCGCGTCGAGCGCGGCGACGGTCTCGCCGATCTTCGCCTTGCAGCACGCGATGTTGTAGTGCGCGGTCTGCTGCTGGAGCACGGACGGGAACTCGACGCGCTCGAGGTCGCGGAGCACGGGCGCGCCGCCGACGGGCGACGCCTTGGCGCTCACGCGGCGCACGTCGTAGTCGTCGCCCGGCAGCTTGAGCGCCTGCTCGAAGAGGTCCGCCGCCTTGGCGTACTCGCCGATGGTGCACTGCTCGAGGGCCCAGGCCTCGGCCTCGACGTAGGACGTCGGCTGCGGCGCGGGCGGCGGCGGCGGCTTCGGCTTCGCCGCGGGCGGCGGCGGTGGGGCCTCGGCGACGGGCGGCGGCGGCGGCGGCGGCGGCGCGGGCGGCGCGGGCGGCGGCGGCGGCGGCTTCGCGGCGCCCTCCTCGGCGAATCGTCGCACGCTTCGGAGCTGCGACGCCTGCGGCGCCACGAGCGCGCTAGCGACGGAGAATAGGGCCACAAATCGCAGGATTTGACAGCTCATAATGAGGCCAGCTCGCTCAACGCCGGCTTCTTGAGCTCATGAGGCAATTCTCAGAAGCGATGATGAGTGCTCGCCTCGGACGCCCATTCGCGCGGCATTTCCGCCGCGCGCGCGCGCTCTCGAGCCATGCGGCGCCCGCACTGGTCGTCGCTGCGCGCCACCACACCAAACACGCGAACTACGCGGCCGTCGCCGCCGCGGCGGCCGCCGCCGCGGGCGTCACGACCACGGCCCTCTGCGAGTCGCACCCCGAGACCTTCAGCGGCCAGTGGTGCGCGTCGGTGACGGAGTTCGGCGCCGACGGCGCGGTGACGACGACGAACGTGAACAAGTACGCCGCGCACCTCGCCAAGGAGGGCTGCGCGGGCGTCTTCGTCAACGGGACGTCGGGCGAGTCGATGTCGCTGAGCGTCGAGGAGCGCGAGCGGCTCGCGGCGGCCTGGAAGCGCGCCGGCGACCTGCACGGCCTGAAGATCGTCGTCCACGTCGGCTGCGACTCGACGGTCGACGCGGCGCGGCTCGCGGCGCACGCGGAGCGGCTGGGGTGCGCGGGCGTCTCCGCGATGGCGCCGCGCTTCTTCAAGTGCGGCGGCGCGGCCCAGCTCGCGGAGTACTGCGCGTTTATCGCGGGCGCCGCGCCGCGCACGCCCTTCCTCTACTACCACTTCCCCATGGCCACGGGCGTGGCGACGAAGCCGTCGGAGTTCTTCGCGGCGGCGAAGCCGCTCATCCCGACGCTCGCGGGCATGAAGTTCAGCGACGGCAACATGTGGGAGTACGGCGACTGCTGCGACGCCGATCCGTCGGGCGCCCTCGCCTTCATGCCGGGCTTCGAGGCCCAGACGCTCGCGTACCTGCCGTACCACCCGCGCGAGACGTTCGGCGCGATCTCGCTGTCCTTCAGCGTGCTCGCGCCCCTCCACGCGCGCATCGCCGACAAGTTCTACGGCGGCGACGCCGCGGACGCCCACCACCTCCAGGCGGCGAGCCGCAAGTTCTTCCGCGCGGTGACGCCCTACGGCTGGACCCAGTCCGTCAAGCTCGCGCTCGCGGAGAAGGGCATCTTCGACTCGCCGGCCTGCCGCGCGCCGTCGAAGAACCTCACGGCGCAGCAGCAGGCCGAGCTCAAGGCCATCTTCGCGAACCTCGCCGCCGAGGACCCGCGGAGCTTCGGCGGGCTCCTGCCCTGAGGGCGGCGACCCCCGGCGGCGATGGTAAACACGAACCTCGGAGATGGATACGGCGCGCAACCCTAGCGGCCCGAGGCTGGGCTGCCTTCGAGCGGCGCAACGACGATGAAGCCCGGCATCCGCAAGACGATGGCGCCGAAGCCGGCGGCCCGCGGCGGCGCCGGCGCGCGCGGCAAGGCCGCGGCGAGCGGCGCCAAGGGCCGGGGCGCCGGCGCCGGCGCGAGCGGCAGCGGCGGCGGCGACGCCGGGCGCATGGTCCAGGTGCGCGTCATCGAGGACGGCTTCGACCTGACGCCGCTGCCCCTGCTATTGAGCACGCGGGCCGAGACGCCGTCGCTCGCCGTCGCCCAGGCCGAGGAGCTGGCGAGCAGCGTCGACTCGCCGAGCGAGGGCAGCGAGGCGTCCGAGGGCGACCCGGAGGCGTCGCTCGAGGACAGCGAGGACGAGTTCGAGGACGAGAACGCCAAGCCGGAGAACGTGCCCGTCGTCATGCAGCTCCACGAGTCGGCCACGGAGACGCTGCTCCACATCAGCGGCTTCTGCGTCGCCACGGACTTCTCGGGCAAGGCCAAGGTCGAGGAGCGGAACGCGGCCTACGACGCGATGGTCGCGGGCCGCGCGTCGAGCGACCGCTACGTCATCCGCCACGCCCAGACCCTGAACCACGCCCAGAAGGACGCCGAGGTCATGGTGCAGCCGCCGACGACGACGTCCGTCGGCTGCGAGTCGAGCGTCTGGGACATCTACGACGCGAACGAGGCGCAGTCGCGCGCGTTGGCGGACCAGGCCGAGGAGGACGAGACCGTGGGCGCGGCGGGCGCGTCGTCGGGCCGCGGCAAGAAGAGCGGCGGCACGCAGCTGTCGTCGCTCATCAACGCGGAGATGACGAAGACCGTGTCCGTCGCGCTCGCGGCGCCCGACTTCCTCCTCGACGTCTCCGAGGCCAGGGTCGCCAAGCCGCCGCCGAAGCCCCTGACGCTCTTCGCCAAGGACAAGGCCGCGGCGGCCGCGCCGCCGCCGCCGCCGCCGCCGCCGCCGAAGCACCTGAGCGGCGAGGAGCAGGTGCTTTTGGCGCAGCACGCGGTCAAGGTGCTCGAGTCGCGCGAGCTCGCGGCGTCGCTCGCGACGATGGAGCGCTGCGTGCAGCAGAACCTGTTCCACCACAAGCAGCTCCAGTACCGGGACCACCTGAGCGCGACGGAGGGCGCCGGCGGCGCGGCCCTCGTCGAGGAGGCGCTCGAGGAGGCCGAGGAGGAGGAGGAGAACGCCGCGCTCTTCGGCGAGGAGCCCGAGCCCGCGGAGGCCGCGGGCGAGGAGGGCGGCGAGGGCGAGGCCGTCGCCGCGGAGCCGGCGGAGGCGGCCAAGGCCGAGGAGGTCGTCGAGGGCGACCACGACGAGGGCGCGCCGGGCGCGTCGCTCGAGATGCTCTGGGCGTGGAACGCGCCGATGACGCGCGGCCGCTGCGTGACGGCCATGTCCTGGAACACGGTCAACGAGGACGTGCTCGCCGTGGGCTACGGCGGCTTCTCCTACGCGGCGCCCAAGGGCGGCCTCGTGCTGTTCTGGTCGTTGCGGAACCCCGTCTACCCCGAGCGCGTGCTCTCGCTCCCGTCGGGCTGCACGGCCGTCGACTTCTCGAAGAACACGCCCCACCTCCTCGCCGTGGGCATGCACGACGGCACGGTGGCCATCTTCAACGTGCGCCGCGAGGAGCAGGGCGTGCTCGCGACGCCCGTGCTCGACAGCGAGCACACGCCGGGCAAGCACATGGACCCCGTCTGGCAGGTCCAGTGGGTCGACAAGGGCACGGAGCGCGGCGAGAGCCTCGTGTCCATCTCCACGGACGGCCGCGTCGTCGAGTGGTCCATGAAGAAGGGCCTCGAGGAGTCGACGCTCATGGTCCTCAAGCGCGTCGGCGACTCCGAGGGCGTCATCTCCCGGCAGGCGAGCGGCCTCTGCTTCGACTTCCCCCACGACGACGCGGCCATCTACCTGGCGGGCACGGAGGACGGCCTGCTCCACCGCTGCTCCTGCTCCTACAACGAGCAGTACCTCGAGACGTACGCGGGCCACACGGGGCCCGTCTACCGCATCCGCTGCTCGCCCTTCTGGGCGCCCGCGTTCCTGTCCTGCTCCGCGGACTGGACCGTGAAGCTCTGGAGCCAGAAGGACGCGGCGCCGGCCCACTCCTTCCACTCCGTGGACCTCAGCGACGTCGTCCACGACGTCGCGTGCAGGGCAGCAAAAGAGAGTGAAATTCCCAACTTCAAAGGCTCCGATCTCGGCCGTTTTCCACTCGTTTCGGCTGATTTTTGGACGAGCGATCATCTCTCGGAACGGTCTCGAAGCGTGGATGTTTTTTCCGGAACGCGCGCGCGCGGAACACTCACGTTGAAGCGACGTTGAATCACCCTTTTGCTGCCCAGGTCGCGTGGAGCCCGCACCGGTCGACGATCTTCGCGTCCGTCGCGGGCGACGGCCGCATCGAGATCTGGGACCTGGACCAGTCGACGCTGGACCCCGTGGTGCGCCAGTTCACGGCGGCGCCGGCGGACGGCGACCTGCCGCTCGAGGTCGCCGCGGAGGAGGCCGCGGACGGCGCCGCGGACGGCGCGGCCGCCGCGGCGGACGGCGGCGACGACGGCGACGCGCCGCCGTCGACGGAGTCCAAGGCCGGCTCCACGGCCGTGCTCTTCGCGAAGAACGCGCCCGTCCTCGTCGTCGGCGACGCCACGGGCAACGTCACCTGCTACTGCATCAAGGGCATGGCGAAGAACGGGCCCCAGACCCGCGCGCAGCAGTGCGACGCGCTCAGGCAGGCCATCTACCCCGAGGCCAAGACCGACGGCAAGCTCGACGCCGCCGCCAAGTGAGCGGATATTTGCCGGTAATGGCCGGAGTGGCGCGTTGTCGCCGACGCGATCGACGCGCGCATCACCGCTGCGAGGTCGAACTTGCGGTGAAGGTGCATGTCGCCGTGCTTTTGCGAAGACGGAAACGACCCGTCGGCAGCTGCAAAGCCACCGGCGCCGCGAGAACAGACCATGCTCCGCAGCGTGAGCGTCGCCGGGCGGCGCGCGCGCGGCCTGGCGCGCGCGACGCGCATCTTTAGCGCCGTGCCGAAGGTGCGTGCTCCATCGCGCGCGCGCGCCCGGTCCGAGCCATTTTAGCGACACACTGAACTCAAATCCCTCGCAGGAGGAGGGCTTCCTGAGCGGGACGTCGTCGACGTACGTGGACTCGCAGTACTACGCCTGGTCCGCGGACCCGTCGAGCGTCCACTCGTCCTGGGCGTCCTACTTCGAGTCCGGCGCGTTCGACATGCCCCCCGCCCTCGGCGGCGAGCGCTACGCCGCGGGCGGCGGCGGCGCCGCGGTGCCCGCGGGGTCGAAGGAGAGCTCGCTCCAGGGCGCGCGGGGCGCGGACACGGCGCGGGCCATGCACCTCATCGCCGCCTACCAGCGCCGGGGCCACGAGCGCGCGGACCTCGACCCGCTACGGCTCAAGGGCGATTTGGCGCCGCTCGCGGACCTGGACCCGGCGACCTACGGCTTCGAGCCGGGCGACTACGACCGCGAGCTGCGCCTGACGACGGCGACGGGGTCCGCCGTCGCGGGCCTGCTGGGCAACGCGGACGTCAACGACGACGGCATGACGACGTTGCGGGAGCTCGCGGACTTCCTCCAGGAGACGTACTGCGGCACTTTGGGCATCGAGGCGGAGCACATCACGGACCTGAACAAGCAGAACTGGCTCCGGAGCCGCCTCGAGACGCCCAAGGCGCCCCTGAGCCTCGAGGACCGGAAGCACGTGCTCGAGCGTTTGGCGTACGCCGAAAAGTTCGAGACGATCCTCGCGACCAAGTTCAACACGGCGAAGCGCTTCGGGTTGGAAGGGTGCGAGTCCATGATCCCCGGCATGAAGATCATGGTCGACGCCGCGACGCTCTGCGGCGTGTCCGACGTCATCATCGGCATGCCGCACCGCGGCCGGCTCAACGTGCTCTGCAACGTCGTCCGCAAGCCCATCGAGGTCATCTTCCGCGAGTTCATGGGCACGGCCCAGAGCGACGACGACGCCGGCGCCGGCGACTGGTCGTCCTCCGGCGACGTCAAGTACCACCTCGGGACGTCGTACGACCGCGCGTACCCCGACGGCCGCCGCGTCCAGGTCGAGCTCCTGCCGAACCCGTCGCACCTCGAGGCCGTGAACCCGTTGGTCATCGGCAAGGCGCGGGCGCGCATGGACATGAAGGGCGACCCCAACGGCGACACGGTGCTGCCCGTGATCATCGGGGCAGGACAAGAGAGCGACATTCCCAACTTCAAAGGCTCATATCTCGGTCGTTTTCCACTCGTTTCGGCTGATTCTTGGACGAGCGATCATCTCTCGGAACGGTCTCGACGCGTGGATGCTTTTTTTCCGGAACGCGCGCGCGCGGAACACTCACGTTGAAGCGACGTTGAATCACCCTCGTGCTGCCCAGGTGATCATCCACGGCGACGCGGCGTTCGCGGGGCAGGGCGTCGTCTACGAGACCATGCAGATGGTGAACCTCGAGGCCTACAAGACGGGCGGCACGATCCACGTCATCTGCAACAACCAGGTCGGCTTCACGTGCCTGCCGGAGCAGGGCCGGTCGACGATGTACAGCTCGGACCTCGGCAAGGCCTTCGGCTGCCCGATCTTCCACGTCAACGCGGACGACCCGGAGGCCGTGTGCCGGGTCTTCGAGACGGCCGTCGCCTGGCGCCACGAGTTCAAGACCGACGTCATCATCGACTTGATCGGCTACCGCAAGTTCGGCCACAACGAGATCGACGAGCCGACGTTCACGCAGCCGACCATGTACCAGGTCGTCAAGAAGCACCCGTCCGTGCTCACGAAGTACGTCGCCGACGTCCAGGTCACGGAGCCCAAGCTGAGCCCGGAGGACGTCGGCGCGATCGTCGGCTCCGTGGAGCAAGTGTACGCGGAGGCGTTCGACAACAAGGACGCGTTCAAGTGGGACCGCGACGTCTGGGGCCAGAACTGGCAGGAGATGGTGTCGCCGCTGAGCGTGGGCCACGGCGCCTTCGGCAAGACGGGCGTCGCGCTCGAGGACCTGCAGAAGGTCAACGCGGCGCTGTCGACGACGCCCGAGGGCTTCAGCCTGCACCGGCGGCTCAAGGGCATCCTCGCGAAGAAGGCCGAGGCCGTCGCCAGCGGCGAGGGCGTCGACTGGGCCCAGGGCGAGGCGCTGGCCTTCGGGACGCTCCTCGACGAGGGCACGCCCGTCCGCTTCACGGGGCAGGACGTCGAGCGCGGCACGTTCACGCACCGCCACGCGGTCGTCCACGACCAGAAGGACGGCGCGACGCACACGTTCCTCAACGCCATCGCGCCGGACCAGGCCGCGAAGCTCGACATCCACAACTCCTTCCTCTCGGAGTACGGCGTGCTCGGCTTCGAGTTGGGCTACTCGTTCGAGACGCCGGACGTGCTCTGCGTCTGGGAGGCCCAGTTCGGCGACTTCGTCAACGGCGCCCAGATCATCATCGACCAGTTCCTCAGCTCGGGCGAGGCCAAGTGGATGCGCCAGAGTGGCCTCGTGCTCCTGCTGCCCCACGGCTACCAGGGCCAGGGCCCGGAGCACTCGTCGTGCCGCGTCGAACGCTTCCTCCAGAACTCCGACGAGGACCCGGACGTCATCCCGCCGGACCTGCACACCATGGAGGGCCAGGTGCGCCAGGTTCAGCTCAACAACTGGCAGATCATCAACCCGACGACGCCCGCGAACTACTTCCACGCGCTCCGGCGCCAGCAGCACCGCGACTTCCGCAAGCCGCTCATCGTCGCCTCGACGAAGGCGCTCCTGCGCCACAAATTGGCCGTGTCCAACGTCGACGAGTTCCTCACGGGGTCGCGCTTCCGCCGCACGTACGGCGAGATGCACGACGACGAGGTCGTCGCCGACGCCGACGTGCGCCGCGTCGTGCTCTGCAGCGGCAAGATCTACTACGAGCTGCTCGAGGCGCGGCGGAAGGCCGAGGGGCCCTCCGACGTCGCCCTCGTGCGCGTCGAGCAGATCTCGCCCTTCCCCTTCGACCAGGTCGCCAACTACGCGACCAAGTACGCGAACGCGGAGCTCGTCTGGACCCAGGAGGAGCCCAAGAACCAGGGCGCCTGGTACTACGTCCGCGACCGCATCATGACGGCGACGCGCGTCCTCAACGGCGTCGAGCAGCGGCCGGGCTACTGCGGCCGCGCGACGATGGCGTCCACGGCCGAGGGCTACGGCGCCGTCCACGACGCGCAGCAGAAGGCCATCATCGACACGGCCCTCTCCGAGGACCTCTCCGCCTTCCCCTTCGGCCTCCTCTCCGAGAAGGAGATCGAGCGCGCCGCCTGAGCGCCGCGCGCCGCGCGCGGGCCGCGCGCGCGCTCCGCCGAACCCCCCGCCCTGTAATCAGAACTCTATGCTCTCTACTCCCCCAGGAGGGGGCCTTTCGGCGGGGCGCAGGGACTTGCGCAGGGGCGTCGGAGGTGGCGCGAGCCCGGCCCGGACCGTAGGCTTTTTTTTTTTCTCGGTGTTAAGCGGGAGCGGCGGTGCGACAGGGCGTGCGCGGACGACGCGCGCAGTAAGCGACGATGCCGCACGTAGGCTTGTTGTTTTTTCTCGGTGTTAAGCGGGAGCGGCGGTGCGACAGGGCGTGCGCGGACGACGCGCGCAGGGCTCGGTTCCCTTCTCGGCGGGGCGCGGTATGTGCAGAGAGGCGCCGACCCGGCCCGCGCCTAGGCGGCCTGGGCCTGGCTCTGCGTGTAGGCCTCGAGCATGTGGTTGCGGTAGGGCTGGCGCAGCTTGTGGAGAGCCCGGGCCTCGATCTGGCGCACGCGCTCGCGCGTGATGGAGAACACGGTGCCGATCTCCTCGAGCGTCCTCGCCTTGCCGTCGTCGAGGCCGAAGCGGAGGCGCACGACGTCGCACTCGCGGTCGCTGAGGGCCGTGCGCAGGAGGCCGTGGATGTCGCTCTGGAGCGACTTGGTCTCCGCGCGCTCGTCGGGCAAGGCGGCCGCGTCCGCGAGGTTGTCCGAGAGCTTGGCCTCGTTGCCCGCGCCGCCCGTGCCCGCGGACGAGCCCTTGCCCGAGACGCGGACCGTGGCGTCCATGGACATGGTCTGGCGCTCGCAGGAGCGGAGCCAGTCCATTTTGGTGGTGGCGAGGTCGAGCTTGCCCGCGAGCTCCTCGTCGGTGCACTCGCGGCCGAGCTCCGCGCCGAGGTCGCGCGTGACCTTCTTCATGGACTGGAGCTGGTCGTGGACGTGGACGGGGAGGCGGATCGTGCGGCTCTGGTCCGCGATGGCGCGCATGACGGCCTGCTTGATCCACCACGTCGCGTACGTCGAGAACTTGAAGCCCTTCTCGGGGTCGAACTTCTCGACGGCGCGCGTGAGGCCGAAGGTGCCCTCCTGGATGACGTCCTGGAAGTGGAGCCCCCGGTGCTGGTAGCGCTTGCTGATGGACACGACCAACCGCAAATTCGCGTTGATCATCGCGGCCTTGGCCTTGAGGCACTTCTTCCGCGCCTTCTCGAAGGACCCGTTCTCGCACGCGGCGCGGCTGATGCGCGCCGCGGCGCCCCACTCGAGCTCCGTGGGCTCGCGGCCCAGGGACGCCGTGAGGTTCGCCCGGATGCCCTCCCAGGTGCAGAGCCGCTGCACGCGCCGCGCGAGCGCCTTCTCCTCGTCCGAGCTCAGGAGCGCGGTCTGGCCCATGTTCCGGATCTGCCAGTGGAGGCCCTCGTCGCGGTCCTTGTACGACACGGCCCCCGCCACCTCCTTGGCCTTGGCCGCGCTGGGGGCGAACCACGCCGCGAGCTCCTCGTTGCTGAGCGGCGGCGCTTCAACCGACGTGCCGCGCGCGCCCAGGTGGGCCCCGTCGGCGGGCGACGGCGCCGCGGGGGCGGCGAACGTCTTCTCGATGGACTTGCGGTTCTTCGCGAGGTCCTTGAGCTGCTGCGCGTTGATGACCGGCGCCTTCTTCTCCATCGCTCGTCGGAGCGCGGAGGCGACCTCCGGGGCGCCCTCGATCGTCGAAAAAACGGAGGTGGGTGGCCGTCTGTGGGCCGTGGGGGTCATGGGGGACGGGGCGAACCCGTCGGCGGCCAGGGCCGCGCACAGGAGCGGTCGGAAGAGGCCCATTTTGCAGCCGGCGAGAGACTTCACCCCCGTGTGCTGGCCGGCAGGACGTATGAGCTTCAACTCTTGTTCGCCCATCGCCGGCGCCGGGCGCCTGCGGTGTGTGCGGTGTCGACCCCAGCCACAGACCCGACCCACGCGTCGCAGACGTCGCAGACGACCCAGCGACGTCGACGACCGGCGCGTGTCGCGTGGCGCCACCGGAGGCGTCACCGGCTGGTAAGAACGTCAGGACAGCTGGAATAACTAGGAGAAGCGCCGCGCTCTCCGGAGCTCCGAGGCGGGGAGAGCCGCCGACGCTCTTACAAAAAACTTGGCCGCGTCGCCCGCCGCTGCGCGCCGCATCCAAGCCCAGCACCGCCAGCCCGTCGCCGACGCGCTCAACGACGTGCACGAGCATCGCGCGAAAATCCGCGCTGTCGCGGCTAAACAGCCCGAAGATCCCCAAACCATGTCCACGGTCTACGGCCACATCGTCGAGCAGGAGCGGCAGCGGCAAGAAGCCATCGCGCGGGGCGAGCCGGACCCCTTCCAGGTCTACAAGGACCGCGCCGCCGCCGAGGCCGCCGCCGAGGCCGCGCGGGAGCCGAACCGCTTGGAGAAGCTCGAGGCGTGGATGGCGACGGACTGGGAGTTCGGGCCCTACTACTGGGACGAGCCCGACGAGGCGCCCGTGGGCCGCTGGCGCAAGGTCAAGCACTGGGCCTGGTGGGGCTCGGAGAAGACGCTGCGCGGCGCCGAGTTCGTCGGCGAGGTCGTCGCGAACGTCTTCGGCATGAACGACAGCCGCTTCCAGTACGTCATCGACGCGCAGCGCGAGGAGCAGCGCCGGGAGAAGCAGCGCCAGCTCGAGAACGCCCAGCGGCGCGAGCTCGCCGAGGCGGCCAAGGCCGAGGCCGAGGCCGAGGCCGACGCCGCGCGACGAACCGCGGGCGACGTCGAGGCGTAGAGCGCGCCGCGGTATTTTCTTTAATACGCACCGACGTGTGTACCATGCTGAGTTTCGGAGCCACGATCGCGGTTTTTAAATACACACCGAGTGGTTACATGTGAGTTTCGGAGCCGCGACCGCGCGACGTCGCCTGCGACCGCGCGACGTCGCCCGCGCGCTCACTCGTCCTTCGCGGCGCGGACGACGAGGTCGTCGTCGAGCGGCGCGTAGATGTCGGGCCCGTCGTCGAGCGCGATCTTGTAGGGCGCGACCTCCGTCGCGGGCCAGTCCTCCTCCGAGTACCAGAGCCCGACGACGGTCCCCGCCTGCAGTGCCAGTCGTCCTCGCCGACGCGCGCCGTCACGCGCTGGCCCTCGGCGAAGCGGAGCTCGGGCCGCGCGCCCGTCGCCGACGGCCGCGCGGCCCGCGCGTCGACGCCCGCGACGGCCTCGACCTCGGCGAGCGCCGTGCGCACGGCCGGCGGCGCCTGGACGAGCTCGACGAGCACGCCCTGGCCGCCGCCCTTGGGGTGGATGAACGCGATGTCGCAGTTCGCCGCGCCGCGGCGCACGGCGTTCTCCCCGCCGACGAAGTCGACGCCCCGCGCCTCCAGGTAGGCGACGGCCTCGGGCAGCTTGTCGACCCAGAGGCCGACGTGATGCAACGCCGGCGCCGCGGGGTTCGGCTTCGCGGACGCGTCCAGAGGCTGCATGAGGTCGATCTCGACGTTGAAGGGCCGCGGGCCGACGCTCAGCACGTCCTGGGCGACGTTGTCGACGGACGACGTGTGCTCGCCGAGCTTCGTGATGCCGAGCAGCTCGTGCCAGAGCCCGCCGAGCGCCTTCTTCGACGGCCCGCCGATGGCGATCTGCTGCACGCCGAGGACGCGGAACGGCCGCGATTCGTCGCTCAGCCGCCGCGGCGCGGCGCGGGAGGCGCGGCGCAGGAGAGATGAAAACATGGGCGTTTCTTGCTGCTGCTGCGAGGTACTGCCGCTCGACGACAGGCGCTGCTGCTCGAGCGGTGCGACGACGACGGCTGCTGCGAGGCGCTGCTGCTCGAGCGGTGCGACGACGGCTGCGACGACGGCTGCGGCGGTGCTGCGAGGGTGATCAAGGCGTCGACGCTGCGGCGAGACCCCGGGGTGGCAGGGACCTCGAGCTGAGCACGCGCTCGAGGCGGCTGCAATGCCGGTGCATGACGCGCGCTTGACGGCAATCAGCGCTCCCCGTCTTGCACATCAGCCGTGCCCTGTACAACATGCCGCCGGTCTTCGTCCGCTGCGTGCTCGACCGCATGCGCGCCGCCGCAAGCGCAGCCTGTCGCCGCCGGCTCGAGACGGACGACGCGCGCCGCGGCGGTGGCTGGCCACGCTGCCCGGCGCGCCGCCGCCGCGCATGACTCAGAGGAATACCGCAAGTGAGTTTGAAAACCCGCGTCGTTGTTGATGTTTGGGTGGAAGCGGCAGCCGACGTTCCTTTCGGCGGACGAGTGGCACCGGGCGAGGCGTCGGGCGCGTGAAGGTCACGGGGCAGCGCTTTCGACCGCCCAAGCTCCTTGAGATTCGCCCAGGTGTAGTCCTGAGCGATCACGATGCTCGACGCCCGCGAGGGCGGCCTGAGCCAGTCCTGGGACCACGCGAGCTCCTGCGAGGACTTCGGCACGCTCTGCGAGCGGGACCGCCTCATCCGCCAGAGGTGGCGGCAGTGCGCCAAGGCGCGGCGCGAGCGGAGCGGGTTGCGCATCAACACGCAGCTGGCGGCATCTGCCCGGTCCAAGGAGCTCCTGGAGGAGCAGACGCCGACGCAGTTCGACATGTCGCCCCAGCCCTGCGTCGAGCCCCAGTCGGCGCCCCTGTCGAGCTCGCGGGGCCCGCGCGAGGACCGCGGCCGCCGCCACCTGAGCGACGAGCCGCTCGCGGCGGCCGCGCGCGAGGCGCACGCGGCGGCCGTGGACCTGCGGCGCGAGGCCATGACCTACGCCCTCGAGAGCCTCGCGCGGGACCGCGCGGGCTCCGCGAGCTCCGCGGGCCGGTCCGCGGAGGCCCGCGACGACGACGACGACCTCCGCGCCGTCCTCGGCGCGCCGGGCCTCGCGGAGGCGGGCACCCTCTTCTACTCGCCCAAGGGCGTCGAGGAGGGCGAGGCCGCGGCGGAGGCGGCGGCCGCGCCCATGGCGCGGCCGCTGTCCGCGCACGACGCCGAGAAGATGGTCCACCACTTCTCGGCCCGCGTGCAGGCGCGGTCGCTGGACCTCTGCGCGGCGACGGCGCCGCCGGAGTTCCACCAGGAGCGGCCCCGGGCGCGCGCGAACAGCGCGGCCCAGTCGCTCCGGTCCTGGTGGGCCTTCGGGTCCTGCTGCTCGTCGGACGACCCGGGCGAGCGGTAGCTCGCCCCTTAGGAATCGAATCGAGAACGGTCCCCCCAAGCGGGACCGGCCACACGTGCCTTCTGTTAAGAGCATGTTATGTGTAGGGCCGGACACGTGCCTCCTGTTAAGAGCATGTTATGTGCAGCGCCGGCGCGCGGGGGCGGCGGAGGCGCGCAGCGGCGACGGACGCGCGCGCGGCGGTCGTCGTCGATCGAGCCTACTTGCGGGCGATGGAGCCGCCGCCGCCGCCGCCGTCCTTCTTGTCCGAGGACTTCTTGATGGCCTTGAGCCGGTCCTCGCGCTCCTTGCGCTCCTGCTCCTTGCGGAAGTTGATGCGGCGCGTGTACTTGGCCCGCGTCGACGGGTGGTACCTGGACAGGGGGTCGGTCGCCGCCTCCTGGAACACAAACACGCGCGTCTTTCCCCGTCGACGCCGGAGCCGCGCTGGTCGAACTGCCAGAGCATCCAGAAGTACGCGAGCATCTGCTTCTCGTCGACGGTGACGTCCGGGTGCCAGAAGTCGACGTGGAGCACGAGGGCGTCCTCGGATCCCTTGTTGTACATCTTGTAGTCGTAGGTGGAGTCGAAGACGATGGGCTTGTTCTCGACCCAGGGCACGTCGACGCCGTCGACGACGAGGCCGCCGCCCTCGCAGCCCCGGAGGGGGATCTGGAGCGTGAGCACGAAGTCCTGGAGGTCGGAGCGCGTCTCCGTCTCGCAGCCCGGGGGCAGCTTGCCGAGGATGACGTTCCGCGGCGGCGGCGCGGTCGCCTCGTACTTGGAGAAGGCCTTCATCGACCGCGGGAAGCGGAGCACGCCCGTCTTCTGGGGCGTGACCTGCTGGAGCAGCAGCTGCTCCCAGGCGGGCTCGAGGGACACGGGCTCCGGCTCCTCGACGACGACGGCCTCGGGCGGCACGGCCGCCTCGTCGCGCGGCGCGGGGCCGCCGGCCATCTCCTCCTCGGCCGCGGCCGCGTCCTTGGCCGCGTCGTCCATGCCCGCCTTGGGGTCGGACTCCTCCTCGTCGTCCTCCTCGGACGCCTTGGGCGGCGCGTCCCAGGGCTCGAGGCGCGTCTTCATGATCTGGTCGCGCGACCACTGGAGCTTGGTCCGCGTCGCCCACGTGCCGTTCCGCGTGTGCACCTGGTTGCAGGCCGTGTCGTACTCCTCGATGATGGGGCCCGCGATGCGCTTCGCGAGCTTGCGCGTCCACTTGAACTCCTTGACGTCGAGCACGGGGCCGCCGCCCTCCTTGCCCGCGAAGAGCCGCGTCTGGAGCGACAATTTCCGGCCCGCGCCGGCCTCGACGGTGCCGCGCGTCGTGCGGTAGTTGTCGCAGTACTCGCGGAAGCGCGCGAGGTCCGCCTTGAAGTTCACCTCGGCGAGCTTGTTCATCTTCTCGATGTCCGCCCAGATCTCGCTGACGAGGGGCTCCCAGTTGCCGTTCGCGTCGGGGACGAGGGGCACGGGCTCCATGTAGAGGCTCGGGTCCTTGGGCCGCAGCTTCTTCTTCGGCCGCACGGGCTCCTTGAAGGGCACCGGGTTCGTCGGCTCCTTGAAGACGCCGCAGGCCGTGTCGAAGCGGGTGTTGGGCGCGCGCGCGAGGCGCCTCGGAACGCTGGAGAAGCCGCGCGCCACGCACGCCGTCACGAGGAGGCGCGCGACGGCGCTCCGCGCCATCGGGTGGGCCGCGGGCATGGTGCTGTGTGCGGTGGTTTCGCCGGCGGCACGCGAGACCACTGGACGACGAAGTAGGATTTTATCTTGCCGCCTGCCTGATGACGAGGCGAGGTTGGCGCTCTCCGAGCCGCTCGGTTTGTAATCGGCGCTTGCGATCGGATCTGCCGTTGAGGCAATTATCAAAACTGGACGCGTCCTCAGACCGTCTCCGGCGCGTCGCCGTGGACGCGGAAGCGGTAGACGCAGGTGTAGTCCGGGTGGCCGTAGTTGGACGTGACCTGGAGCGTGGCGAGGTCGAAGGCCTGGCGGTCGTCGTTGAGCGCGGCGAACGTCTGGACCGTCTTCGCGGCGTCGGCCGCGTCGTACTCGAAGGACCCCAAGTCGACGGGCGTCGCGTCCGGCGCGCCCGCGCGGCGCCCCAGGACCGTGAAGGTCCGCGGCGCCGAGGAGCAGTTGGCGTTGTGGAGCGGGTTGCAGAGCGCGCCGTGGATGTGCTCCAGCGTGAAGGCCGTGGGCACGACGCGGCTCGAGAGCTGGACGGTCAGGGACCCCCGGCTGCCCTCGAAGGCGAAGCAGGAGCCGAAGCCGACGCGCTGGGAGATGGCGTCCTCGGCGCGGCCGACGCCCGCGTCGCGGCCGAGCGCGTGCCAGACCTTGGTCGGCACGACGGACCCCGGCGGCGTGTAGGGCTCGGACGTCAGGCCCTGCACGACGGACGCGCCCGTCGCGCGGAGCGCGTAGTCGAACTTGGCGACGCGGTCCGCCTCGAAGAAGACGGCGACGGCCGTGTCGACGGCCCGCTCGACGGCGGCGGCCGTGCAGCCCGCGCCGGACGACGACCGCGCGGCGTCCGCGGCGGCGAGCGCGGCGGCGACGTCCTTCTCGACGGCCGCGACGGCCCGCTCGAGCTGCTGCGACGCGAGTTGGGCGCCGGGGGCGGCCTTGAGGAGGTCCCGGGCCTCCCGGGCCTGCGCCGTCGACGCGGCGAGGGCCGCCTGGGCCTCCGCGAGGCGCGCCTTCGACGCCTCGGCGGACTCGCCGAGCGCCTTCAGCGACAGCTCGAGCGCCGCGAGGGTCTCGTCGCGCTGCGCGACGGCCTCGGCCTGGGCGGTCTTCGCCGTCGCCGTCGCCGTCGCCGCCGCGGCGGTCTCCACGGCCTTGTCGGCGTCGAGTCGGGCCTTCTCGGACGCCTTCGAGGCCGCGGCCGCGTCCTTCGCCGCGGCCGCGCAGGTCCGCGCGTCCGGCGGCGGGCCCGGCGGCGCGCGCTCCAGGGCCTCCGCCAGCGTCTTCGCGTCGGCCTCGCCGCGCGCGACGAGCGAGTTCGACAGCGCCTCGACCTGCGCGAGCTCCTCGGCCAACGCCGCGAGCGTCTCGTCGGCCTCCTCGGACGCGCGCGCCGTGTGCTGCTGGAGCCAGGCGACCTCGCTCTTGACGAGCGCCTCGCCCCGCTCGAGGTCCGCCTCCGACAGACTGCACGTCCGCCCGGAGCCGCTCAGCTCGCGCCCGCAGAGCACGACGAGCAAGATGCCGCACACGGCCCAGGACTGGCGCACCTGCGCCTTCAGCTGCGCCTCGCGGCCCGCCGGGTTGCTGAGCATCGTACCGGCGGTCAATGCGGTCGGCGCGAGGTGCGCAGTGCGCGCTGCGGCCGCGCGACGGGCGCGATTCGGCTGGTGATCGCGCCTGTACAGCTGTGGCAGAGACCTGGCTCGGCTCGCCAAGGTACCCCACGAACCCCCCTGGATAAGCCCTCACAGACGAAGCTCGACAGCGAGCACAGCAGCTCCTCCACACCGCCGCCAGCGCCTCCGTCGACGCGCCGCCCGGACCCGTCGCGCACGCGCGCGCGGTTCCCACACGCGCCTGTGCTGCCCGCGAACGCGCGCCGACGAGCCGGAAGGTCGCGCGCCGACGACACCGCGCGCCTCCGCGAAACCGCGTGGCAAAAGAGCACACCACTGAGCGCGCGCCATGGCGGACGCGACGGTGCCCAAGTGGAAGCTCCTCCAGAACAAGAAGCAGAGCCTCTACTCCAACTCGACGGAGAAGGCGCAGAAGGTCTCGCGGAGAAACCGCGGCAGCGGGCGGTACGAGCCCAAGGGCGACGACGTCGGCGGCTCGGACGCGTGGAAGGGCCAGGCCTTCGGCCTCGCGAGCTCGCGGGCCGCCGCGCCGCGCTTCGACCCGAAGATCCGCCGCGGCGAGCTCTACTACGGCCAGAAGCGGCCGCTGAGCACGGACGTGTGCCCGGACGAGCCCGTGGCGAACTTCCTCGACCGCTGCCCCCGCGACGCGAAGAAGGCCAAGGTCGCGCCCCTCGCGGCGGCGGCGGCCAAGAAGGCGAAGAAGGCCAAGAAGAAGAAGGCCGTCGTGCTGTCGTCGTCCTCGTCCTCCTCGTCCTCCTCGTCTTCGTCCTCGTCCGACTCGTCCGACTCCAGCGACTCCGACTCCGACTCGGACTCGGACAGCTCCTCCTCGAGCAGCAGCAGCGGGTCCTCGTCGAGCTCCTCCTCGAGCTCGTCCGACTCGTCGTCGTAATGTTTCGTTGAACTCTGCAAGGTTTGTCCTTGCATGGGCATCGAGCCCGATCGAGATGGTGCCACCATCACCGCGGTGGGCAGCTCTCTGGCTCCTGTTGGCGCATCACACGCTCGCCGTGCCGCGCATCGTGCCGCTCTTGCACGGCTGGCACTTCGACAACCTCATACGCGACAGCGTCGCGCCGCCGCCGGCGCTCGTCGTCTTCTACGGGTCGAGCTGGTGCCAGGAGGCCTTTAACGGCTTCGGCCTCGAGGAGCGGCGCCTGCCGACGCGGGCCCACCTCTTCGTGGGCACCTACGACATCGACCGCATCGACGACGTCTGGTGGGTCGGCGAGCCGCGCCTCGAGCGGCGCTTCAACCTGACGCGGTACCCGGCCGCCGTCTTCCTCCGGGACCCGCGGGGCAGCCCGGGCGACTTCGAGGTCTGGGACGGCGGCGACGAGCCCTGGCTCCAGTGGGCCTGGGCCCGCCTCGCCTTCGACGTCGCCGTGACCAACGGCGGCGGCGTCGAGGCCGTCGCGCGCGTCGCCTACGACGCCGGCGCCGCGCGGCCGCCGGAGCCCGGGGCGATTCTAGGAGCGCCGACGCTCCTGAACCCCGGCGAGACGGCCACGCTCACGGGTCTGCCCGGCGCCGCGCTCGAGGCGACGGTCGCCGGCACGAGGGACGTCCTCTTCCGCGCGCCCGAACTCTCGCGGCCCGGCGGCGCCGCGTGCGCGTCCGCGGACGTCGCCGCGCCGTCGCCGTTCCGCGCGCCGGCGGACCTGCGGGACGCCGACGCCTTTTTGAACAAGCGCGACCAGGACACGACCTTTTCGCACGCCGCGACGCTGCGGCAGCCGCCCGCGATGCCCAGGGCAGAAAAAGAGAGCGAAATTCCCAACTTCAAAGGCTCCTATCTCGGCCGTTTTCCACTCGTTTCGGCTGATTTTTGGACGAGCGATCATCTCTCGGAGCGCTCTCGAAGCGTGGATGCTATTTCCGGAACGCGCGCTCGCGGAAAACTCATGTTGAAGCGAACTTGAATCTCTCTTTTCCTGCCCAGGTGATGCCCGACTTCGGCGTGTCGGCGTACGAGCTCGTGCCCATGCCGGAGGAGCTCGCGCGCGTCATGCGCGCCTTCTACGCGGCGCACGACGGCGACCGCTACGACGAGGAGTACCCGCGGACGTCGACGGGCATCAACCGGCACGTCGCGAAGACGACGATGGTGTCCTTCGACCTCGAGCCCGACGAGCGCGTCCGCATCGCGACGGAGCTCGTGCAGCCGCTCGTCGAGGCCTGGGCGGGCATGCCGCTCGTGCACACGTCCTTCTACGGCATTCGCGAGTACCACCGGGGCGCGGAGCTGCGCATGCACGTCGACCGCGTCGCGACGCACGTCTTCTCCGTGATCATCAACGTGGACCAGGTCGGCGTCGACGAGCCGTGGCCGCTGGAGCTCATCGACTTTGAAGGGAAGCGGTCGTCGGTCGTCATGGAGCCGGGCCAGCTCCTGTTCTACCAGTCCGCGAAGCTCGTCCACGGCCGGCCCGCGTCGTTCAACGGGACGCGCTACAGCAACTGCTTCTGCCACTTCTCGCCCGTCGAGGGCTGGGACTACGTCTACGGCGCGGGCGACATCCTCTACCACCGGGGCGAGCCCGCCGTGGACTACAAGGTCTACGAGCACTCATAAATCGCCGTCGTAGCCCCCGGCCACGGTGACGGCGCTGTCCTCGCCGACGACCATGGGGCGGTAGTCGATGGCGACGCTGTTCTGGAGGAGCTTCATGAACTCCGCGTAGGACAGGCTCCCGCTCCGGTCCTTGTCGTAGTAGTTGAAGAGGCGCACGGTGTCCTCCACGGACACGGCGATCGCGCCGCGGTCGAGGCCCTTCTTGTGCACGGCCCCGTGGTCCGTGAAGCCCGCCTTCTGCAGGCCTTTGCGGAACTCGAGCACGGAGATCTCGCCGGACCCGTCGGCGTCCATGCGCGCGAACATGTCGCGCATGTGGCTGCTGCGCTCCGCGAGCTCCGCGCGCAGCTGCTGGATCATCGCGTTGTCCGAGATCGCCACCTGCCGCAGCTGCGCCGGCGTCAGCGCCTCGAGCGCCGCGGGCGCTTCTTTTAGCGCGGCGTCCAGCGCCGCGGCCTCGGCGGCGTCCGGGTCCGCCGCCGCCGCTGCCGCGGCGCCGCCCCGCGGCGGCGGCTTCGCCGCGACGTAGATCTCGACGCCCGGCGCCCAGCTTGGCGGCTCCTGCTTCTTCCGCCGCTTCGGCGAGGGCTTCCGCGGCTCGACGACCTTCTGCTCGTAGGCCGCGAGGTCCTCCTCGACGGCGCAGAGGTCCAGGAGCCGCCAGGCGGGGAGCACGGGCACGCCGTCGAGCGCCGTCCCGTACCTGCGGACGACGGCCGCGGCGCCCGTCCGGCGCTCGTCGAGCTGGGCGCGGGCGACGCCGACGGCGTCGCCGCAGCGGAGCAGGCCCTCGATCGTGAGCACGTCCTTGCCGGCGACGGCCGCGTGTCCCACGGCCTTGGTGAACGCGCGGCTCGCCTCGACGCCGCCGGCTTGCAGCGCACCGACGACGGCCGCGAGCCACGCGGCCGCGACCGCGTCGTCGTCGACCTCGGGCGCCGCGTCCGTCGCTTCCTCGACCGCCGCCGGCGCTTCGACGACGTCGTCGGCCTTGGCCGACCCGTCCGGATTCAGGCGGCCCTGCCCCAGGCCGCCGCCGCCGCCGCCGCCGCCGATGGGCCGGTCGTAGTCGTCCTTGCGCGACAGCGCGCGGATGAACTCGTAGCACTCGATCGCGCCGTCGTGGTCCGCGTCGATCATGGCCATGAGCCGGTCGACGCGCCCGACGCGTCCCGCGCCGTCGCCGGACCGCGCCCAGACGCGCTGGTCCGTGGGCCCGCCGCGGCGCCACGACGCCGCGTACTCGTTTTCGTCCTCCGGCGGGCACCACATCTCGACCCATTTCACGAACTCGTGGAAGTCCAGCGACCCGTCCAAGTTGACGTCGAAGGGCTCGAGAAGGTGCACGCCCTGCTCCGCCGTCAGGTTGACGCCCCAGGACCGCATGAGCTCCAGGAACTCCCGCGGCGAGATGGACCCGGAGCGGTCCGCGTCCAGGCGCAGGAACAGGTCGCCGACCTTGCCCGTGTCGTAGCCGTGCGCGTGCATCTTCGCCTTCAAGATGGGCAGCAGGGACCTGACGGCCTCGTCGGACGCGTCGCCGGATTTGAGCACCTCGCAGGCGCGCTGCTGGTTCACGTTGAAGGCGTTCGCGTGCTCCAAAGCGTCGCCGACGTGCTCCTCCTGGGCGGCCGGCGCGACGACGGCTTCGGCCGCCCGCACGGCGGGCGCCTTCTTCGCCGCGGCCGCCTCCTCCGCGGGCGACGCCAACGCGTAACCCAGGCCCATCTTTTCGAGGACGGACCGCAGCGTGTCGCGCGTCATCCGGCCGTCGCGCGGCGCGAGCACGCGGTACAGCGTGTGCAGCGGCACGCCCTCCTGCTCGAGGCGGTCGCTGAGCTCGTCCATGACGTCCGCGTCCGTCATCGTGTCGCCGTCGACCTCGACGTACTCCGCGGCCTCCTTGATGGCCTCGACGTGCTTCGCCGCGGCCGCGGGCTTCTTCGTCGGCGGCGGCGGCGCGGCGCCGCCGTACTCGAGGAGCGCGTCCTGAAATTCGCTCGACGAGATCGTGCCGGACTTGTCGGCGTCGAAGAGGTCGAAGACCGCCGAGGTCGCCGCGGCCGTGCAGGCCGTCGACAGCGGCGCGAGCAGCGCCGCGAACTCGTCGCGGTCGATGGCGCCGTTCTTGTCGACGTCGAGGCGCGAGAAGGCCTTGCGCAGGTTCAGCTCGCGCGAGAAGACGGCGCAGGCGACGTCCGTGGCCAGCTTCTTGGCGGTCTCGTCGTCGGCCATGATGCTAAAACTTGAGAGAGCACATAACCTTCGAGCGCGCTAAAGAGAGCCTGCACCGTGCCGTGCAGCTTTGCCCCGGCGTCCGCGCTAACATGGCTCGGCCCCGACGCCGCGGGGCAGCCCCTCCCCCGTGACACCATGGAGGAGGCCAAGGGCGATGAGCCGCCGCCGGCCGACGCGGCGGCCGCGGCGTTCCAGATGAAGCTGAGCCCGCGGAAGGGCGGCGCCGAGGCGGGTGCCGCACCGTTCCAGATGAAGATGAGTCCGCGCACGGGCGACTCGCCGGCCGGCTTCCAGATGAAGATGAGCCCGCGCACGGGCGGCGCGGAGGCGAGTCCGCTGGGGAAGATGAGCCCGCGGCGGCCGAAGAGCCCCGCGGGGAGCGGCGGCGGCGGCTCCGGCTCCGGCTCCGAGTCCGAGTTCTCCGACTCGAGCAGCGAGGACGAGCCCGTGGAGAAGAAGGAGCTCGCGTGGCTCGAGTTCGAGCCCGACGGCGCCCAGGAGCCCTGCAAGTGGTGGTGGAACCGCGAGACGGGCGAGCTCGCGTGGGTCCACCCCTACCGGTGCGCGACCGCCGTCATGCCCAAGCGGATGGACGTCGACGCGACGGGCGAGCAGCGGCGCCTCGCGCAGAAGGCGCGGGCCATGCGCGCGTCCATGTCGGAGAAGAAGAAGCGCCACTTCCGCACGGCGCGGAACTTCGCCAAGGAGTTCAAGTGGCTCAAGGCGTCGCGCGAGGTCGACAGGGCCGCCGCCGCGGCCGCGGGCGACTCGGACCGCTACGAGCTCGCCCTGGCGAGCGCGCGCATCCACTACGCGACCTGGGTCACGGAGGACCACTGCGCGTCCGCCGAGGCGTCCTACCCGAGCTTCCTGAAGGCCTTCGCCATCGCCGACGAGCTCGGCCCCACGCTCAAGGAGCCGCTCCACTGCTTCGAGGCCGCCGCGGCGCTCGCCGGGCTGCCCGCCGAGGAGGGCCAGGCGCGGCGCGCCATGGCCCTCCGCCTCATGGTCCAGCTGGCGCCGAAGGAACGCGAGCTCGCGGAGGGCGAGGACCCGCGGCCGACGATCGTGGAATACCACGCGGTGCTGTGGTGCGTCGCGCTCATCCAGGCGAGCGGCGGTTTAGGCGACGGCCGGGCCGCGGCCTACCTCGAGTGGCTCCACGAGCTCCAGAACGACGTCAGCTGGGACCTGCCGTCGGGCGTGTCGCGGCCGACGACGTCCGCGTCGACGCGGCCGACGACGCCGGGCACGCGGCCGGTCACGCCCGGGGCGCCCAGCTCGCGGCCGGGCACGTCCGGCGGCCGGCCGGGCACGGCGGCGTCGCAGCAGTCCAAGGCGTCGTCGGCCATGTCCATGTCGACGCACGTCTACGGGTTGGACGTCGCGGACGCGGTGCCGCGGTGGGTGCTGGCGCTGCTCTGGAGCAAGGCCCTGGCCTGCCAGGGCCTGGGCTTCAAGGCCAAGGCGGCGCTCCTGGAAGCGCGGGCCCTGTCGTCGACGGACGAGTCGGCCTTCGCGCCGCCCTGTGCCGAATTCAACCACTGGTTTGGGTGGTCCTGACCAAACTTGAGAATTCTCTAGCTCGGTCAAATCGAAGTCGATTCGGCTGATTTTGGGACGAATCGATTGCTCTCGTCGATTTCTCGAAGCACAGTCGAAGAGCTTGCGTCGAAACTGTCGCATACGCTCACATTTAAGTCGGGTTGAAGATTTGAATTTCACACAGGCTCCGCCGCCGGACGCGCGCGCGAAGCGCGACGACGCGTGGATGAGCGACGCGCGCGTCTGGCGCGCCGCCGGCGACGCGCTGACGTGGAGCCGCCACCCGTTCTTGGCGCGCGGCGCCTACGAGAGCGCCACCGTGGCGCTGGGCAAGCAGCCGAAGTCGCGGATGGTCAAGACGCGCGCGAAGCGCCACGCGGAGGGCCTCCTCTGGCTCAAGCGGTCGCGGACGGAGCGGCTCATGCGCGACGCCGAGCGCTCCTGGGCGTCGCTCGACGCGGGCCTCAAGGCCCACCCCTGGGGCCCGGAGCTCCGCGCGGCCGCGCGGGCGTGGGACCCGGAGGGCCCGCGGAAGGCGGCGCTGGACGCGGAGGAGCTCGCCATCGCCGGGGGCGCGCAGGCCCTGGCCCGCGGCATGCTCGCTCGGAACCACGCCTACGACGCCAAGGTCGAGTACGAGAAGCAGAAGGCCTGGGAGGCGGAGCAGTACGCGAAGCTCGAGCACTTCCTCAAGGTCCACATGGCCGAGGGCGGCCACCGCATCTTCCTCAAGTGGGCCAACTACACGCGGGCGCAGAAGAAGCTCAAGATCTACGCGTCGATCCACGTCGCGAACCGCGTGCGGCGCATGCTCGCGAAGCGCCGCGCGGACCGGAAGCGGTACCACAACCGCGTGCTCCTGCGTGGAACTCAAATCTTCAACCCGACTTCAATGTGAGCGTATGCGACCGTTTCGACGCAAGGCTTTCTGCCGTGCTTCGAGAGCTCGACGGGAGCAATCGATTCGTCCAAAAATCAGCCGAATCGACGTCGATTTGATCGAGCTAGAGAGGTTTGAAGTTTGGTGGGGACCCCCCAAACCAGCGGTTGATTTCCACACAGGCGTGCTCAAGCGCGACTTCCCCCGCTTCCTACTCCGCCAGAAGGCGCGGGCCGTGCTCGTGTTAGTCAAGACGCGCGAGCTCGCGCAGCTGCGGCGCTGGGCGGCGACGGTCATCGAGGCCGGCGTCCGCGGGAGGCGCGGCCGGCGATTGGCCGAGTGCGAGCGGCTCGTGCTCGAGGGCCTCAAGATGCGGCTGAGGCGCCACCTGCGGACCTGGCGCGTCGTCGTCGGCGGCTGGACCCGCCAGCTCCGGAAGATCCGCATCATCCAGCGGGGCGCGCGCGCGTTCATCGTCAAGGCCGCGGTCGCGCGCATGGTCCAGAAGGCGCGGACCGCGCGGAACCGCGTGAAGCGGAACCTGAAGAAGCGCACGATCAAGTCGAAGCAGGCCGTGCTGCGCGCCTGGCGCGTCGAGGCGCGGAAGGAGATCCGGCGGCGGCACGCCGCGGCGGCCTACGTCATCCAGCACTGGTACCGGACGCGGCGCATCGTCTGGCGCGCCGCGCGGCTCCAGCGGCGGCGCAAGCAGTTCGCGGCGGACATGAAGCGCGCCATCTGGGCCTGCTGCCACGAGTGCCTCGAGGCGCTCCACGTCGACGCCAAGGCGCACAAGATCCAGCGGGCCTGGAAGTGCAAGAAGTCGCGCATGCTGCTCAAACGCGCGCGCGTCCAGACGCACCGCGCGCGCAAGCTCCGGCGCAAGTGCTGGCGCATGTACGGCAAGGCGGCGCTCAAGGAGTGGTTCAAGCTCCACAAGCGCGAAAAAAAGGGCGCGCGCATGTTCCAGAACTGCTGGCGGTCCTCGAAGGCGCGCCGCGAGGTCGCGGAGATGGCGCGCCGGCGCCGCGACCACGTCGCGAAGATCAAGTTCGCCTGCGGCAACCGCGAGCACCGCACGCTCGCGCGGTGCCACGTCTCCTGGCGGCGGCTGACGCGCCTCGCGAAGATGGCGCGGCGCGTCCAGTACGCGGGGCGGCGGCTCCTCGCGCGGCGCGAGGTCGCGGAGATGGCGCGGCGCCGCCGCGAGCAGAACCTGAAGATCGCCATGGCCATCGGCAACAAGGAGGCGCGCACGCGCTTCCGCTGCTTCTCCAACTGGAAGGTCGACGTGAAGCGCGAGGTCGCGGCGCGGAAGCTCCTCGCCATGGTCAAGGCGCACCAGGCGCGGGCCTACCTCCGCGAGCTCGCGCGGATCCGCCGCGAGCAGAACGCGAAGATCGCGCTGTGCTTCGGGCGCAAGGAGCTGCGCCTGCGCGTCAAGTTCTTCAAGCACGCCAAGGAGTCGTGGATCTGCGGGCGCAAGGCGCGCGCGATCCAGCGCGCCGCGCGCGCGCGCATCGCGCGCGACGTCGTCCGCGAGAAGGCCAGGATCCGCCGCAACAACAACGCGAAGATCGCGCGCTGCGTCGGCGCGAAGATCCACCGCACGATGAAGAAGTGCTTCCACGGGTTTCTGATTCTGTGGAAGTACCGCCACGAGCGCGAGGCGGCGCAGGGCGCCGCCGACCGCGCGCACGCGGACGAGGCGGACCGCGTGGCGACGGCGGCCTACGCGGCCCTGCGCCACGCGGCCATGGTCTACATCGCCGGGCACGTCGCGCCGCTCCTCTGCCGCGCGGCGCTCTTCAAGCAGCGGCGCCGCGGCGCGTGGCTAAGAACGACGGAGCGGCGCGTCGTCGACGCGCGCAAGCGCAAGACGCGCGCCTGGGCCTTCTCGCGCTTCGTCGACGCGCTCGCGGCGCGCGCGGCCCTCGCGATCCGCGAGCAGGGGCTCAAGGAGGCGCCCGCGGCGCCCGCGGCGCCCGAGCCCGAGGTCGAGGTCGAGGTCGTCGAGAAGGCGCCGCCGCCCATGCCCGTCGCGCGCCCGGAGAAGCGCGAGCGGGCGCCGGTCCCGGCGAAGAAGCAGAGCATCTTCCACCAGCGGCCGAAGCCCCGCGTGAAGCGCCAGCCGCGCAAGAAGCAGGCGTGGCTCGGGCGGAGCGACCACGGCCTCTTCCCGGAGAACTACCGGAAGCACGGGCGGCGGACCGTGGACCTGCGGGACAGCTCCGGCGAGCAGAAGATGTACCGGTCCACGGAGGGCCTGTCGGGCGCCTACTTCGCCGCGCGGCGCCACGTGAAGCGCTGCGGCACGCTGAGCTGGAAATCGAACGAGATGACGAACGGGGAGCTGTCCGCGCTGAGCTCCATCGCGGCGGCCGTCGTCCTCGAGGCGCCCTGGGGCCGCGGGGACGTGCTCGACGCGTCGAAGGCGCTGGACACGGACGAGCCCCACCCGCACGTCGCGTTCGGGCCCACGGAGGACGACGGCGCGCACGCGGCGCGCGCGACGAAGCCGCGGCTGATCTGCCTGGGGTCCGAGGGCACGCCGACGCTGGACGACGCGTGCTGCGCGGCGCTGGGGGGCCTGGCGGCCGCGGGCCGCGTGAGCGCGGTGTCGACGCACGGCGTGCCCATCGAGCGCCGCGGCGCGCGCGCGCTCGCGGTGAGCCTGTGCCGGGCGGACCTCGTGACGCACCGGTCGTCGAACCTGCAGGACCTGTCGCTCGAGGGCGGCGACCTGGGGCCCGACGCGCTCGCGGCGCTCCTGGAGAGCTTGTTGTTACGGTGCGGCCGCGGCAAGCTCGCGCCGCTGTCGAAGCTCGCGCTCGACGGGAGCCACGTGGGCGAGAGCCTGCTGGTCGTCAAGCAGGTCGCCGTGCTCCTGGCGACGAACGGCGCGCCGGCGACGCTGTCCCTGCGGCGCTGCAAGCTCCAGGCGTCGTCGGCGCGCGCGCTCGCCCAGGGCGTCCACAAGCACAACGCGAACTGGCTGCGGCGGGGGCGGGCGACCTTCGCGAAGAACGACCGCGGGGAACTGCTGCGGCGCCTCGAGTCCGTGGACCTCGCGGACAACCCGCGGCTCGGCGATCGCGGCGCGGCGACGCTCGTCGGCGCTTTCAAGCACACGCGGTCCCTCGCGCACCTCGACATGTCCAACACGGGCTGCGCGGCCCTTGGCGCCGACGCCGTGGCCGACATGTGCGCGGAGATCTTCCACACGGACGCGCCGAAGGCGGAACGGCCCGACGTCGACCGGCCCATGCTGACGGTGAACCTGCGGCACAATCTTTTGATCGACGCGGACCGCATCGCGCGGCTGGCGGACGTGTCGTCCGACGCGAACTACCGGCTGGCGCTCCAGGTCGACGCCGCCGGGGGGCTCTTCGAGCGGACGCAGCTCGCGATGCAAGGCCTGTCGCCGTTGGACGCGAAGCGGCTCACGTACTCGCGGGGCCTGCCCCGCGGCGGCGGGAGCCGGCGGCGGGACCGGAGCCCGGACGGGGGCCTCCGGTCCCCGGAGCGGAGCCTCCGGGAGAGCGCCTCGGAGCCGGCGTTCCCGGACCCGCCGACGACGCCGGCGGACGGCACGCGGCTCGCGTCGCGGCAGCGCCACGACCCGTTCTTCACGGACTACCCCACGACGCCCGCCGGGGACTTGCTGCGGCCGCTGACGGGCGTGGGGTGAATTAGTTGTGTTGTGTGACTCGCGTCGGCGCGTCGGGCTTCGGCGGCGCGCCCCGGGCGCGCCTCGCGCTGCTGTTGCCGCACGGTTGTGAAGCTGCACATCGAGCTCCAGCATCGTCGACGACAGCTCGACGACCGCGCGCGCGAACAGACTCTCACCGACCGCGCCGACGCAAATCGCTCAACGCGACCGCACCGCACGCACGCAGCACCGCTCGACGCGACGACCGCGCCGCCTCCTCGACCATGAAGCTCTCCGACTACGTCAGCACCTACGCGCAGAAGTGCGCGCTGCCCGTGCTCTTCCTCGCGCTGGGCACGCGCATGTACACGCAGATCACGGAGACCATGGAGTTCGAGCTCCGCAAGAGCGAGCAGCCGCGGCCCGGCGACGTGCTGCTCGTCGGCGCCGTCGCCGGCGTCGCCGACGAGCTCGCGGTGCGGCTCGCGACGATCGGCAACGGCGCCGAGGCGCCGCCGGACCTCGAGACCGGCGAGGCGCGGCGCAACTTCGGCACGGACAAGTACGCGGGCCTGGAGAGCGGCTTCTGGCTCGGCGAGTCGACGCGGCGCCGCCTGGCCGTGTCGTCGCGCGGCGGCGAGGGCTCCGCGCAGCCCCAGGCGCTCGCCATGCGCTTCTTCCGGTCCGTCCAGCCCTTCGACGAACACACCATGAGCAAGTTGGAGAAGCCCGGCCCGGAATGGACCTGCCCCGGCGCGGTCGTCGGCGGCGTCGCGCAGTACGCGTGCTTGTGCCCCAACTGCCCCGCGAAATGGGCCAGCGTCGTCTACGTCCTCGCCGACGAGCGCGAGACGCTCTGCCGCGCGTCGAAGCTCGCCGTCAGCGCGGCGCCGACGCCGCGGGCCGCGCACGCCGCCTCCTTCCTCGACGCGCCGTCGTCCGTGCTCGACGTGCTCTCCGTGTCGGACGGCGAGGCCGCCTTCGACCGCGTCCGCGCGGCGCAGAACGCGTCGCGCCACGTCCTCGTCGTCCGGGCGTCCGACGTGCGCGCCGCGCCGCGCGCCGTCGTCGTCGCCGTCGTCGGCTGGGTCCTCGAGGTGCGCCAGCGGGGCGCGGACCGCGACACCCTCCCGAGCGCCGACTTCTTCGAAATCGACCCGGGCGTCCTCGGGCGGGCCCTCGACGGCCGCGAGATCAACCCCGCCGCGCTCAAGGCGCCGCCCGCGTGCGACCTCTCCGACGCCGCGCTCGCGGCGGAGCCGGACCTGCCCGCCGCGTGGGCGGCGGTGCTCGGGGCTTGAAAAAACCGGAAGTAAAAGGTGATGAAGCGAGCTCTTGGTTTTTGTCCCCTTTTTAGGGACGTCTGAGGCGTGGTGGCGGGCTGGAAGCGTGCTTCGTCCGCATTCGTCAAGTCATTCGTCCGACCAGTCCGCTTCAATGAGGCCTTCAACGACTTCAAGCGCCCAAGGTGAATTGCCGTGGCGAAGTGAAAGCGAAGCCGCCAGGTCGACCGCGTGGCTCACCGCATCTCCTAGCCCACCGCTCCGCACACCGCCGCACACACAGCCCCTACAGCGCGACCCGCACCGCGCCGACGCACACACGGAGATGTCGCTGCCGACCCAGGCCGAGGACACGCAGGCGAAGAGCACGAAGCAGCGCGGCCTCATGGAGAAGCTCAACGGCGTCGTCGACGGCTTCAGCGTCAAGACCGCGAACGTCCTCAACTACTTCTTCCCGCACCCGAGCTCGCCGGACAACGTCGACTCCATGTGCATGATCCCCAACGCCGCGGCGCGGGGCATCGATCCCATCACGGGCACGAGCAACTTCCAGGCGGCGCCGCCGGAGAACCCGATCTACGACCCGGGCCTCCCGACGAAGCACGCGGCTATGGTCGCCGGGCAGAACTGAATCCAATGAACAGGAAGAGCGGCGGCGCGTCTGATACCTAGCGCGCCGCGCCCTACCGAAGCTTCTTCGACCGCTCGCGTCGCGCGCCCCCGGCCGCGCCGACTGTGCATAATGTCCCTGTTGTCCCCCCTGACGCTAGTTCTATTCACGGTAGCTTCTCCTCGCGCCCGGCGAAGCGCAGCTCGGGCCCGTGCGTCGCGAGCTGCTCGAGGAAGCCGCGGTTCGGAGACACGAACGGACGCGCTGTGCGTATCCGTCGCAGGGCCTCGCCGTCGTCGACGTCGTCGCGGAACATGAGGTAGGCCGCAGCGAGCGTGCCCGATCGGGACTTGCCCTGCGCGCAGTTGATCACGACCGCGCGGCCCTTGAGTCGCTGGTGGTGGATCCATCGGCTGGTCTCGCGGAGGGCGTCGAGGCCGATGTCGTAGCCCTTCCGAGTCCTCCCACTCCAGATCCATCACGCGCCGCTGCCGGCGGAGCACGTCGAACGGCGCGCGCGTGCGCGGCAGGAACTCGTGCAGGCGCGTTCCCGCGCAGTTGACGACCATTGACGTGCCGTCCGCGCGGGCCTTTGCGAGGGCGGCCTTGTAGCCGCCGACGAACAAACCAGGCTCTATCTGCGATGCAGTGGCGTCTTGAACGACGTCGACGATGATTGCGAGCGCATCGTCGCTGACTTCGTCGCGCGAGTGTTGGTCCCAATCAGCACCGCATTCGGCGCATTTCTTGGCCGTCACCTTCGCCAGCGGCTTGCGCAGCACGAAGGCGTGGCCGAGGCCCTCGGCTGCGAACTGGGAGGCTGCGACCTGGGCGTCGGCTGCGATCTGGGCCGAAACCTGGGCTGCCATAGAACCTTCCGAGCGCGGGGCAGCCCAGCACCATCGTGTGCACCGGCAAGGTCGGCGCGGCCCTGCTCGACCTCGCGAGGAAGCCTCGATCGAGGTCGGCCCGAGATCGAGCACACAGAAGTAGCCTCCGACCCGGTCTTTCCACAGCTGAACCGCCATGAATTTCATGAAGAAAGCTGTCATTCTTGCCATCGCCGCCCTCGGCGCCAACGCCTGGGACGCCGCCGAGAAAGAGGCGGCGCTGAAGGTCGTCGACGAGTGCGCGCGCGGCGTCCAGTGGTGGATATTTCAGTCGGTCGCCGACAGAATCGCCGACGAGAGCGTCGCCGCGCCGCCCGCGCGGCGCGAGCCCGCGCGCCCGCCCGCGCACCCCGCGCGACGGCGCGCGCAACGCTTGCGCCGCGCCACGAGCGAGACCGGGCGCGGCGCGCGCGAACGACCCGCCCGACCGTCTCGAAAAGCCGCGCCGCGACCCGACGGCCGCGCGCTGCGCTGCGCGCCGCCTCCCCGACCCGCGCCGGCTCCGCCAGGTACGGCTTCCCGCGCCTCAAGGCCTTCGACATGATGACGCCGAAGCTGCTCCTCACGGTGCTCAAGACGTACACGACGGCCATGGCGCCCGGCGCCTTCGAGCACTTCGACGCCGAGGCCATCGAGACCGTCTACGCCGCCGTGTCGTCGTCGAACAACTGCGAGATGTGCCTCAGCTTCCACGCCATGGCCCTCGGCGCGTCCGCGAGCGCCGAGGACATCGCGGAGATCGTCGCCGGCGGCCTGCCCAAGGACCCGAAGATGCGCACGCTCGTCATCGCCTCCAAGTACGCCCTCGCGCACAAGGGCATATACCTCGAGAGGGAGCGGAAGCACCTCGCCGTGCTCGGCATCGAGGGCGAGAAGCTCGTCGAGCTCACGTTCCTCGTCGGCTTCATGTCCGCGCACAACATGAACTACGTCCACCTCATCTCCATGGGCCTCGAGCTCGAGCCCATGCTCCAGGAGGTCGGGCCCTTCGCCAAGACCATCTATGCCAAGGAGGGCGAGCTCTGAGCGCCGCACGGCCTCCGAGGGCGCGCGCCACTGTGAACCACACCCCATACCACCTGTGACCCCCTCTAAAAAGTGAACCAATCGACGGAGCTGCTATCCGCAAACGCAGCGGGGGGGCTGATAAACCCCATGGTGTAGTTAACTCCCCTTCCGCCCCTTGCGCCGTTTCTCGAGCGCGTAGGCCGCGGCCTTGGCCGCGCCGGCCGTCGCGAGGCCCTTGGCCGTCTGGGCCGCGCTGGACCAGAAGACCGTCGTCGCGAGGCGCTCGGCGACGGCTTGTTTGGCGTCGCCGCCGCGGACGCCGGCCCGCGCGGCGGCGGGCAGCCGCGACAGGCACCAGTCGGCGTTGTCGCGCGGCTGCGTAAAACTGCCGTCGCCGTCGACGCGCAGCGCGCCGGCGCCCGCCGCCGCCGCGACGTCGCCCGCGTAGAGGGCGCGGAACCGCTCGAGGTTGCCCGCGCCGGCGACGATGTTCGCGACCTTCTTCGGGTCCTCGGAGCCGAACAAAAACCGCACGTCGCCCGCGTAGCTCAGGTTGCCGATGGCGGCGAAGAGCGCGCGCTCGTCGAAGGTCTCGGGCAGGGCGAGGAGCGCCGCGGCGAGCGCCGCCCGCAGGTTCGCCCCTAACGCGGCCTCGAGCGGGCCGTCGGGCGCGTCGACCCAGACGACGGGCTTCTGGAGGCGCCCCGCGAGGTAGAGCGACGACCAGCGCCGCAGGTCGCGCTCGAGCGCGGCCGACGACACGACGCCGTACTTCATGAGCCGCCCGGGCTCGCCGGCCACGGGCACGAGCGTGTTGAAGTAGACGCCGGCGCCCTGGACGCCGGCGACGGCGGCCGCGCCGCACGCGCCGAGCCACGAGTAGTGCGACGCGTTCGCCGCGAGGTTCGACGCGTGCCAGGCCCGCGCGTCGTCGACGCACAGGATCGCGTCGACCATGGGCTGGGCGCCGCCGGCGTTCGCCTGGGCGACGACGCCGCTGCCGTAGCCGAAGGCGCAGCGCCACGCCGGCAGGCCCTGGCGCGCCAGGAGCTTGCTCAGGGCCGCCGCCGACGACGCCATGAGTGCGAAGCGGTGCGGAATTTTCTCACCGTGCGATGCAGCAGCGACACAGCGACTCACCGTCCGGTGCAGCGAGTGGGGCACATTTGCCCCAAGCCAATTGGGGCCTCTCACAAGGACAACATCAACGTTGAATCCACATTGCCGCACACCGTGGGTGTACCCACCACTCCAAAATTACTTCAGCTTGGGCCGCGTCTGCTTGGGCACGAGCCGCCTTCCCGCCTGGGCCGGGCCGATGGGCTTGCGCCGGGGCCGCGGCGGCCGCTTCGGCGTCTCGGCCTCGACGAAGGACACGGGCCGGAAGCCCGACACGTCCGCGAGCGCGTCGAGGTTGTTCGGGTCGCCGTCGCGGCTGTGGGTCTCCGGCGGGGCGTCGTAGTCGTCGTCGTCGTCGGCCTCCGGGTCGCGCATCTGGTGGTCGTTGAGCACGAAGTGGAGCTGGCCGTCCGTCGCGGCGCGGAGCTGCGCGCCGCCGCCGCGCTTCGCGTGGGGCATCGCGGACCGCGCGGCCTCGTCGGCGGCGCGCTGCTCGCGCTCGAGGGCGTGCATGGTCCGGAGCACGTCGCGCGCGCGCTTCACGCGGCGCCGCTTGTGCGCGACGTCGGAGATCTGGAACTTCCAGTCGCCCGGCCCGCGGCCGCGGGCCTTGACGCCCTGGCGCAGCGTGCCCACGTGGTCGCCGTCGAGGGACCAGAGGTGGACGAGGCGGTCGAGGCCCGACGACAGGATCGCCGACGACTCGCCGATGTACTGCACGGAGAGCACGCTGTCGCCGTGCGCGACGAACGTCCGCAGCCGCCGCACGCCCGCCTGGAGGTCGTAGGAGTTGGCGAAGCGCAGCGACGCCCGGACCAGGTCGTCCTCGAGGCGCCGCTGGCTCTCGAGGCGCGCGGCCATGGCCTCGAGCGCCGACGGCCGCGCCGCGGGCGCGCGGAGCCCGCCGAGCGCCTCGGACGGCGGCTCGTAGGGCGCGCCGCCGACGGGCGGGAGCCGCACGCGCTTCGCGACGTCTTCGTCGTCGAGCGTCAGGTCGCTGCGCCTCCCCGTCGCACAAATTCTTCAGCAGCGGCGCGATGTCCCAGAGCGTGATGGACCCCTTGTCGTCGCCGGACACGATGAGCACCCGCGCGGCGCCGCCGCCGGGGCCGCCCGGGTCGTCGAAGTCCGCGCGCGCCGCGCGGCCCGGCGAGCCCGGGTCCTTGCCGACGGTCGCGAGCGCGAAGCAGAGCACGGACGACGACGTCGCCGGCGCGTCGTCGCCGTCGCTCTCGTCGCCGTCCTGCTTCTTCTCGTCGTCGTCGTCGTCGGCCTCGGCGGCCTTGGGCGCCGCGCCCGGCGCGCGGTCCGTGTTCCACGCGGCCAGGCACCGGAACCGGTCGTCGCTCGGCGGCACGGCCCACAGGTGGAACGTGCCGGAGCCGTCGCTGCTCAGTAAAGCGGGGTACGGGTCGACGAAGGCCAGGTTCGTGATCGCGGAGATGATCTTGTCGCATTTCCCGAGCAGCCGGCCGAACTCAAAGTCCCAGATGACGACGGTGCCGTTGCTGCCGCCCGTCGCGATCAAGCTCAGGTTGTGGGAGAAGCACAGCGCCGTGATGTCGGCGTCGTGGCCGCCCGTCATGCGCCGCAGGAGCACGGAGTCGCCCTCCTCCGTGTCGTCGTAGACGTGGACGGACCGGTCCCAGGACGCGGTGATGACGACGTTGTGCTCCTTGGCGTAGCAGACCTTGGAGACCTCGGCGAAGTGGGCCCGGCGCGTGAACTGGGACAGGTGCGCGACCTCGTCGCCCTCGCCAATATCTAAATCCTCCGTCGTCGGCCGCGGCGGCGGCGGCGGCCGGTCGCCGCGGTCGCCGCGCTCGTCGTCGCTCCCGTCCTCGCCCTCGAAGTTGGCCATGAAGGCGCCGTTGAGGTAGTTGTAGGACAGGGCGTGGCCGCTGTGGTCGCCGACGAAGAGCTTCCGCTGGTCGCCGTCGAAGGCGACGGCCGTGAGCTCGTCGTCGCCGCCGCTCAGGTCGCGGTAGACGCGCATGAGGTGGCCGTTGCGCGCGTCCCAGATGCGCACGTGCTTGACGCTCGCCGTCAGCAGGGTCGTCGTCGTCGAGTTGTAGAGCGCGGCGAACACCGGCGTGTCGTCCGTGAGCTCCGGGTTGTCGAGGTGCTGGTACTGGAACGTGTGGATGGCCCGGCCGACGGCTAGGAGCTCCTTGCGCGGGTAGACGGAGACGAAGCGCGAGATGCCCGCCTTCCAGCGGTCCTCCACGGTGAAGGTCTGCACGCACGCAAAGTTGCGCACGTCCCAGACCCGGATGACGCCGTCGACGTCCGCCGTGACGAGCTGCGGCGAGTCGGCGACGATCTCGACGCCGCAGATCGAGTTCGTGTGGCCCGGCAAACGTAAGATGAGGTGCTCGACGTAGGGGTTCCAGACGATGACGTCGAAGTCGAAGCCGCCGGAGACCAGGAACCGGTACTCGGGCGAGTACGATAAACAACAAACGCCCTTGCTGTGGCCCTCCAGGGACCGCTTGTGCTTGCCCGTCTGCAGGTCCCACAGCGAGATCATGCAGTCCATGGACGCCGTCGCGAGCATCTCGAGGCCGCCCAGATTCAGCATCGTGAGGATGATGCGGCTGTGGCTGAACTCGACGGCCGTCGAGCTCGCGGCGAGCGCCTCCGGCGACCCGCGCGGCGGCCGGTCGCCGCGCGTGCCGTCGCCGTCGTCGCCGGACTCCGCGACGGAGGAGCGGTTGTCGCCGCCGCCCGCGAACGCCGGCGGCGGCGCGATCATCGAGAACCGCTCCTCCATGTCCTCGACGTCCCAGGCGCGGATCGTGCCCGACGACTCCGCCGTGTACAAGATGCGGTGCGAGTCGACCCAGACGACGCAGACCTGGAGGTTCTGCGTCCGGAAGGACTTCACCAAGACGCCCGAGAACTCGTCGTAGATCGACAGCATGAGGTCCGACGTCGACACGACGTACTGGGACGTCACGGGCATGTAGTCGAGGCAGACGACCTGCCCCTCGGGCCGCGCCACGGTCATGCGCGCCTCGAGGCGCGGCGAGAAGACGCGGAACTCCGGGGAGTCGACGTCGAAGGTCACGATCGCGTCGTTCGCCTCGAAGTAGTAGAGCTCCTTGATGTAGGACGTGCGCCGCTTGCTCACCTCCTTGACGATGCCCGGCGTGTAGTTCTGGATGATGTCGGGCTTGTGGTCGTGCGTCGCCATGACCATCTCGACGATGTGGCTCGTGAACTCGTCCCAGTCCAGGGACCCGTTGCCGTTGACGTCGACCTGCTCGAAGAGCTCGCAGAAGTGGGCCACGAGCCGCGCGTCGCCCATGGATTTGAGTTTCGAGTTGTCGCCCTCGGGCGCCGCGCCGTGGGGGTCACCGTCCGCGCCTTCGCCGGGCATGTTGAGCAGGCAGCTCTTCATCACGTGGCAGAACTCGGGCAGCTCCAGGCCGTCGACGCGGCGGCTGAACTCCGTGCGCAGCGCCTTGACCTTCTCCGTGTCGAGGCTCATCATGATCTCGCTCACGAAGCCGCCGTCCTCCTCGTCGTCAAAGTCCATGAGCTCGCGGTCCTCGACGGCGTCCTCGTCGGCGCCCTCGTCGAGCACGGGCGCGTCGTCGTCGTCGTTCTCGGCGTTGATGCTCAGGGCGCGCAGCGACGCGCGCGCCTGCTCGAGGTTCGCCTCGGACGCCATGTACGGGTGTTTTTTGCAATCACGGGCTGGCCATCGTGGCTTCAGCCGCGAGACGAAACGATCACGGGTAAATGATGGCTTCTTGACCACTGATTGCCCAGTGTTGCAGTGGCGAAGAGCCGATGTCTATGGTGCTTCTGCTCGCGGCCCTGCGAACAACAGCAGCCCTCGCGCCGCAGCGCCTCGTCGCGCCGCAGCGCCGGGGCCTCGTGCGGCTCCTGAGCACCGCGAACGTCCAGGACGCGCCGGCGCCGAAGCGGAAGCGCGTGAAGCGCATCCGCCAGCACATCAACCCGCTCGCGTCCAAGCAGGTGCAGCCCGCGGTGCTCGCCGACGACTGGTTCGCGGCCGCCTTCGCGGACCCGGGCAAGCCCCTGATCGTCGACGTCGGGTCCGCGCTCGGCGGCTGGGTCGTCGAGAGCGCGGCGGACGACGGCGGCCGGAATTGGCTCGGCCTGGAGATCCGGCCCGCGGCGCACGACGTCGCCGTGGGCCGCCTCGCCAAGGCCGACGTCGGGAACGCCCACTTCCTCCAGTGCAACGCGAACGTGGACCTCGCGCGCATCCTGGCCGACGCGGCGGCCGCCGGCGCGCCGCTCGAACGGGTCTGCGTCCAGTTCCCGGACCCGCACTTCAAGAAGAAGCACCACAAGCGGCGCGTCGTGACGCCCGAGCTCCGCGCGACCATCGCCGCGGCCCTGGCCGCGTCGACCTTCGTTTCGCCGTCGGCCTACCTCGTGAGCGACGTGCTCGAGGCGGCGACGGCGATGCGCGACGAGTTCCGCGGCGACGCGACGCTCGTCGAGGTCGGGCCCTGGAACGCCGCCGGCTGGCTCGAGGCGTCGCCCCTCGCCGTGCCGACGGAGCGCGAGCGCTGCGTCCTCGCGGGCAAGGGCGAGACGTCGACGGCGCCGGGGACCGCGTTCCGCGCGCTCTTTACGCCGAACTGATAGAATGTCCCGAACCACGTGCGCCGCTCATGTGCCGAGCCGCCGAGCTTCGCGCGGGGGAGAGCGACCTAGACGGTGCGCGAGCGCGTCGCGCAGCGCGTCCTCGTGGCCCAGGTCTAGAGCCCAGGTCGTGGCCGACCGGCAGCTTGCTTGGCCGTGCTGAAATCAAGATGATCATGATGGCCCAGCAGCCGCTCTAGTCTTAGAGGCGGCACACCGCGCGTCGCGACGCCAGACTTCTACTGCAAACACTTGCGCTGCCGGCGTGACATCGATGCGCAGTCATTCAGGCGGCGTCGTCGACCGCCATGTGGGTGCGATCGACGGCGAGCTGGACTGGGAGGAGGAAGCAGGTGGAAACAAGATCGCGGAGCACGAGGATGCCTCGAGCGATGACGATGAGTCGCAGGAATCGGAGGAGCAAGGAGCGGGTTCGTGCCTCGGCCGCGGCGACGACGCCTACGAGCCGCTGCCTCCCGGCGCCGACGCGCGGCTGCGCGGCGTCGACGTGCACTTGAGTTACGGCTACAGACCCAAGGTGCTCGGTCTCACCTTCATTTCGAGCGACGGCTCCGAGCGGGCCGTCGGCGAGACGCGCGGCACGCGCGTCGTGAGCTTTTCGCTCGAGGCGGGCGAGGGCATCGTGTCGATCGACTACAAGCGCCACAACCATCGGCCCCGTTACACCACCGTCATCCGCTTCCACACGACGAGCGGTCGCGTGTGGGCGTGCGACGACAGCGCCAATACAAAATATGGCTGGTCCACGCCCGCGATCTGGGCACCGGCGGGCGAGGTGATCGAGTACATCGGATATGACAAAATGTCTCTTCTCGTGACGGGAGAGCCGACGACGGCGCCGGCGCCGGCGCCGTTCGCCGCGGGGGCCGAGCCAAAGACGCTGTTCGCGATCTCGGGCGCAGCCGCTGCGGAGAAGATGCGGTTCGACTCGATGGCCTTGGAGGAGGACGCGGACGCTGACGCCGTGGAGTGCCGCGAGTCGCACGCCGCGCGCGTGGCGGAGGTCTACGAGCGCGCGCGCGACGACCTCGCGAATTCCGAGGAGGCCTCGGCCGCGAGCGACGCCGAGGCATTGCTCCAAGAGGCCGTGCGCAGGCTCGCAGCGAAACAAACGGCACTCATGGCCCGCGCCGACGGCGAGCGCGACCGGATCCAGGCCGAGTACGCTTCGGCCAAATCGAAGCTCGCCGCCGACCGCAAGCGGAAGCGCGACGACCTCTACGATGACCATCTCCGATGCAATTCCATCCTCAAGCTCCACGGGAGCGGCGGCGGCGACGATGCGCTCGGGCTCTGCGCGGTGTCGGACTGCCGCGCCCGCTACGACCCGCGGCGCGTGCCCCAGCGGCGGCGCTGCGCCGTCGACGGTTGCCCGTCGCGAGACATGACTTGCGGCTGCAACGTGGAACCGTGCCACCGCTGCCACGTGCCCATCTGCGGGGAGCACGCCGAGCGTCACGAGGCCTCCTGCGCCGCGATCGCGAGCTCGCGCTGCGGCTACTTCCAGGACGAGGATACGATCAACCCCGCCTGCTGCGGCAAGATCTTGGACCAGAAGAAGCTCGCAATGTGCTTCTACTGCAATACGATCTGCTGTCCATCGTGCCACGACACATGCAGCGGAGATAAAGGCTGGCGGGAGTGCGGCGCAGTCTGGTGCAACGGCTGCCTGCTGCCCTACGCCGGCGTCGGCGAGGCCTGCTGCAACGACTGCAGCTTCCACAGAGACCAGTGGGTGCGGTAGGGTCCTATTAACGTTTCTTCGGCGGCGGCGCGAGGTGCCGGGGGAGCCGGCGCGCGAGGAACTCGGGGATGTTGTGCCTCAGGTCCGGCGGGAACGGGTTCGCGTCGCGCGGCGCGACGGGGTGGGCCCGGTGGCCCGGCCCGAGCTTCGTCGTGCCCTGGCGGCGGATGAAGTTGAGCCAGTAGGACTTCGTGAGCTTGCGCGAGTCGTAGGCGCCGCAGCGCTTCAGGATGCGGTCGTAGGCCGCATGCAGAAAGGGCGCGTCGACCTCGGCGAAGTCGTCGACGAGCAGCACGGGCATGTCGACGAAGATGTCGTCCCAGGCGCCGTTCGTGCGCTCGATGACGGGGATCGCGCCGAGGTAGATGACCTCCCAGATGCGGTAGCTGTCCGCGCCGAGGCCCGGCGGGCAGAGCACGAACTTGGACGTCGCGATCTGGCCGTACGGCGAGAATCGGTAGAACGCGGCGAGGTCCGGCGGGTTGTTCATCAAGCGGCGGTAGTCGCCCTCGTCGATGGGCTTGCCGTCGAAGGTGGCGCCCTCGGCGATGGCGCAGTGCTTCTTCGTGCAGTACAAATTCTCCAGCGGCGGGTCGAAGTTGCGCGCGACGCGGTCGTTGATGCCGCTCCGGAACTTCCAGCCGCTGTTGTTGATCAACAGCAGGCGCGTCCGCGGCGGCCGCACGGCGCCCATGATGAGCGTGAGGAGCATGGGGATGTTGCCGCGGCGGATGCCCAGCGGGAAGGACACGATCTTCGGGTGGCGCACGTCGCGCTGGTGCTGCGTCGTGAAGATCATGCGCAGCTCCGTCGTCTCGAGCCAGTCCCGCACGAAGCGGGACCGCCGCGGGTCGATGTCTTTGATGGCGTACAGATAGTCCGGGCTGCTCGCGGTCATGACGCCGCGGTCGCGCTCCTCGAGGCACTGGCGCGGGTCCGTCCAGTAGTTCCAGTTCGCCGTCCGGTTGAAGCTCTGGCTGCTCACGGCGCCCCAGTTCTCCGCCGGCGTGATGTAGATGTAGGGGTGCGGCGCGTCCGCGAGCAGCCGCGCCATCTTGCAGATGCCGTCGCCGCCGGCCTGGAGCACCGTGACCTCGCCCGGGCCCGACCGCCACTTGCCCTCGAGGCATTTCAGGAAGTCCTGGTCCGGGCAGAACTCGCGGTCGAGCTTGTAGTCCGCGACGTGGTCCATCCACCAGCGGCTGAAGAGCCGGTCGCTGCCGCCCCAGTCCCTACGGAGGATGCGTGTGAGTGATGGATGAGCAAAACAGCGGGCGTGCTCACATGAAGTCCTTGGCGACGCGGATCGTCCGGTTCACCTCGTCGAGGAAGCAGTGGTCGCGCACCGGCGCCGCCGCGGCGACGCGCGCGAGCGACGCCGCGACGACGGCGAGGCGCAGCCACATGATGGCGACGCTGCTGCCCATGCTCGACAGTCAACCGGCAGTTTGAACATGCAACTATAAACCTCAACGAGTTCTATGCGACCGCGGGGAATGGAAGATCGCGTCCTGGTCCGAGTCCGAGTCCGTGTCCGAGTCGATCCGCGGCGTGTCGTCGCCGGAGCGGTCGACGAGGGGCGCGAGCGTGCTCGAGAAGCGCAGGGGCGGCGCGTCGTCCATGCTCGCGGTCGCGCGGAGCAAGCTCGACGACCGGCGCCGCGCGCTCGACGGCGGCCGCGCGCAGGCCGCGCAGAGCAGGCGCCCCGCGGCGTCGGCCCGCAGCTCGAGGGACGAGGTCCCCGGCGGGCCGCCGGGCAGCGCCAGATCCGTCGCGCCGCACGCGGCGCAGGCCGCGCAGTCGCCGTGGACCCAGGACAACGCCGACGACCCGCGCGGCGCGACGAGGCAGATCCGCGGCGGCGTCGCCGCGCCGTCCTTGAGCACGCCCCCGGCGCAGACGACGCAGGCCGGCGCGCGCCGCGCGGCGAGGGCCGCGCCGAGCCTGCGCGCGCGCGCCGCCGCGGCCGCGTCCGGCGCCGCGCGCCGCTCCGCGCGCCGCAGCGCGTCCCGCAGGGCCCGTTCGCGCCGCGCGGCGGCGTCGGGCGGCGCGGGCCGCTCGTCCGGGAGGTCCGCGGGCCCGGAGAAGGTGCCCGAGGTCAGGCTGTCGAGGAACGAGCCCGCGATGTCCAGCGTCGACTCGGACACGAGGCCGCAGGTCAGGCCCAGGTACCCCGCGTCCGGCACGAGCGTCGAGCGCCGCGGCGTCGGGCTCCGGGGTCTCGCGCCGCCGAGCGCGACGACGTCGCCGAGGCGGTCGCGCACGCGCCGCCATCGCGCGCGCGCGGCCGCGCCGTCGTCCGCGGCCTCCTGGAGCGCCTCCGCGAGCTCGCGGAACGCGCGGACGCGCTTGAGCTCGTTGGCGGCGCCGACGGCGTGGTAGCCGCGGCGCACCTTGGCGCCCGCGCCGTCGGCGAGCGTCCGCGACGCGATCGCGTGGCGCGCCGCGGCGGCCGCGGCCGCGTGCTTGGCGGCCGATAATAGTCGAAGGGCCGACGGCGCCGCGCCGAGGCCGAGGTCCAGGGTCACGAGCTCCGGCGCCGATGTCTGGGACAGCGACGGCCGCCGCGAGCTCCGCCGCGGCGGGGCCTCGGGCGCCGCGGCCGCGTCGCCAACCGCGGCGACGCGCGCGGCGAGCTCGCGGCACCACTCGGCCTGGAGCGCGCCGAGGAGCTCGGCGCAGAGCCGGTCGCAGCGTGTGCGCGCCGTCTCGAGGCCGTCGTCCGGCGGCAGGAGCGCCTCGGCCGCGGTCGCTTCGGGGGGTTTCGGCTCGTCGCGCGGCGCGTCCGGCTCGTCCGGGAACGGGTTCTCGAAGCCGCCGCCCGTCGGCGACGGCGGCGCCTGCACGGCGCCCTCCCAGGCGGCGACGACGCTCGCCGACGCGGCGCCGCGGTTCGCCGCGCCGCCCGGGAGCGCGCGCGCGGCGCCGACGGCGCGCTCGAGGAGGCGCCGCCAGGTCGCGCGCTCCGCCGCGGACCCGAAGGCGATGAGGAGCGGCTTCAGGGTCCCCTGGTCGCCCCGGTGGCGGAGCTCGAGGCAGTGGTCTTTCGAGTGCGCGCTCGCGGCGCCGACGGCGACGACGCGCGCGAGGCCGACACAACGCGTCTTGCGGCCCAGGTGCAGGTGGGGCCGCTCCAGGGCCAGTGCGTCCAGATAGAGTGTGCCGCGGCAGGGCCGCCAGAGCTGGAGCCGCCGCCGGTACTCGTGGAGCTCCGGCGCCTCCGCGAGGACGCCGTCGCGCGAGTCGAGCGACAACAACGCGTACCTTCCGTGCGCGGACGCGAGGAAGCGGTCGAGCGCGTCGCACTCGAGGCTCCGCTCGACCTCGCGCCGCGCCTCGTCGAAGACGTCCGTCGGGATGCGCCTCCGCGCCTTCCGCGGGCTGCTCGGCTTCTCGCCCGGCGGCGGCGGCGCGCGCGACCACCGCGAGGACCGCCGCGCGGTCCGCAGGCTCTCGACGGCGCGGTCCCGGTCCGCGCCCGATTCGGCCACGCCCAGGAGCCGCGCGGCCTTGGTGCTCAGGCGCGGGTACTCGCCGTCGGACTCGTCCGCGCCCGAGGACTCGTCGCCGGCCGACTCCTCGCGGTCCTCGCGCCGCCGCGCGGACAGGGCGCGCTCGAGGTCCTCGAACTGCGCTTTCGTCGCGTCGCGCAGCGCCGACGAGATGTTCACCTGGAGCGGCGCGCCGGCGACGACGAATTTTTGTAAGATGACCTCGCCCGTGCTGTGGAGCGCCGGATCGTCCGCGAGCGTCTTGAAGGTCTCCACGGCCTCCCAGAACTCGACGGACTCGCTCGCGAACTCGCCGGCGAGGTAGTGGTGCAGCTCGCCGCGGCAGGCCGGCGACGCGAGGATCGCGCTCAGCAGCCGGGCCTTGGACGTGAGGCCGTGGTGCGGCGCGTCCGACGGCGCGGGCATGCGGATGCTCGGCCTTTTCGTCGCGTCCTTCGTCCGGCGCGACGGGAACCAGCGGAACAGCACCATCGTCGTCGCGCGGTCCCGATCACGCCATCCTTGCTGCGGGGCGGATCACGCCATCGTGCAGATCATCATGCTGCCCCAAGCTAAGCTGATTTACCCCGTCGAAGTCGAACGATAGAGGCTGCCCGATTCGTTAGGAAGGCGGTCGTGAGCCATGCGCGACCCCGACTTCTACAAGGTGTTGGGCCTCACGAAGCGCGCCACGGCGGCGGACATCCGCAAGGCCTACAAGAAGAAGGCGCTGGAGACGCACCCGGACAAGAACCCCGGGCGGAACACGGAGGACGCCTTCAAGGCCGTCGGCGAGGCCTACGCGACGCTCTCCGACGAGGCGAGGCGCAAAGACTACGACGCGGCGCTCGCCGGCGGCGGCGCCTCGAGCCGCGGGTCGAGCCGCGGCGGCGCCGAGGGCTTCGCGCCGCGGCCCGCGCCCGGCTTCGACCCGTCGTTCGGCGAGAGCGGCTTCGGCGGCGGCTTCGGCTTCGGCGACGACTTCTTCGACGAGGCGCGGGCCGCGCGCCACGCGACGGCGCCCCGCGGCGGCGGCGGCTTCACCGTCGACGACGCGCGGGCCCAGTTCGACCGCTTCTTTGGGAACGAGTCGCCCTGGCGCGGCGCGCCGCCGCCGGCCCGGCCCGGCGCGCGCAAGGTCACGCAGATCTCGACGATCAAGCGCGCCAATGGGTCCATGGAGTCCATGACGCGGACGACGGTCTCGGGAGGCGAGTCCTTCGACTACTTCAACCGCGGCCACGTGCTCCACGGCGGCCGCGGCCACGTCGTCGATGTGGACGTCCACGAGGGCGCGCTGCCCTACGGCGACAACGCGCCGCTGCCCTACGGCGGCGACGCGAACCGCGCCGCGGCCGCGCGCGACCGCAACGCCGTCCGCGAGATCATGCAGCGGCGCGCGGCCGCGGAGCGCGGCGGCGGCGGGCCGGCGCTCGGCGGCCGCGCGGACGACGACGAGGACCTCGCGCAGCTCCGCGGCGGCTGGCGCGCGGCGAACGACGACGAGGACCTCGCGCGGAGCTTCGCGCGCCAGGAGCTCGGCCCGTCGTCCGGCCGCCGGGAGCTCCGAAGCTCCGGTCGCGCGCCGGCGCTCGCGCCGGCGCCGCGCCGCTCCTCCGGCCGCTCCGAGCGCCTCGACCTCGACGAGGCCGACGAGGCCTTCGCGCGACGCCTCGCGGGCGGGGAGAGCGACGCGCTCTGGCGGTAACTACATGTACAATTAGCCCCAGGTGACGCAGTGCATCTCCTCGGTCATGCCCGGGACGATTGGGTTCGGCTGCGGGAGGAGCATGCCCGCGAAGAAGGCGGACCGCGGCGACGGCGGGCCGACGAGCGCCAATTCCCGCGCGCCGCAGGCCTTCCCGCCGGCGACGCACTTCTCGACGCTGCCGTCCGCGCCGAGGACGAGCTTCACGCGCGTGCCCGGCGCCGCCGTGCGCCAGGCCTCGTCGCCCGTCGCGCCGTCGAGCCGCTCGTAGTCGAGCGCGAGGGCCTCGCCCTGGGCCCTGGCCGTCGCGACGAGGCGCCGCAGCCCCAGGTTCGAGATCGTGTAGGCCCACTTGCGCGGCGGCGGCACCGCGCGGTCGTACGTCGTCTGCTTCGCGGCCCAGACGTACTCGCCCGGGACGCCGGCGACGTCGCGGACGACGCGCAGCGTCCGCGGGCCCATGTGCTCCGCGAAGGGGGAGCCGACCCAGGCGAGCGAGTAGTCGTTGACGCGGACGACGCCGCCGGCGAACGCGTCGTCGCCCGCGCCGTCGACGCGCGCGCGCTGGAGCAGCGACGTCGGCAGGACGTAGTGGTTCGAGCCGCCATGGAGCCGCAGCTGGCTGAACATGAGGCAGCCGCCCTTCTCCTGGAGCCCGAGCACGGGCATGCCGAAGGCGTAGAAGACCGCCGCCGCGACCTGGACGCGGCTCCAGGGGCCGTCGCGCGGCGGGCTTTTGGCGCCGTTCGTCGCCTCGGCGCCCGCGTCGCTCTTCTCGCCGCGGCAGCACGAGACGACGAAGAAGACGGACAGCGCCGCGTAGTAGGCCAGGTGGAGGTCGCGGCCGCTGCCCTGCACCGTCGACACGGCGCCGCGGTGGAGCGGGTCGACGATCGCGAGCGCCACCGCCGGCGCGGCCGCGAGCGCCGCGAGCAGCGCCGGCCTTCGAAGGGAGAGCACGTCGTCGAGCGTCGCCGCGCAGGCCGCGGGGACGCAGAAGAAGAGGCGCGTGACCGTCGTGACGCCGAAGCTCGACACGTTCGACGGCGGCGGCGTGAGGCCGATGACCATGTGGAAGCCCACCGTCGCGAAGACGCCCGCGCGCGCGGCGACGGGGTAATCCGCCGGGTCGAGGAAGTGGAGCGCGGGGATGAGCGTCTCGAGGATGAGCGTGGCCGCGGGGCCGACGGCGGCGATGGACCGCGCGAGAGCCGCGACGACCGGCGACGCGAAGAGGACGTCGTCGGGCAAATATTCCAGGGGCTGCACCGTGAACAGGCTCCCGCAGGAATAGTCTCGATGAAGGAACGACGAGTTGAGCTTCCAGGCGCCGGACGCGAGGTAGAAGATCGACAGCTGGATGCGGATCGTCGCCGCCGCGGCCCGGACGACGCGCGCCTCGGCGTCCGTCGACAGCGGCGCGAACCAGCGCGTCGCCTCCGGCAGCAGCGCGGCGAGCAGCGCGACGTCCGTGAAGACGCCCCAGAGCTGGCTGTTGCCCATCCACGGGCCCTTGGCGACGTTCGTCGCGACGCGGAGCGCGAGCGCGGCGACGGCGATGATCGGCGTGCCGGGGCTCAGCAGCGCGAGGAAGAGGAGCGTCAGTAAGAGGGTTGTCGGCTGGGACTGCACCGTGTCCTTGAGCGCCGTCCCGGCGACGAAGCCGCTCAGGATGCGCAGGATGTTGGCCGCGGCCCAGAGCCGCAGGTAGGCCGTGAGCTGTTTCTGCGCGGCCATGCTTCGTTCACGAGTCTGCGCGCGTACTTTCGGATGCCGACGTCGACTGTACCGACGTCGACTATGCCGACGTCGACTGTATCGACTGTGGCGTTTTCTTCTTGGCGCTGAAAATGCGATAATTGCCACAGCAGGCTCAGTGCATATTGAGCTTCAAGCGAGCCGACTGTCGCGCCCTCGGCGCCCGCAACCGCCTGCGAGCCCGCGCGAACGCGACACGATACGCGGAGCGCAGCAGCGACGACACGCGCAGCGAAAAGCCCGCGCTTTCAACCATCCATCATATGAAGCACAGCTGCATGCTCCTCGCGCGCGCCGCGCTGCGTCCGTCTCGAAGGAGCGCCGCGACGATGATCTGCCCGCTCGCGCCGCTGGCGCCGGTCTGGCTCGCGGGCAAGGGCGTCATCGAGGCGCGGCGCCGCTTCTTTCCGGACGCGACGCCGTGGCCGCGCGCCTGGGAGGAGAGCGATCTGTGGCTCGACAAGTCGCTGAACTTCAAGAAGTTCGGCGGCGCGGACGCCCCGGAGCCCGAGTGCCCCGTGCCGCCGGAGCGCCGCGGGGACCGGCGGCCCGAGCCTTTCGACCCCGTCGACGTCCTCGGCGAGCCCGAGAACGCGGGCGAGTACCTCCTGCAGTACGCCGCCCTCGGCGGCGTCGCGACGGTCCTCGCGGGCGGGTCGCTCTACTTCCTGCTCGCGCAATAGCAGTAAGACTTACGCCATGCTCCCGGCCTCGACGTCGCCGAAGAAGCGCTCGACGACCGCCAGAACTCCGAGCGCGCAGACCAGCGCCGTGCAGATGTCGTCGCCCGTGCGACCCAGCGTGTCGCCGAACTGGACCGCGACGAGCGCGGCGAGGAGCGCGTAGCGCGGCCGCCACTTCTGCCAGTACTCCTGGTGGTAGCTTTCCGCGAGCCAGAACGTGTCCGTCTCCTCGACGGCGAACTGGCGCCGCTCGAGGCCGTCGTCGCGCACGCCGCCCAGCCCGACCCACGCCGCGGCGCGCGACGCCTCGTCGCCGTCGCTCGCGAAGACGATGGGGGCGTATTGTCGCGAGCCGAGTACCGGTTTGCTCGCGGCAAATGCCGCGTCGAGCACCGCCTCGTAGGACACGACGGCGTCGTCGTACGTGACCTGGACGGCCTCGACGTTGCCGTCGCCGCCGCAGACCGACGCGTAGCTCGGCCGCGCGTCCGGGAAAACGGCGCCCGCGTAGCCGCAGCACGTGTCCACGACGCCCTCGACGCCGAGCAGCTCCTCGGACGGCGCCCAGAAGCAGCCCAGGCCCAAGGTGGCTTGGCGCGTCGCTCGGAGAGCTGTGGGTGGTCGCGGCGGCGCGGTTTGCGGCCTGTTTAGCGCCGCGGCAGTGCGGAGCGCCGTCGGCGGCCTCGTCGCTCTGAGCGGCCGCGGCGGCGCGGATTTCAGCGCTGTCGCTGTGCACGCGAGCGCGATCAGGAGGCGCGACGCCATCGTTAGGCTGTTTGGTGCGAGGATTCGCGTGCGCGCGGCCACATAAGCTACTGAGCTGGTCGTCAAGGAGTCGATGGAGCCGGAGACGAGCCGGCGCGCCGCGGCAGCTTTAACTTACGTGACCTCGCCAAACGCCGCTTCCCGGCCGACTTCCCGAGCGCGCCCCGCGTCTCCGGGTGGGGAGGCTAGGACGGTACTAGGCGAGGTTATCAGTCGTTGCCCGACCGGTTGCTGCTGTGGCCCAACGAGAACGACCCCGTGGTGGAGATGGAGCCGCCGCGGCGGCCGAGGAGCCGCCGGGCCGTCTGGACTCTCGCGTCTTTCAGCGCGACGGGCTCGCCCTTCGGGCTCGGGACCTCCGAGGTGGCCGCGGGCTTCTGGGAGCCGCCGCGCGTGTTGCTGTGGCGGTACCGCGCCTCGACGAGCCGCGCGTGGTCGATGGGCAGCGTGAGGTCGATGTCCCCGAGCACGGCCTCGGCCGTCGAGAGGCGGCGGTCGATGTCGGTCTCGTACTCGTACTCGACCTGCTCGTTGATGTACACCGTGCGCTCCGCGTTGTCCGGCTTGAAGTGCACGTCGCCCGTCGAGAAGACCTTGAGCGTGTCGCCCTCCGTCGAGTAGAACTCGACGCCGAACGCGTCCGCCATCTCGTAGCGCGTCACCTTGAAGTTGATGTACGACTGCGACACGTAGGGGTCGTTCCACCACTGGTTGCCCCAGACCTCCGTGTCGAGCGTCGACGAGTCGCAGGTCGTGACGCAGTCCGCGCCGCTCGCGGTCTGCACCACGTTGCCGGACTCCGTGAGGTCGTAGGTCGACGTGTCGTCGTCCGAGTACGTGACCGTGATGTCGCTGCCCGTCACCTCGGTGACCGTCGCGGAGTAGGACTCGCCGTCGTCGTAGAGCGCGGAGACGGCGTCGCCGACCTCGCAGTAGTTGACCGCCGAGTCCGTCACGAGCTCGCCGCCGCTGAGGAGCGCCGACGGGCACTCGAAGCCCCCGTACCAGTAGCCGCCTTCCGAGTACGTGTTGTTCTCGCTGTAGTACGTGCAGCACGTGTGGCTCCCGACCTCGCAGTAGCACTTGGCGCACACCGACGACACGCCGCCCGTGTTCGCGCGGCACGTCGAAGGGATGCCGTTCGGGCACGGGTACACGCCGCCGCTCGTGCCGGCCTGGCACTCCCAGTCGAACGGCACGACGAAGCCCGCGCGCTCGAACAGGTTCAAGTCGGCCGAGTCCAGGCCGAGCACGCCGAGGCTCTCCCCGTCTTCGAGGCGGCGGCGCATGGGCAGTTGGTAGTCGTCCAAGGTCGAGTAGTCGTCCGGGTCGACGCCGTGCCCGAGCGTCGTGGTACCGATGGGCGCGGACGGCGTGTAGGTGTGGTTGTAGACCTGCGAGGCGCAGTGTGGAGGGGCTGCGAGGCGGGTGTTTGGGGCAGCGTTTGGACGCGGGATCGCACCATCTCCTCGACGTGGTCCAGCGTCGCCTCGATGCTCTCGAAGTCCTCGGAGGAGGTGGCGCTGGAGCTGCTGCCGAAGGCCGCGGCGCCGACGGCGAGCGCGAGGATCGCGTGCATGCGGTACATCGCTGCGCTTGGAATTTTAGCTGCGTTCAAGCAGGGCGGATGCCCGGATTGTTGTAGTGAAACATTCAGAAGTCTTGTCAGAAGTCTTGTGGACAAGGACGATGATCGCGTCGCGCGCGCGGCTGTGCGTCGCGCGCAACACGTCAATGCTGCGTGGCATCGCGCGGCTGCATCGCGTCGCGCGCAACACGTCGATGTTGCAACCATCGATGCTGCGGTCGCAGGACACTCAGGCGCGCCACCTCTCGACAACAACAACACCAGAGGAGGAGGACATCGACGTCGACGCCGTGGCCTACGCCTTCATGGGCAGCAAGGCGCTCTTCGCGGCGCTCGAGCTCGGCCTCTTCGACGTCGTCGCGCGGCGCGGTAACTCGGCGACGCTCGCGGACATCGAGGCGGGCGTCGGCGTCGACGCGCCGCGGGCGCAGACGCTCGTCACGGCGCTCACGGCGCTCAAGGCGCTGCGCCGCGACGCCGCGACGCAGACCTACGCGCTGTCGCCGAACGCGGCCAAGTTCCTCGTCGCCGACGCGCCGGCGTACTACGGCGACTACCTGCGGCTCCAGGTCGGGTCGCAGTTCTACGACCGGATGGCGCCGCTCGCCGCGGTCATGCGCGGCGAGGACGCGCCGACGTACGCGACGTGGTTCGAGGATCCCAAAGAGGCGGAGCAGTACAGCCTCGCGCAGCACAACGGGTCCGTGGCCACGGGACGAGCGCTGGCGAAACAGGCGGACCGCGGCCGGCTCGGAGAAGCGCTCGAGACGATCGTCGCGAACGACATGGCGCTCCTCGACGTCGGCGGCGGCTCCGGGGCGTTCTCCTACGTGTTCGCGGAGCGCGGCGCGCGCGCGACGGTGCTCGAGCTGCCCGAGGTCGCGGCGGCCGGCCGCGCGTTCGCGGGCGGGCCGGGCGTCGACGACGAGACGCGCGCGCGCGTGTGCTTCGAGGATCTCGACGTCACCGCCCCGGCCTGGCCCGTGGCGCCGGCGACCTTCGACGTCGTGCTCATGTCGTACGTGTCGGGGTCCGTGCCGGAGAGCGCGCTCCGCGACATCTACCAGCGCGCGCACGCGGCGCTCAAGCCGGGCGGCGTCGCCATCGTCCACGACTTCATGGTCGACGACTCCCTCGACGGCCCGCGGGGCGCCGCGCTCTGGGCGCTGCAACACGTCGCCGTCAACGCGGACGGCCTCGGCCTCCACCCGGCCGCGGTCGCGGCGAAGCTCGAGGACGCGGGATTTTCCGCCGTCGGCGCGCCCCGGGAGATGATCGGCGGCATGACGAAGCTCGTCATCGCCCACAAGGCCTAATTCGCTATTGCTTCCCGAGTCGCCGCTCGAGCCGCGCGCGGTCGAGCTCGCGCAGCTTGTCGGGGCACGCGTCCTCGATGATGTGGCGGAGGAGCGAGACCTCCTCGCGCAGGGCCGCGACCTCGGAGAGCTCCTTGCGCGACTTGCGCAGCTCCTGGAGGATCTCCCGCGAGAAGGCGACGGCGATGAGCGCGACGACGGACGACGCGCCGGCGACGGAATAGGCGAAAAATTTGATCGCGGGCCCCCACCTCTGGGCCACGGGCTCGAGCAGCTCCTTCCAGATCGAGTGCGTCTTCATGGAATCCGCGCTGAGCTGCAGCTGCGCCGTGTGGGCGGAGATCATCTCCATCTGCGACTGCATGTTCTCGTACTTGACAAACATCCAGCCCGTCGCGCCGGCGAGGGCTGACCCGACGGCCGACGCCGCCATGGGGATGAGCGGGAACATCGCTCCTCGGCAGCGCGGCTGCAGCAGTGGGGGATGGCGGCGGGGCTGCCTCGATCGATCGAAGCCCTGCAACACCTGTGCATCATGACGGGCATCATCGACCTGCCTTGGCCTTCTGGCGCGATAGAAGTGGACCGCGCCTCGAGAAGCAGCGCGCGCGGCGCGGGCGCGATAGAAGTGGACCCCGCCTCGAGAAGCAGCGCGCGCGGCGCGGGCGCGATAGAAGTGGACCGCGCCTCGAGAAGCAGCGCGCGCGGCGCGACGCCATGGTTGTTTTCCCGACGATCAGTGCGATTAACGCGATAACGAATGAGGATGATGACGCGCTGCGCGCCGCGCTCGCGGCGGGCGCGGACCCGAACGCCTCGATGGCTCCACCCCCTTATTTCATTCCTTTGATACAATGGTGCGCAGCGAAGGGATTGAGCGGAATGTGCACATTGCTCGTGGCGGCAGGTGCGGATGTGCACGCCCCGGCCGGATCGACTCTGGAGGCGGAGCAGGGCCTGGGAATGAGTTCACTCGCCAAAGCGATAGCGGGCGGATCCCACGAGCACGTCGTAACCGACGCGAACGTAGCTTGTGTGCGAATCCTTCTAGAGGCGGGCGCGGACCCGAATACACGGATCATAATTAACGGCCGCCAGGAACTGTTCATATTCCCTCTGCACCTCGCGATCTCGAAAAAGTCTGATAAGATGGTAAAGCTTCTCATCGAGCACGGCGCTGGCCTTGAACTGAGGCAGGCTGATGGCGCCACAGGCTTGCTCAATGCTATACGTCTCAACGAGGGCAAGATCGCGCTCACGCTGCTTCGTGCGGGCGCGGTGCCGAAGGTCCTCCGCCGCCGCAACATCCGGGACGAGAACGAGGCCCTGTCTGACTTCATCGTTGACATGATCAATTACGGAGGCTGGATCCCACACGTGCAGCGCCACCGCGGCATTCTCCTGGGCATCATCTCGCGCTTCTCCATCTGGAACCGGCTGCCGCACGAGGTCTTGGGCACGATCCTCGATTTTTGGAGCCCCCCTGGTGGTCGCAGGCCGTGGGCCAGCGAACTTGAACGAGAGACTGTCTGACTCTCACGAGAGAGCGAGGAGACGCCTGGAATGAGTGGCTAAGTGCCTGTTGTGTGCGACAGCGGAAGAGGCCTCGGAGCAGGTCGCAAAAGTGCACCTTGACGGGATCATGCCTCAACAGGAAGCGCCGCGGCGGCTCTCGGCTGCGCTGCCGCGCCCCGCGCATCGCGCCCGCGCAGCGTGGCGCACGACCGGATGAACCCCAACAATAGTGCTTTAATCGCCTTACTCTCTCAAGACGAAGACGGGCTCCGTGCCGCTCTCTCCGCGGGCGCGGACGCAGACGCCACCGTCGAACCGGAGTCATCTTTTCTTCCTTTGATTTGCTACGCCGCATCGCAAGGGCTTATTGGATCTTGCGAATTGCTTGTAGCGGCAGGAGCAAATGTGAACGCTCGAGCGAGGAGACATCCGTGGCCCCATGGCGTCGGAATCTCGGCGCTCCAAGCCGCGCTGGGTATTGACGGATCCGATGCGCACGTGGCTTGCGCGCGAATCCTGCTACGGGCGGGTGCGGACCCAAACGAGCCCTTTTCGAGTATGCCCGGTATACAACAGGCTTGGTCCTGTCCCGCTCTGCAGTGGGCTATCAAGGATTCACAGCCTCGAGCGGTGCAAATGCTGATCGAGGAGGGCGCTGACCTCGAATTGAAGGACTCTGATGGCCTTACCGCCTTACAGGTTGCCATGTGGAGGAACGAGCGCAAGGTCGTGCTCACGCTGCTCCGTGCCGGCGCTGCGGCAAAAGTATCCCGCCGGCGCGAGATCCGCAACGAGAACGCGGCCTTGTCTGACTTCATGGCCGACATGATCAATGATGGCGGCTGGATCGCGCGCGTGCAGCGGCACCGTGACCGGCTCCTGGGCGTCATTTCACACTGCGTCCCCCGCCTACCGCACGACGTCAACGTCGCGATCCTTGGCTTTTGGAGCCCACCAGGGGGTCACTAAGTTACTAAATACACGATGACACCGAAGCATCGCCCTGGAGGGCGATCAAACTACGGAAAAAAACACAGTAGTTACCCTCACGCCCCCACCACGGCCCGGTCCGTCAGGTCCAGGTCGACGACGCCCCGCCGCGTGCCGACGAGGTAGCACCCGAGCTTGACCTGGGCGTCCGGGAGGTCGTCGCCGAAGGCGTCGACGACGGCGAGGTCGATGCTGCAGCGGTAGGGCTCGAGGTGGACCGTGAGCGTGAGCGGGTCCGGCGGCGGCGCCGCCGCCGGCGCTCCGGGCGCGCGCGCCAGGGGCCCCGCGCGCAGAAAGTCGAGGCGCTCGAAGCGCTGCGGGTCCAGCAGATCGCGCTGGCGCATGGACTCGTGGACGACGCGCAGGTCGTAGGACCGGCCCAGCACGACGAGCACGGACCGGCGCGGCCGGACGGCGTCCGCCGCGTCGGCGACCGCGACCGCGGCGCGGCGCGCCGCGCGCCGCACGGCGGCCGGCCGCCGCTTCCGCGCGGATAGGCTGAGCTGCACGATCGGGTCCGGCACGGCCCGCTCGTCGCCGTCGACGACGCGGACCGCGACGGCCGCGCGCCGCAACCGCAAAGTGGAGCAAGGCGCGAGCCCGTCGTTTCTCAGCTCCAGGCGCTGCGGCGACGTCTGGAGGTAGCCCGGGCACGTCGCGACGGCGTGGGGGAAGGCCGACGGCCCCGGGGTGCCCGGCACGCGCCGGCCGACGTGGCGGTAGCCCCGGGGGCCGGGCGCCGCGGCGAACTCGTGCCCGCCGATGGTCACGACGGCCCCGGGGATGAGCGCGTCGCTCGCGTCGTCGACGACGCGGACCATGGCCTCGAAGGTCTCCGCCTCGAGCTCGACGACCAAAGCGAGCGCCGCGGCGCCGCAGCCGTCGAAGTGCGCGACGTCGAAGGTCACGGGGTCGCGGAGCGACCGCTGCCGGAAGCCGTCCCTGGTGCAGCGGACGCGGTAGGCGACGCCGAGGGACACGCCCGCCTCGGCGACGCCGTCGCGGCTCAGCGCCGGCGCGCAGGCGCCGCCGTCGACGCGCTCGAGGACGACGCGCGCGTCGAGGAGCGCCGCGGGCGCGCCGCGCGCGCGGAACCGCACCGCCGACAGGCGCACGCGGAAGACGCGGAGCCGGACGACGACGGGCGCGACGCCGCCGGGCACCGGCAGCACGCGGCCCCGCGAGGCGTCGACGTCGTCGTAGCCGTCCAGCAGGGCGTCGACGCGCCGCGGCGCCGTTAGGTCCGAGCCCGCGAGTTCCAAAACGCCCCGGCGCGTCCCGAAGTGCTCGTCGCCGCAGACAAAGTCGGCCAGCGGCAGGTCCGCGCCGCTCGCGGCGTCGACGACGCGCACGTCGACGGCGCAGGACGACGGCGCGAGCGCGACGGCGACGTCCAGCGGGCCCCTTGAGAAGTCGTCCGCCGTATAAACGACGGCGTCGACCATCGTCTTCTGCGCGTGCCGCTTCGCGTCGACGACAAAGACCAGCGGGACGTCCAGGGGCACGGCGACGGGGTTCCGCGCCGCGGAGAAGACGGCGACGACGCGGCCCGTGTCCGCGCGGCGCAGCTCCGCGCGCGGCGCGGCGTCGGGCGCGCGCGGCGCCCAGGGCGCGCCCGTGTCGAAGTCGACGAGGCGCAGCCGCACGAGCGCGCGCCGCAGCCGCACGGCGACGGCCGTGCGGTCGCCCGCCCGGAGCCAGACGCGGTCCGGCGAGCAGCGGAAGTACGTCTCCAGGGCCGCGCTCACGAGCATCGGCGTCGGCTCGCCGTCGCCCGCCAGGGCGACGCGCCGCACGCGGCCCCGCCGCGCGCCCAAATTCAGCGGTTTTTGGACCATGGGCGGCCAGTCGCCGACGTGCGGCGGCGCGTCGCCGTCCGGCGGGCTGAGCGTCACGAGCGCGTCGTCGAGGTCTAAACCCGTCGCGTCGTCGACGACGGACACGTCCAAATCGCCGACGCAGGGCACGAGCTTCACGGTCATCTCCAGGGGCGGCGACGCGCCGCCGCGGCCCTCGAGGCTCGCGGGCGCCAGCAGCCGCGCCGCCCGGGTCCGCGCGGCGCCGCCGGCCCACGTCCGGAGCGCGCGCGCGGCCCGGAGGTCGTTGAAGCGCCGCAGCAGGGCGAGGGGCGTCGTCGCGAGGCAAAAGGTCGTCGTTTGACATAATTGGAGCGGCGGCGGCGCGAGATTCGGCGTCGCTAGTTTTTCCCGGGGGCCGCCGAGCGCGACGAACTTCTTCGCTTCGAAGAGCACGGGCTCCAGATGGGACACCTGGCGGTAGCCCGGCAGGTCCGCCGCCACATCGTACAAGCCCCGCGTCGCGTGGCGCGCCTCGCAGGCGAGACCGACCGGGAGATAGCAGCGGAAGGTCGCCGTCCACCGCTCGGGGCGCAGCGCGGCGCCCGCGACGACGTCCGTCCGACTTTCGCCATCAAAATCAATACCGTAGCGGCCGCCGTCGAGCGCCGACGCGACGACGCCCGCGACGTACGCCTGCGCGGCGCCCCGCGGCGCCTCGACGCGGTCGCCGACGGCGTAGGACGCCTCCGCGGGCCGCGTCGCCAGCACCCCCCAGTCGAGCTTGCCGTCGCCGTCGGCCCTCGAGTCCAGGACGCCCCACCGGGCCCCGCGGAGCGCCGCCGCGGGCACGACGTCCCGCGTGCCGTCGTCGAAGGTCACGCCGTAGGCGTAGACCGGCGCGACGAGCTTGCCGCCGACGCGCGCGGGCACCGCGTGGAGCGCGGGATCGTCGGGCGCCGCGCCGTCCGCGACGTGCGACGTGACGACGCAGGGCCGCCAGGCCGCGACGTCGACGACGACGGGCGGCCGACCTCGAGCATGCTCGAGGCCCGCGGCCGACGGCTCCCGGGGCGCGAGGCGCACGCGGCCCAGGTCCAGCGGCGCGTGGGACCTAGCGTCGACGCACCGCGCGACCACCGACGCGGGCCGCAGCTGCACGACGACGTCCTGGGTCCCGCCGGCGATGAGCGTGACGGCGTCGCGCGGCCGGAGCTGCACGTGGCCCGGCAGCAACCCGTCGACGAGCGCCTCGACCTGGCGCGCGGGGAGGCCGTCCACGGCGACGTCGCCCGGCCGGCACCGCAGGTCCGGCAGGCCCCGCCGCCGCACGCGGACGCCGGCGCCCAGCGCCGACGGCGCGTCGTCGGCGACGACGGAGATGCGCAGTTTCGACCGCGACGGCTCGAGGGCCGCGACGAGCTCCAGCACGACGGGCTCCTTCGACGAGAACGGCCGCTCGCCGTACGCGGTCCTCAGCTTCGTCGACGCGTCCCACCAGTGCTCGTCCTCGAAGACGAGCTCGTCGCCATGCGCGCCGCCGCCGAGGACGCCGCCCACGAGCGCCGGTGAGGCCAGGCGCCGCTTCGGCGCCTTGACTTTGAGGACGTACCGCGCGCCCGGGCGGACCCGCGCGGGCGGCCCGTGCGCGGCGCAGCACGGGAGCCGCACGGCCGTGTCGCCGTCGTCCGCCGGCTCGAGCCAGGCCTCGACGGCGGCCTGGTCCTGCAAGGGTTTGCCCGTGGCCCCGTCGACGGCCCGGAGCGCGACGAGGGCCGGCACCATGACCAGAGCCACGTGCGCGGGCTCCGACGCGTCCGGGCGGGCCACGAACTTGTAGGGCGGCAGCTGGGCCCAGCCCCGGAGCGCCGCGCGCGCCTCGACGGCGCCCGACGGGGGCACGCTGATCTCGACGGCGCCCCGGGCGACGCCCATGCCCTGGCCCTCGCCGCGGCCCTCGTCCGACGCCGCGCGGATCGTCACGGCCGCGTACTCGGACGGCGGGTCGTCGCGCACGGGGTCCTCGTGCGCCGCGTCGAGCTCGCCGTGGCGGCCCGCGGCGTCGACGGCGAGAAAGGCGGCGCCGTCGTAGGCGCGCGCGGCGCTTTGGAGCGGCGTCTCTCGGTCTCTCGCGACGTCGTAGAGCGCCCGCACGCACAGCGTCGCCGTCGCCCGGAGCATGCGCGCGAGGACCACGGAAATCGTCGACACGCCCCCGGGCGGGAGCGCGAGCACGTCCGCCGGTTTGATCTCGAACCGGTCGCCGGAGACGAGGCGCATGCGGTCGCAGCGCGCGGAGACGCGGTACGCGCGGCCGAGCTCGACGACCGCCGGCCGCGGCCGGCCCGCGTCGAGCAGGAGCGTCCCGCCGGCGTAGCCCGCGTCGTAGGGGGCGACGGCCACCGTCGCGCCGTCGACCTTGGCCAGCGCGACGCCGTCGTCCTTCGCTTCCAGCGCGTCCGCCTCGACGGACGCCGCGCGCATCGTCAGTTGTAGCGTCGCCTCGTGGTCGCCGTCGACGCCGGCGCCCTCGAGGTCGTGGACGAGCTCCGACGGCCCGACGAGGACGTGGCGCGAGCCGAGGGCCGCCACGGGCAGGCGCAGCGTGCCCCCGGCGGCCGCGAGCGCCTCGAGGGGCAGCGTCAGCGCCCGGTCGCGCGTCGCCGCGGTCCCGCCGAGGGACACGGCGACGTCGTCTAAAAAGGTCGCCGCGTCCGTCGGCGTCTCCTCCACCAACACCACTGTAACTCTCAGTGCGACGGGCTCGAAGGCGACCTCCACGACGAGAGGCCCGGGCTCGTCGCCGTCGAAGTCGCTCCCGGAAAACTGGACGGCGAACGCGCCCGGCCGCGCGCGCTCGGGATCGCTCGCGCCCGGCGGCGTCGTCGCCGACGTCGGCCGCCAGGCTCGTAGGGATGCGGCAATCTCATAAGTGACGCCGAGCCGCACGGCGACGCCGGCGTCGGGCCCGCCGACGTCCGCGGCGCCGTCGGCCGCGACGAGGCGCCACGTCGCGCGCGGGAGCGGCTCGCGCGTCCGCGCGTCGACGCAGCGCACGACGACGCGCGTCGCGCGCATGAGCACGTGCACGACGACGGGCGGCCGCGGCGCTAGCACGTCGTTCGACGGGAGCAAGCGGGACACGCGCTGCCGCCGCGACTCGGGCGCCTGGACGTAGCCCGCGAGCGCCGCCTCCGCGTCCACGTCGAGCCGCGCGGGCGTGGGCTCGCCCGGCGCGAGGCGCGGGAGCTCGACGGCGACGGACCGGCCGTGGCCGTAGTCGACGCCGTTCAAAGCGAGCGCCGCGCTCTCCAGCGCCCCCCCCGCGCCGTCGACGACGCGCGCGGCGACGTCGACGGACGACACGGCGAGGCGCAGCGTCAGCGTCAGCGGCTGCCGCGCGTCGGCCAGGGCCCGGAAGCGGTCCACGCCCAAATCCGCCCTCAACTCCCCGACCTGGACCATGGCCGGCGCGGCCGCGGCCGCGTCGTAGGAGCCGGGGACGACGGCCAGCGCGTCGCCGGACGGCGCCGTCGCGCGGCGGCAGGCCGACGACCCGTCGACGGGCACGAGAGTGACCGTCGCGTGCACGAGGCGCTGCGCCGGGGCGCCCGCGCGGTCCTCGACGACGTCGACGACGACCGCGGCGCGCCGCACGCGGATCGTGATGCTCCGCGGCTCCGCGGGGACGTCGCGCAGGTCCAGCGACAGCGGGCCGAGGAGGAGCCAGGTGTCGTCGCCGCCGACGTCGACGGCGACGGCCGTCTGCGCCGACGCGCAGGCCCAGGGCAGCTCGAGCGTCGCGCCCGGCGCGACGGCCCCGAACGCGTGGCCGCCCAGATTCACGCGCGCGTTCGCCAACGGAGCGTGGTCGTCGCCCGCGTCGACGACGTCGACGACCAAAGGCACGGAGGCGTGGGCGAGGCGCACGACGCAGGCCACGCGCCCCCGCTCCTCCAAAAAGGCCGCCGCGGGCCACGCGGCGACGTCCGCGTCGACCTGGCGCCAGCCGGGCAGCTTCGCCGCGACTCGGTAGCCGCGGTCGGGCCGCACCGTGACGACCCCCGCGCCCCGCAGCGCGTCCGCGCGCCCGTCGCTCTGGATCTCAAGCTCCGCCGCCGGCAGCGCGTCGCCCGTCGCCTCGTCGACGACGGAGAAGTGGACGTCGCAGCGCCGCATGCGGAGCGACACGCGCGTCTCGCGGCCGCCCTCGAGGACGACGCGCGTCGGCGGGAGCTGGACGTAGCCCTCTAACACGGCGCCAAAATCCACGGCCACGTCGCCCGACGCGTCCTCCTCCGTCTCGATGGCGAGCGACCCGCGCGCGAGCCCCTTGTCGGCGCCGTCGACGGTGACCCGCGCTTCCGGCAGCCGCCGGCCCTCGTCGTCGACGACGTCCAACTTCGCGACCGCGGACGTCGCGCCCACGCGGATCTCCAGCGGGATGGCCAGCAGCGGGTCCGCCCTCGGGGGCGGCGCGGCGCCGGCGACGCGCGTCCACGTCAGCAGCCCGCGCCAGAGCCGGTGCCGCGCGGCGCGCGCGCAGAAGCGGTACCGCGGGTCGTGGATTTCTTCCTCCTGCTTCGCGCGCGCGGCCTCGCGCATGGCGTCGAAGGCCGCGTCGGAAAAGGTCACGGGCGTCGACGCGTCCGTCCACGCCGTGCCCTTGAACGCGCCGACGGCGCCGAGGCGCCACTTGCGCACGCAGCGGCGGTCGCCGCCGTCGCCGAGGCGGACCGCGTAGCCGGGGTCGCCCGTGGCGACGAGCTCGCGCGCGTCGCCGCCCGCGGGGAAGTCGACCTGGCGCCGCGCGGCGACGTGGGGGTGGAGGTGCACGGCTATGGCGTGCGTCACGTCGTCGAAGGGCCGCTGCGCGGGCGCGGCGCCCGCGGTCTCCGCGCCGCGCACCAGCAATTCCAGCGCCTCGGGCGTCGCCGCGTCCCGGAGCGCGCGGACGTCCGCGGCCTCGGGCCAGGCGACGTCCAGATCCCAGCGGTCCGACGCTCCCGCGGCGGACGTGCCGCGCACGTCGGCGACGGCCGTCTTCCGCACAACGAAGCCCGCGCGCGTCGCGTACGTCTCCGCGGTGTCGGATCCGTTCCCGGCGAAGGTCGCCCTGTAGGCCCGCCAGGTCCCCAGGAACGCGAGGAGCTCGCGCGCGTCGAGCGAGTCGTCGCTGCCCGCCTGCGCGATGATCGCCTCGAGATCCCGTTGTTCCAAAACTTTGAGGTCCGGCCACTCCGTCGCGCGGCACGCGTCGAGGAGCGCGGCCGCGCCGAGCGCCCCCGCGCCGGAGAACAGCGACGCCAGCGCCCCGCCGTCGTCGGCGAAGGCCACGAGCGCGGCCGCGGCCCGCGCCGCCCCGAAGGCCTCGGTCCAGGGCCCCGCGGCGACGTCCGCGGTCTGCTCGCCGCGCTTCTTGTAGTCGCGCGCGAAAGCCTCGAGCTCGCCGACCTCGATGGCGCCGTTGCGCGAGCTGTCGACGTGGCGCAGCACGCGGAGCGCGTCCTGCCGCGTCATGTCCGCGAAGGCGTCGTGCCTCCGCAGCCCCGCGTAGAGCTCGCCGGGCGAGATCGCGTCGTTGCCGTTCGCGTCGAGCGACGCGAAGAACGCGCCGACGTCGAGCCCCGCGGCCTCGTAGGACGCGACGAGCCGGCCGAACTTGTCCGCCGCGGCGTCGGGATGCGCCCTGAGGGCGCCGTCGTGGGGCGACGGCTCCCCGAGGCGCGTCGCGACGTCCTGGGGCGTGCCGACGCCGCCGCGCCGCGCGAACGCGAGCACGTCGTCGACGGCGACCGTCGGTTTTGTGGAGAGGCGCGCCACGAGTAGGCGGAGCATGGCCGCGGGCGCGTCCTCGACGCCGAGGTCCCGGAAGACGCGCCCGAGCGCGTCCGCGTCCAGCGCGCCGCCGGACGCTCGCGCGCGGCACGCGAGCTTGAACGCGCGGAAGCCCCGGGGCCGCTCGCCGGGCGCCGCGGGCTCGTTGACCGCGCCGCGGAGCTTCAGCAGCAGCGTCGCCTCCGCCTCGCCGACGTCCGCCGTCGCGCCGACCTGGCGCACGAACTCGTTTAATGAAGTAGTCCCGTCGCCCGTCGCGTCGTAGAGCGCCGCGAGCTTCGCCGCGTCGTCCTCGGTGACGTCCTCGAAGTTGGGCAACCGTCGGACGCCCGCCGCGAGGTCCGCGCTGCTCACCTCGTCCGCCGCGCCCGCGAAGTGGCGGAAGGCCTCCTCGGCGCCGATGCCGCTGCCGTGGATGACGCGGCGCAGCCGCATCTCCGTCACGACCGTCGCGTCGCGGCCCATGAAGCGGTAGAGCTCGCGGACGGAGATGGTGCCGTCGCCGTCGACGTCGAACAGCTTGACGAGCTCCAACACGACGCGCTCGCTCGCGGCGCCGTCGCCCGAGAGCAGGTTCCCGAAGGATCGGAGCCCCTTGAGCCCCGCCGCGAGCTCCGCGGGAGACACGCGGCCGTCGCCGTCGTCGTCCCACGCCGCGAACGCGGCGTCCAGCGACGTGCCGAGCTGCTCCGCCTTCAGGAGCACGCCCCGCAGGCGCCGCGCGAGCACGGCCGCCGGCGACCACCCCAGGAAGGCGATGAAGTCCGGCAGGCTCACGCCGTCCGCGCGGCTCGCGCGCGTCCGCTCGAAGACCGCGTCGACGTCCGCGTCGTCGACGCCCTCGAAGAGGCCCATGGTCGCGAGGCCCGCCTTGAGCTCCTTGCGCGACAGGAGGCCGTTGCCGTTGGCGTCCCACTCGGCGAAGACGGCCTCGACGAGCACGCCCCGTTCTAAATCTAACCGGCGGAGCGCGTGCTCGAGGCGCGCGCGCACGAAGAGCGACGCGTCGACGCCGCCGCCGCGGAGCAGCGCGCAGACGTCGGATTTCTGGCCGTCGTCCTCGACGAGCGCCAGGATCGCCGCGACCTCGGCGGCGTCGAGCGCGATGCGCAGGGACGCGAAGGCGTGGCAGAGCTCGCCGCGCGCGAGCTTGCCGTCCCAGTCGGCGTCCCACGACCCGAACGCGCCCGCGACGTCGACGCCGCGGTCCCCGGCGGCGCCCAGCGTCGCGCGGAGCACGGCCCGCGCGTCGACGGTGCGCGCCGCGCTGAGCTCCAGCTCCCCCTTGACGACGCGGCCCGCGAGGGGCAGCACCGCGGCGTCGCCGCGGCGGCCGACCGCGCCCGCGGCGGCGCCTTGCGCGTCGAAGCGCAGGTACCCCGCCAGGCGCGCGCCGGACGCGTCCGCGCCCTCGAGGAGCGCGACGGCGCCGCCGGCGTGCGCGCCCCGCGCCGGCTCGAAGACGCGGCAGACGACGGGGTGGGCCCGCAGCTTGAACGTCAAAGCCGTCGCGCGGCCCGCCCGCCGCTCGAGGAGATCCGCGGAGTGGTAGCCGTCGAAGCGCGCCTCCGCGCTCGGGAGCCGGCCCGCGGCGTCGCGCGCGAAGCCCGCAGCCGCGGCGTCGACGGCGCCCCGCTGCGTGCCGAAGCTCACGCCGTTCAAGGTGACGACGGCGCCGGGCACCGCGGAGCCGTCGTCGACGTCGACGACGTCGACGGACACCGCGGACGCCGTCGCCGCGACGCGGACCACGAGGAAGGCGTGCTTCCCGCGGGGCGCCGCCGCGTCCCAGTCCGCGTCGAGGCACGTCGTCTCGAGGCGCCACTTGTAGAAGGCGAGGCCCTGCCGCCGGAAGAAGAGCCGCCGCGCGACGCGCTCGCGCGGCGCGTGGCTCCGGTCGCGCCGCGCGAACGCGGCCGCGTCCTCCGACGCCTGGGCCAGGTCCGCCAGCGCCGCCGCCGGCGACGCGAACCAGGACAGGGACTCGAAGGCCACGGGGTCCAGGTGGTCGACCTGCTTGGACCCCTCGAGCGCCGCTTCGACGACGTAGGCGCCCCGGCGCGACGGCAGCACGTAGGGCCGCCGCCGGGGGCCGGCGCCCAGCGCCGTCCCCGCGCCGTCGAAGCGCGCGGTGACCGTCGCACCGTTCGCCGGGGCGCCGTCCGCGGCGAGGACGCCCACGTGGAGCACGTAGCGCTCGAGGACGACGGCGACCTTCGTCGGGCCCGGCGCCGCCGCGTCGACGCGGACCGGCCCCGCGGGCGCGAGCTGCGCGTAGCCCGCCAGGGACGCCGCCACCTGGACGTCGCTGACGCCCGCCGCGCCGATGGGCACGCCGCAGCTCCTGGCGCCGTCGGCCAACGCGACGCCGTCGACCTCGAGCGCCGCGCCCTCGAGCGCCGCGCCGTCCGAGTCGACGACGTCGAATAAGAGCTCCGCGGCGGCTTTCTCGACGAACACGTCGATGATCACGGGGCCGCCGGACCGGTTGCCCGCGAAGAGGCTCGCCGGCAGCGCGAAGGGCTCGAGCGTGCCCTCGACGCGGTGCGACACCTGGCGGTAGCCCTCCTTGTGGCACTCGACGACGTAGAGCCGCTCCGGCGCGTCGACGCGGTCGCCCGGCAGCAGCTCCGCGGGCACATCGCCGAAGGAACCGCGGCGCCGCGCCAGCAGGCGGAGCGGCACGCGCCGGTCCTCCCCCGGGGCGTCGTCGAGGCGCACGAGGGCCGCGCCGTCGAGCACCGCGGCGATCGCGCCCGCGCGCGGCGCGCCCGCGACGACGGCGACGGCCTCGCCGTCGCGCGCGACGACGGTCTCCGCATCGGTGCCGCCGTAGACGCGCAGCGTCGTCGTGTAGCCCGTCAATGTCGCCCCGTCGCTCCGGTTCCGGGCGACGAAGGACGCCATCGCGCGGCGCATGCCCACGTCGACGGCGGCCTCGTGCGCGGCCCGGAGCGGCGGCGGCGCGCGCGACCCCGCGAAGCCCGCGCTCAACGGCCCGAAGCCGACGAGGACGAAGCGCGCCAGGCGGCTCGAGACGTCGAGGTGGCGCGGCCGGCCGCCGCCGGCGATCTCGATGAGCTGCACGCGGCCGCGCCACGCGCCGACGCGGTGGTGGCCGAGCGCGACGTCCGCGGCCGGCAGCTTCGCCAGCGCCCCCTGGTCCTCCACATCTACATCGCAGACATCGAGGTCGACGCCGCCGTCGACGGGTTCCAGGAGCACGTCGCACTTGAGCGCGTCGAAGCGCGGCCGCCTGAGCACGTCCTCGAGTCCGAACGCGGCGACGTCGCGCGCGCGCGCCGCGGCGTGGCGCGCGACGACGTAGTAGCCGTCGCGGCTCGGCGGGAAGCCGGAGACGAGCCAGGCCCACTTTTGCTGTTTGTGCATCCCGTCAAAGGTCACGTTGCCCAGCGACGCGACGCTCCGCGACGACGCCGCGGTGGGCAGCGGCGGCTTCTGGGGCGTCTCCCGCAGCTCCTCGACGTCGATGCGCTCGATGACTAGATTCGCCGGCGGCCGCCGCAGGCCGTCGCGCGCGACGACGGCGATGTGCGTCGACGAGAGGTCCGCGGCGGGCTCCGACGCGTGCGTCACCGCGACCACGACCCGCATGGGCCGCAGGCGCAGCTCCAGCACCGTGTCCGCGCCGGCGCTCGGCTTTAGGGCGGCGTAGACGCAGGTCAGGCAGTCGTCCTGGACGTCGTTGCAGGGCGGCGCGACCTCCGCGTCGAACTCGTCGACCGTCGCGTCCGCGGCGCCGCGCGCGCCGCGCGGCGTCGCGATCACCGCCGCGCTCGCCAGCACGTAGGCCGGCGCGACGGCGACGACGCGGATGGGGCCCTTGTGGCCCGGCCGCCGGACCGCGACCTCGTTGACGGGGCCCCGGGCGACGCCCAACGCGTGGTCGCCGACGCGGACCTCGCACTCGGGCACGTCGTCGCCCGAGACCTCGTCGACGCAGGTCACGGTGAAGTATGACCCGCGCTCCTCCATGGGGACGTCGACGATGAGGGGCTGGGATGCGTCCAAAACACCGCGGAAGTCGTGCTCGTCGAAGCTCAGCGTCCGGGCCTCGATCTGGAGCAGCGCGTCGTGTGTCGCCGAGACGACGTACGCCGCGCCGAGCTCGACGCCGGCGCCGCGCGGCAGCGACGCGTCGACGTCGTTCAACGCGCAGACGGCGCCGTCGACGGGCACGCCGTCGCGCGTCGGGCGCAGCGCGACCGTCGCGCGCCGCGCGCGGCACGCGATCGACGTCTCGCCCGCGCCGGGCGCGAGCGTCACCGTCCGCGGCTCCAGCAGCACGTAGCGCGGGTGCGCGAGCGCGACGGCCACGTCCTTGGGACCGATGGAATTCGTAAAAAAGGACCGCAGGCGCGCCTTGCGCGTCAGCCCCAGGCGCTCGTCCCCCAAGCTCACGGCCGCGTCCTCGACCTCGGACGACGTCGCGTCGTCGACGACCGTGATGGCGACGTCCACGAAGACGGGCGTCACGGGGATGGTCACGACGCGCGGCTGCGCCGGCGGGATGGAGCGCCAGCCCCGCGCGTCGAAGCGCACGAACTGCGCGGGATCCGCGGCGACGTAGTCGACGTGGCTCGCGCGGACCTGGGCAGGACAAGAGAGATTCAACGTCGCTTCAACGTGAGTGTTCCGCGCGCGCGCGTTCCGGGAAAAGCGTTGACGCTTCGAGAGCGTTCCGAGAGATGATCGCTCGTCCAAAAATCAGCCGAAACGAGCGGAAAACGGCCGAGAGAGGAACCTTTGAAGTTGGACATGTCGCACTCTTTTCCTGCCCTAGCGCGGACCGCGTACCGCGCGCCGACCGCGACGCTCCGCGTGCCGTGCGTCGACATCTCGTCGACGACGCGCCGCAGCTCGTCGCCGGGCACGTCCGCGGGGGCGAGGTCGCCGAGGGCCTTGAGCAGCTCCCTCGTGGAGCAGCTCGGCGTCGCGAGCGCGCGGAGCGTCGCCTCGCGCGCGACGACGGCCGCGTTGATCGCCGGCCGGGGCTCGGCGAACTCGTCGTCGAAGAGGTCCGCGGCCTCGGCCTCGTCCTTCTCCGCCGCGATCCACCGCAGCACGTCCGCGCGCGACACGCGGTCGAAGTGGACGGACCCGGCGGCCTTCGCGGCCGCGGTCGCGGCGTCCTCGGCCCAGCCGAACTCGGGGATGAGGGTCACCGAAATTAAATCCTTGACGGGGTCGCCGCTCGCCGCGTCGACGCACAACGCCGCGACCTCGGACCGCCGCAACAGCACCGTGCACGTCGCCGCGGCCGTCCCCGGCTCGCGCGCGCCCGCGCGGACCCAGCGGTGCTCCTCCACGTCTAAAAAGCCGTCGAGGCGCGCACTGACGCGCAGGGGCAGCGCCAGCGCGCCGTCCTTGGCGACCCAGGCGCCCGCGCCCCGCGCGCGCAGCTCCGCGAGGTCCAGCGTCACTATTCCTCTATTCTCGCCAACGTCGATACCGTGGATGGACACGAGCGCCTCGTCCAGATCCTCCTCCGTCGCCGCGTCGACGACGACCAAATTCACGTCGACCACGGTCGGCTCCAGGTCCACGCGGAGCGGCAGCGGCGCGCGGCGGTCGAGCTCTTGCCGGCGAAAGTGGCGCGGCGCGAAGCGCGCGCGCGTCTCGTAGGTCACCTGGGCCCAGCCGTCGGCCGCCGCCGTCAGACTATAGGCCGCGCCGAGGGACACGTCGGCCTCGACGTGGCCCGCGGCCGCGGCGACGACCGCGCCCGCGGCGCCGTCGTCGTCGTCGTCGCGGCGCACGGACACGCGCGCGAACGGCGCCGCGCGGCCCCGGCCCCGCGCGTCGTAGGCCGTCGCCACCACGGTCGCCTTGCGCATGTGGAGCGTGACGCGCCGCACGTCGCCGCTCCATTTGAGCGGGAAGGTCAGCGGGCTCACGAGGACGTACTTGGGCAGCTCCGCGACGACGGGCGCGACGTCGCGCGCGTCCGTCTCGCCCGCGGCGAGCAGGGCGCGGCTCGACGCGTCCCAGACGTCGACGAGCGTCGTCGGCTCCGCCTTATTCGTCAGCGCGAGGGCGTCCGCGGGCGCCGCGGCGGGCTCGATCGCCGCGGCGATCTCGCGGAGCGCCGCGACGGCGCTCGCGCGCCGCCCCGCGCGGCCGGCGACGCGCGCCTCCCAGGGCGCGTAGCCGGGCACGTCGAGCCTGAGTATGAGCGTCGCCGCGGCGCCGCCGCCCGGCGCGGCGACCTGGAAGATGCCGCGCGCGCGCTCGAGGGTCTCGGTCGCGGCGGACAGTTCGCCGCGGAGCTCCCAGGCCGCGACGACGTGGCAGGCGTGGAGCGGGATCTCGACGCGCGTCGCCTCCTCGCAGGCCTCCAAAAGCAGCTCGCAGGTGACGGGCTCGACCTCGACGTCCACGCGGACGTCGCCCGGCCGCTCGAACGCGGCCGCGGGCACGGCCAAAACGACGCCGTTGGCCGCCGCGGCCGCGTCGGCGTCCCTCGGCGCCCGGCCGACGGCGCGCCGCAGGGCCTTGGCGACGCCGGCGAGCTCGTCGACGGGCAAGTCCGCGAGGCTCGCGTGGACGTGGCGCACGCCCTCCGCGAAGACGCCGTCGGACACGTCGCCGTCCGAGGCCCACGCGCGGAACCGCCGGGGCAGGTCCAGGGACGCGTCGTCGTCCTCCCGCGCGAGGAGGAGCGGCAGGAGCGCCCGCTCGGCGCCGTAGGGCGTGTGGAGCTCGTGCGGCGCGCCCGCGGCGCGCGCGGCCCGCCCCCGCGCGAGCCAGAGCTCGAGGTGCCCCGGCGCGAGCACGGCGCCGTCGTCCCCAAAGCCCGCGGCCCACTCGAGGCGCGTCCGGCCCGCCATGGCCGGGTCCGCGGCGCCGTCGTCGGAGAGCGTCGCGCGGCGGACGCGGTACCGCGCGCCCGGCCCGCGGCCGAGCGCGTCCCAGCGCACGCTCAGCCGGTAGGCCGCGTCGGGGTCCAGAATACAAAACCCCTCGCCGTCCACCGCCGACAGCGCCGCGTCGTAGGACCCGAGGCCGCGGACCTCGGGCCACGCGCCGGGCAGCGGCTCCTTCATTCGCGACCCGTCGCCGTCGAGCGACCCGTCGACGACGCGCAGCGCGACCCGGGCCGCGCGGAGCACGACGCGCAACGTCGTGGGCCCCTCGCGTTCGGGCTGGAGCCGGACGCGCTTCGGGCCGATCAGAGCGTAGCCCGGGCACCGCGCGGCGACGTCCGCGTGCGCGAACCCGCCGCTCTCGAAGCCGTCCGCGACGGGCACGGCGCAGGCGCCGCGCTTCGTGCCGAGCTTGACGGCGCCGACGTAGATCTCCGCGGCGTCGACGGCCGCGCCGTCGCCGTCGACGACCTCCAGCACGACCGCGGCCGCGGGCGCGTCCGCGTCGACCGCTACCGCTGCTTCGCCCGCCTTCCGCGCGACGCGGACGACGACCTCGAGGGGCTCGTCGCGCTCGAGCGCGTCCCAGTCCGACGCCTGGAAGCGCGGCCGCGACTCGGCGTCCTCCCGGACGAGCGCGTAGGCGTCGCCGCTGTCGCCGGTCAAGGCCCACGCGTAGGCCGCTCCTTCCACGACCCGCGCGACGGACCGCAGGGGCCCGGCGCCAAAGGCCGCGACGGCCTGGCCGCTCCGCCGCGGCGCCAGCGCGACCGCGCAGTCGTCGGCGTTGTCCGGCCCGCCGTGGCGCGGGCCCGCGAGGACGACTTTAACCGCGACGTCCGCGGACCGCAATTCCAAAGCGCACCGCGCGACCGCGCCGCGCGCGCAATCCACAAAACGCGGCGCGCGCAGCACGTAGCCGTCGAGCTCGCAGCGCAGGGGCAGGCGCACGACGCCGGCGTCCGCCGGCGGCAGCGCGACGTCGACCTCGCCGCGCGCCTCGCCGACGTCCGTCTTGCCGACGGCCGCCCGCCCCGCGAGGGGCGCCTTCGTGACGGCGTCGACGACGGACAGGTCGACGCGCACCGTCGAGCGCAGCAGCCGCACGACGAGGGCGTGGGGCTCCGATGAAGCTAAAAAGAGGCCCCCGTCGAGGCGGAGCGCGCGGCGGTGCGTCACGCGGTCCTTCGAGTAGACCTCGAGATCGTAGGCCGCGTCGGGCTCCACGGCGAACACCGGCGCCTCGCCGTCGCCCGGCGGCCGCACGGGCCGCAGCGGCTCTTTGTGCGCGTCGTCGGTCCGCGTCAGCGCGACGACGCACTTCGCGGAGCTCTCCGCGGCGAAGAGCCGCTCGAACAGGCTCTCGTCGCCGCCGCCGTCGCGCACGTCCACGACGACGAGCGCGCGCCGCATCAGCACGACCAGAGACGTGCGCCGCCGCCCGTCGATGTCCACGGCCGGCGGCGACACCTGGACGAAGCCCCGGAGCTCGCCGCGGAGCTCGACGCGCCGCGTCGCCGCGGGCGGGCCGCGCCGCGTCGGCGTCCGCGTCGTCAGCGCGTCGTCCAGATGGTCCTCGTCGCCGACCATGAGCGTCTCGATGTCGTCGTCCAAATCGAGCATGCCCCGCTGCGTGCCGAAGACGACGCCGCCGAGCTCGACGCTGCAGTCGGGCAGCGGCGCGTCCGAGTCCGCGTCGCGCGCGTCGAGGATCAAGTTCGCGTCGCGCTCCATCTTCACGACCAGCGGCACGGGGTCCACCCTAAAATCGCAGCCGTCCTTCGGGACGCGGTCGAGCCACTGCTGCTCCGTAAAGAGCGCGGCGGCGTCGACGGAGTCGTGGCTCACCTGCCGCAGCGCGGGCGGCGCGTAGCCGTCCTCCGCGACGACGTCGATGGCTACTAAATAGCGCACGCCGCAGACGACGGACGCCGGCTCGTCGACCTGCGTGACGACGACGGGGTAGTGGCGCCGCGTCAGCGCCAGGCGCTCCGCGCGCCGCCGCGCCTCGAGCTCCGCGGAGAGCGCCGCGAACGGCTCCGTGTTCGGCGCCCGGACCGCGCCCGCGGCCGCGGCCCAGGAGTGCAGGCCCCGCCAGGCCGGCCGCTCGACGATGCGCTTGAGGAACGGGTAGCGCACGTCCTCGAACTCCTGGGGCGGGTCCGCATCCTCGAGCTCCGCCGGCGGCTCCTCGACGGGCGTCAAAGTCGCGACGAACTTGCAGCCGAGCGGCGCCGCGATGGGCACGTTGCGCCGCCGCTCGACGAGCTGCACGACGACGAGGGTCTCCTGCATGATGACCTCGAGCCGCAGGGGCGTGTCGACGCCGTGGTCCCTCGCCGACGCGGCGAGGACGCCCGGGAGCTTCGGCGAGCACGCAAAGTAGCCCTCGAGGACACACGAGGACAGCGCGCGCTCGAAGGCGTCGCCCGCGTCGAGCTCGACGAGGGGCGCCGCCGGTACGCTGTGGTCGCCCGCGCGGAGTTTCTGGCCGGCGACCTCCAGCGCGGCGTCGGGAAGGACCGCGCCCGCGAGGTCGCGGACGGTCACGCCGACGTGCGCGACGGCCCTGGCGAGCGCGATGGTGAAGACGAGGGGCGCGTCGACGCCGCGCGCCGCCCAGTGCTGGCGCACGCCGGCGTCCGCGATGGCCACAAGTGACGTCCGCGGCTGGAGGCCCGGCGACGACGCCGCGAGCCGGTAGCGGCGGCGCCGGCGCCGGCCGCGGCCGTAGAGGCCGTCGTCGTCGATCTCGAGCTCCGCGTCGGCCGCGGCGTCCTCGTCGTCCGAGTCGGCGATGGCCGCGGGGGGCGGGTCGACGGGCGCCGCGGCCGGCGCCGCGGCGCCGTCGGCGGGGGCCGGGGCGCGCGCGTCGTCGGGCGCGAGCGTGACCTTGGCTCGCGTGAGCGCCGCGCCGTCCCCGTCCGTGACGCGGATCGCGACGTCGACGCGCCGTAAAACGAGCTCGACGCGCTCGACGGCGGCGTTTTGGGGCTGCGCGGCGCGGTACGTCGCGAAGAGCGTCTTCTCCGTCGTCGGCGACTCCGAGAGGTAGCCCGGGAGCGTCGCCTCAAAGGCCATAACTGTCGGGAGCCCCCCATTTGGGATCGTCAGGTCCGCCAGACGCGGCGCGCCCAGCGCGGACCAGGCGTCCGCGCCGCGCGCTTTGTAGCGCACCGCGGCCTTGGTCAGCGCGGCGCCCTCCGGGTCCAAAACGGCGACGTCGACGGCGCAGTGCGTCGCCATCGCGCGGACTTTGAGGGCGTACGGGGGCGCTCTCAGGTCGGGCCTCCGCTTCGCGCGCGCGGCGAGCGTCCAGCTGTGGAGCGCGCGCCACGTCGGCCGCTCGACGATGCGCTTGAGGAAGGGGTAGCGCAGATCGTCGGAGACGGCGTTCTTCTTCATCTTCCGCGTGGCCTCGGACGCCTTCCGCTCGAGCTCGTGGAAGTCCTCCTCCCGAAAGCAGATCGTCTCCGGCCCCGGGCGCCACGCGCCGCGGAAGAGGTGCTCCCGCTGCACCGCGCGCGGCGGCTCCAGGTGGGTCGCGACCACATCATAGACGACGCCCAGCACGACGGGCACGGGCGATTGGCCCGTGACGTCCGCGGGCTTGAACGTCACCACAGCCGCGGCGCGCTGCCTCTTGGCGACGTCGTCCGTCGCGTCGGCGAGGGTCGCGGGCCGGAGCTCGACGCCCGCGCCCCTCACTCGGAGCTCGTCGCCGCGGGGGTCGACGACGTCGGCGACGACGTAGTACTTGCGCATGAGGAGCTCCAATTGTACGACGGCCGCGTCCGCGCGCGTCGCCCGGAGCTCGAAGAGTTTCGGGTCGATGTGCGTGTAGCCCGGGAGCGTCGCGGACACGGCGAGCTGGACCTCGTCGCCGCCGCCGGGCACGTTGTCGAGCTTGATCGTGCGCACGCCGGCGTCGTCGGGCGCCGTGCCCTCCGAGTTCCAGAGCAGGTAGGGCAGCTTCGTCTTCGACCGCGCGCCGTAGAATTCCACGGCCGCCTGGGGCAGCGACTCGCGCGTCGTCGCGTCGAGCACGTTGAGCTCGACGGTCGCGCAGCAGGGCACGCAGACGATCTGGCGCCGGCACTCCCAGCCGCCGTCCTTCGTCGCGGATTTCGTGAAGTCGCCGTCGACGAACTCGACGGGCTCCCTAAAGTCGACCTGGGACCGGCCCGACGCGGAGACCCGGAGCCTGTAGCGCGTGTCGAGGTGCACGTGGTGCTTGCCGCCGGAGCCGATGGGCTGCGTCCGGTGGCCCTCGGCGACCTTGCGCCACGCGACGAGCGACTCGCCGTCGAGGGTCCACGTCGCGTCGCGGAGCTCGTTGCGCTTCTCGTCGAGGATCGTCACGATGAGGTGGAAGCGCTTGAAGACGGCGTCGACGTCCGTGACCGCGGGCCAGGAGCCGTCGGCCGCGCGCGCGCCCGGGTTCACGGTCACGGTCCGCGGGCTCACGAAGTCGAGCGACGGGTCGGGCACGAAGGCCGTGATCTCGAGGTCCACTTTGTCCGCCGCGTGGAGGAGGCGCGGCAGGGGCACGGCGACGACGTCCAGGAGCGGGATGGGCGTCTCCGCGGCGCTCAGCTTGCTGTCGCGGACGTCGCCGGCGACGCCGTTCGCCACGGTGACGGACGCGAGCCGCACGAGCGCCGTCGTCGCCTCCATGGGCACCTCGAAGGGCACGGCGTCGCCCGGCGCGTGGGCCTCGAACTCGCCGACGCGCTCGTCGACGTCGAAGACGAGCCGCGCGGCGGACGTCGTCAGGCGCCAGCCGGGGCAGCCGACGTCCGCGACGTAGCGCTCGCCGAGGCGCACGCGCTGGCGGTCGCGCGCGGACCGCGGCACGGCCGCGACGCGCGCGCGCGCCTCGCCGTCGACGTCCTCGTCGGCCATCTCGACCACCAGACGCCACTCCGCGTCGTCGAGGGCCTTGCGGTCGTAGGTCGACACGGGCCGCACGACGACGTCCAGACTCCGCATGCGCAGCACGCGCGGCGCGCCGCCGTCGCCGACGACGATGTCGAGCGTCCGCGGCGGGAGCTGGAGGTAGCCCTCGAGCGCCGCGCGGGCCGCGACGTCGCGCAGCACCTTCGCGCCCGGCGCGACCTCGACGTCCTGCGTCCACCCCTCCGCGGCGCTGAAGGACGCGCCGCCCGCGCCCGCGCCTAAAACGGCCTTGGCGTCGTGGAGCACCGCGTCGTTCAGGCCCGCGTCGACGACGCGGACGTCGACGGCCGTGACGCGGCGCTCCAAACGCACGACGAGCTCGTAGTCCCAGTCGCTCGGCAGGCCGTTGGCCCAGAGGTGGCGCCCGAAGGTCATGACCGCCGCCGGGTCCGGCGACACCTGGCGCAGGCGGCTGCCCTGCGCGACCGCGCGGTAGCGGCTCCCGACGACGACGACGCGCGGCGCGGCCAACCGCGCGCCGTCGTTGCCGTCGTAGACGTGCCCCAGGGGCCAGGACACGAGCGCCTGGCCGTCGAGGGGCTGCAGGTCCACGGCGACGTCGCCGAGGGCCGCGCCCGTGACCGAGTCGACCGTCTTGAGCGCGACCGTCGCGCGCCGCATCGTGACGACGACGCGCGTCACGCCGGACGCCGTGAAGGGCACCGTCGTCTCCGAGATGTGCACGAAGCCGTCGAGCGCCGCGTCGACGGCGACGGGCACGCCGGAGCCCGTGACGCGCGCGCCCGCCGCGTGCTGCCACGGGCACGCGGGCGCCAGACTGTCCCCGGGCGCGATCTTCGCCCAGTCGACCTCGACGTTGCCCCGGCGCGTGCCCAGGACCACGCGGCCGAGCTTCACGGACGCCTCGGGCAGGGGCGCGAGGCCCGAGCCGTCCAAGACCTGGATCGTCGCCTTCGCGCACCGCGGCGCGACCTTGACGACGAGCACGGCGACGCGGCTCCGCGCGTCGCGCGCGCGGAGCTCGTTCAGGAGCGCCGCGGCCCTGGCGCCCGACGCCGCGGCCGTCTCCTTGGCCTTTTTGGACGTGCCGAAGAGGCCGCCGAAGAGGCCCGCGGGCGCCGCCGCTTTCGCCTTGTCGGGCACGCGGTGCGCGGCGAGCGCGTCGTCGAGCGACAGGAGCTCGGCGCCGCGGATCTCCACGGGCGCGAGGTGGCTCACCTGGCGGTAGTCGCCGGAGGCGTCGTGGACGACGACGCGGTACCGCGCGGGCTGGACGTCGACGCCCACGGGCTTCATCGTCCGCCAGTCGCACCACGTCTGCGCCTGGACGTCGAGCGTCTCGTCGAAGTCGTGGTCCGCCTTGAGCGGCGCGGGCTTCGACAGCACCTCCTTGCCCGGCTCGCGGACGTGCCAGGGCCCGACGCCGTCGCAGCGCGCGCCGTCGTCGAAGTCGACGTCGTAGGTGCCGTCGCCGTGGACGCCGCGGACGACGGCGCCGTACCAGCCCCCCGAGTCCGGGTAGACGGCCTCGACCTTGGACCCGACCTGGACCCACTTGGGCGGCGCGCGGTGGCCGCTGTCCGCGGACCGCAGGGGCACGAGGCAGACGCGCGCGTCGACGGGCGCGCCGTCGCGCGCGTCCTCGACGCGGACGAGCGCCGCGCAGCGCTGCATCTCCACCGCGACGGCGACGCAGGCGCCGCAGCGCAGCTCCACGGTCGCCGGGCGGATGAGCACGTAGCCCGGGCAGACGCAGGCGACCTTGGCGCCGTGGGGCGCGCCGCCGCCGGGCAGCCGGAGCCGGACGCGGCCGCGGCGCTTGCCGACGTAGTGGCGGTCGATCCAGACGTCCGCGTCGTCCAAGGGCCGGCCCGCGCCGTCCAAGACGCGCACGTCCGCGTGGCCGTACAAGGCCTCGAGCTCCACGGTGAGCCGCAGGGGCTCGCGCGCGGGCAACCGGACGAAATCCTGCACCGCGAAGGTCATCGGGGTCGGCCGCACGCCGTCGTTCGCCAGGAGCTCGCAGTGGCTCGCCTGGCGGTAGCCCTCGCACGTCGCCTCGAGCGTGTAGTCGCCCTGGCCGCGCCGCCGGAGCTCCACGCGGTCCTCCAGCTCGTAGGCCGCGGCGTGCTCGCCCGACGCGCGCCGGAGCTCCGCGACGGCGCAGCCGCGCTCCTCGCCGCCGTCGTCGCAGCGGACGTCGTAGCGGTCGTCGCGCCGCGCGCAGACGGCGCCGCGCCGCGGGCCCGCGACGTCCACGACGAACCCCGCCTCGCCGGGCGCGTCGTCGTGGACGAGCTCCCAGGGCGCCGCGGCGTCGTTGCCGTCCGCGGGCTTGAGCCGCGCGGCCGCGTGGGCCAGGGGCTCCCGCGTGAAGGCGTCGACGGCCGCCACGAGCACCTCGCAGCGCCGCATGAGCACCGTGACCATCTGGGGCGCGCCCCGGACCTTGGCCGCGGCCACGTCCACGGTCCGCGGCGCGCACAGCACCCAGCCCCGGAACGCCGCCTCCACGGGCCAGCGCGCGTCGCGCGCGCCCGGCGGCAGGGCCAACGGCGCCAGCACGCCCCGCGCGGACCCGAGCACGTGGGGCCCCAGGGCGACGTGGACCCGCTGCAGGAGCATGCCCGTCGCCATGTCCTCGACGCGGACGTCCAAATCGACCTCGCAGGGCTCGAAGCGCACGGTGCACTGCATGGGCAGGTGCGGATCGAGATGCCGGAAGTCCGCCGTCGTCGCGCGGAGCGTGCGGCTCCCGACGGCGCGGTAGCGCGGCACGACCGCGTGGACCGCGTACTCGACGCCCGGCGCGACGAGCGCGCGGCCGGACCTGGGCAGCAAAAGGGTGATTCAATGTCTCTTCAACGTGAGTGTTCCGCGCGCGCGCGTTCCGGAAAAAGCGCCCACGCGTCGAGACCGCTCCGAGAGATGATCGCTCGTCCAAGAATTAGCCGAAACGAGTGGAAAACGGCCGAGATCGGAGCCTTTGAAGTTGGGAATTTCGCTCTCTTTTGCTGCCCTGGGCCGGACGCGTCGACCGCGCGCGTCAGGTACTCGTGCGGCGGCGCCCGCGGCGAGCCCACGGCCGTCTCCAGGTGGAGATTCGCCGGCTCGAGGGCCTCGCCCGTGTCCGCGTCGACGCAGTGGACGACGACGTCCGCGTCGCGGACGTACAGCGTCACGGGGTTGCCGCAGCCCGCGCGGAGCGTGACGACCCTGGGGTCGAGCTGGACGCGGTCCGCCGCCTCCGCGACGACGTCGACCTCCACGGCGGCGCCGCCGCCGGGGCAGGGCACGTCGAGGAGCTCGCCGCGCCGGTGGCCCGCGCGGAACGTGCCGAAATGCGCGTGCGAGAAGCTCACGACGACGTCGTCCGCCGGCAGGTTCGTCCGCGCGTCGACGACGTCCAACACGACGTGGCAGACGATGGGCTCGACGCGCACGTCGAGCACCGCTGCTAAACGCCGCCGCATCTCCCACGCGAGCTCGTCGTCGGCCAAAGGATCGCGCCCGCGCTTCGCGAGGCGCGCGGCCTCGAGCATGAGGGCCTCGATGGGGGCCAGGTCCTTGGGCGGGCCGAAGACCGACCCGTCGAACACGACCGGGTCGATCGGCGCCACGAGCCGCAGCCGCTCGTCCGCGACGACGCGGACGCGGTACGCGGCGCCGACGGCGACGGTTTTGGGATTCCCGAAGCGGTCGGCGCGCGCGTCGTCGCCCCGCTCGAAGACGACGGGCGGCGCGAAGGGCGCGTGGGCCGCGCCCCCCATGAGCAGCTCCGCCTCGAGCGCCGCGTCGTCGCGGATGGGCACGAGCTCCACGCGGACGCTGGTCGGCGCGTCGCGCCGCGTCGTCGACACGGGCGCGCCCGTGCGGTTGTCGCGGAGCGTCACGGCCACGTCCGTGCGCCGCAGCACCACCGTCGTCTTCCGCAGCCGGCCGGCCTTGAGGTGCACGCGCGGCGGCGAGACCATGACCTGGGCAGCAAAAGGGTGCGAACTTCCCAACTTCAAAGGCTCCTCTCTCGGTCGGTTTCCGCTCGTTTCGGCTGATTTTTGGACGAGCGATCATCTCTCGGAACGGTCTCGAAGCGTGGATGCTTTCTCCAGAACGCGCGCGCGCGGAACACGCACGTTGAAGCGACGTTGAATCACCCTTGTGCTGCCCCGACCATGACGAAGCCCTCGCAGTCGCACCGTAAGTCCGCGGCGTGGTCGCCCCGTTTCCCGCCGGGCGGCGGCGGCGGCGCGGCGGGGTCCCGCGGCGGCGGCGGCGGCAGGGCGAGCTCGTGGACGCCGCGGCGGTGGCCGACGACGACCGGGGGCGCGCGGGCGTCCACGAAGGTCGCGGTGACGCGCGCCGCGGGCACCGGCACGCCCGCGACGTCGACGACGACCAGATCGATGGCGCCGACGGCGACGTCCATGTCGACGGCGATGCGCAGGGGCGCCGTCTCGCCGCGCGCGTGCGCGTCGCGGAACATCTGCTCCGTCACCGTGAAGGGCTGCGTCATCGACAGCTGGCGATGCTTCCGGAGCGACGCCGAGAGGCGGTAGCGCGCGCCGGGGTCCACGGCCAGCGGCACGGCGGCCTCGATGCGCCGCTCGACGTGGTCGTCCCGCTGGGACCCCTGGAAGAACTTCGTGAGGCGCAAAGCCGCGCCCTTGAGGCGCTTCTTGCGGTTCTGGGAGAGCACGTGGACGACGACGTCCGCGCGGCGGAGCTTCACGGTGACCTCGCATCTCCGGTCCGCGCGGACCGCGGCGTCGTAGGGCCCGACCTGGACCCAGTGCTTCGCGGTGGCCACCACTTTGACCGTCGTCCAGGCGCAGCCGGGCGGTAGAGGCACGTCGACGGCCGCGCCGCCGCCCTCGGCGTCGACGGACGCCGTCGCGCCGCCGACGGCCACCGTCGCCGCGACGCGCTCCCCGGAGACGGCGTCGACGCACGCGACGATGTGCAGCGGCGCGCTCGACGGCTCCATGGGGAGGACGAGCGGCAGCGCGACGCAGTGGCCGCCGAGCGCGGCGAAGTCGCGGCCCGAGAAGAATTTCGTGAGCGAGTTGCCGTCGTCCGCGCCCGCGAGGCGGAACCCTTTCGCGCTGCACTCGACGACGTAGGTGCCCCGGTGCTCGTGGAGGCACGCGACGGCCTCGCCGATGTCCAGCGGGCGCGACTGGAGCGCGTGCGCGACGGCCTCGGCGAAGCCGACGCGCCGCCGCGACTCGAGCGCGTCCCGCGCGACGTCCTTCAAGCACACGCTCCCGTCGACGGACACGACGTCGTAGACGAAGGGCGCCCCGCGCTCCCCGCCGCGCCGCGCGGCGACGGTGCCGTCGAAGGTCGCCTGCGCGTGGAGCACGTCGAGGAAGAGGTCGTCGTCGCTCAGAAACGGCGCGCGCCGCGGCGCGACGCCCGGCCGCGGCGCGGACGCGTGCGTCGGCGTCACCTTGAGCTGCACGTCGCCCGGGAGGAAGCTCCGGTGCTCGTCGTCGGCGCGGATGACGCGCACGGCGAGCGTCGTGCGCCGGAGCGCGACGACGATGGACTCGCTGCCGCCGGCGAAGACGTGGACGCGCGCCGTGGACGCGGTGAACTCGTCGGCGCCGCAGTAGCCCGCGAGCTCCGCGCGGGCCGTCACGGCGACGGTCGACGACTTGTCGACGTGGGGCGGCGCGCGGATCTTGGCCGCGAGGGGCTCGCCGCCGTCGCCCGTCTTGCCCGCGACCGCGCCTGTGTGGAAACCAAATCTTCAACCCGACTTCAATGTGCGCGTATGCGACCGTTCCGACGCAAGGCTTTCTGCTGTGCTTCGAGAACTCGATGAGAGCAATCGATTCGTCCAAAAATCAGCCGAATCGACTTCGATTTGACCGAGATAGAGAGTTCTGAAGTTTGGTCAGGACCCCCCAAACCAGTGGTTGATTTCCACACAGGACCGCGCCGTTGACGACGACGCGGGCCCCGCGGAGGTTCACGGGCGCGTCGCGGACCGTCGCGTCGACGACCGTGATGACGACCGTCGCCTCGCCCCACTTGTCGTCCGGGACGGGCTTCTCCTCCGGGTCCGGCTCGTCGGGGTCGCGCCGCTGGTCGCCGAGGCGCAGCCAGCCCCAGACGGGCAGCTCCGGCGTCGGGAAGGGCTCGGGGACGGAGATGGGCTCCAGGTGGACGCGGACGAGCAGCGGCGCCGCGTCGCCACTCGCGGAGCTCCAGGACCGCTCGAAGTCGCCGGCCCGGAAGATCGCGGGCCTCGTCGCCGACACCTGCCGCATGTTCGGCGCCGTCGCTTCGATGCGGTAGGGCTTCTCCAGGTCCACGGCCGCCACGCGCCGCGGCCCGACGCCGAGGAAGAGCACGTCGTTCCGCGCGTCGAGCTCGTCGCCCGCGACGAGCGTGACGAAGACGTCGTCCAGCGCCTGCATCGTCCTCAGGTCGCGGCAGTCCACGCGCACGTCCGTCGCCCGGAGATCGACGTGTAATTCGACGACGGCGCCGTGGGTCAGCGTCACCGTCTTCGGGCCCCACAGCAAATAGCCCGACAGCTCGACCTCGACGGCGTAGACCGCGTCGTCGCCGAGCGCGTCCGGCCGCCCGACGTCGACGGTGTGCTCGCCCGGCTTGTCGAAGACGAAGGCCGCGCCCGTGCCCCGCGTGTCCCGCAGGCGCACCTTCGCCGTCGGCAGCATGTCGCCCGTGCGCGCGTCGCGGCAGCTGAGCCAGACGCACACGCACCGCCGCTCCATCTCCACGACGACCTCCTTCTGGGGCGTCCCCTCGGCGTCGACGACGACGTGCTCGTAGTAGAGCGAGATGGGCCCGTCGCAGTAGGTCGTCTGCGCGTAGCCCGGCGCCGTCGCGCGCACGAGGAACTTGCGCGCGGGCAGCGTCTGCAGCGCCGCGAGCTTCGCGTCTTTGTCCGTCGTGATCTGCGCGGCGCCGCCGGCGAGCGGCACGACGATGGGCGCGTGGTCGTCGGCGGGCACGAAGACGACGACGGCGACGTCGTCGAGGCTCTTTTGCGTGTGTCTGTCGATGACGCGCACGCGCACCGTCGGCGGCACGGCCACGGGCGCGACGGCCGGCATCAGCGGCGCCGACGGCATGGTTTTTTTTGGTGCGAGGCTGCCCCTTCCTGTGGTCGGCAGCGCGAGCTTTTTTGTGCGAGGCTGCCCCTTCCTGTGGTCGGCAGCGCTCGCGCGTCTGTTTTCGTGTCGCTGCCGGGCAAGCCTGCTGCGGGCCGCCGGCGCGACGCCGCAATGGGCTGCCCTTTGAAAGAGCTTGTGCTCACAAGAGGTTGCGCCGTCCACGGCAAGACGGAAGGTGAGGTTGATACGGCGCGGTTCACCTAAGCTTAGTTGTACTGCAAGACACTTCATCTCGCCACCGAGCCGCTCGAGATCTCGAGACTGCGTCACGCTGCCAACAGGAGCAGCTCGACAACACCACCAACGATGCTGCGCGCCGTCGCCATCGCCTGCGCGCTCGCGCATGCAACGACGGCGCTGCTCGTCGCCGCGCCGCAGCGCGCGCTGAGCCGCCGATCAGACCGCCAGCTCAGGGCGCTGCGCGGCGGCCTCGACATCGCCGAGAAGGACGAGGACTTCGTCGAGGTGTCGAAGATGTTCGTGGAGGCCTTCTGGCGGGACAAGGCCGAGGGCCGGGTGCTCAAGGAGGACCAGCGGAAGCGCCTGAAGCGCGAGCAGGAGGTCGAGTTCCGGCGCCGCTACGGCTCGCGGCGCGACCCGAGCCGGCGGCGGTCCGCGTTCTACGTCGCGAGCGACGCGGCGGGCGTGCCCGTGGGCTGCGCGGGCGTCGAGCTCGACGGCGCCGCCGGCGACGGCGACATCGTGCCCGTCATGTCGAATCTGGCCGTCGGCCGCGACGGCCGCCGCAAGGGCGTCGGCGCGGAGCTCGTCAGGGCCTGCGAGAAGAGCGCGCGCGACTGGGGCTGCAGCGAGATCACGCTCGTCGTCGAGGACAAGAACACGCCGGCGAAGAAGCTCTACAAGAAGCTCGGCTACGCGGAGATCCCCGAGCTCTTCGACGAGAACGCGAAGACGCTGACGCCCAAGTCCGACGGCCGCGTCGTGTCGACGGCGACGACGACGCTCACGATGACCAAGGCCCTCGGCGGCGGCGTCGGCGGGCTGCTCGTCCCCGCGGCGGGCGTCGTCGCCCTCGGTGTCGCCGCGTCCGCGCTGGACCTCCTGCCCTTCTAAAGCAGCATGGTAGTTAATTCCCCCCTCGGGCTCCGCCGTCGGGGTCGGTGGCACGGCCGCGCGAGACCCCTCTCACGCGGCGTCGTCGTCCTCGTCGTCGCTGCCGCCGCGGAGGCTCAGGAGCACGCCCATGCGGAGGCCCTGGTCGAAGGCCCAGCGCTGGAGCGCGCTGCCCTCCGGCGACGGCCGCGGCAGCGCGGCGAGGACCGGCGCCTTGGCGACGGCCGGGAGCAGGTCGTCGAAGAAGGGCGCCGCGACGTCCGAGAAGCCCGCGTCGCGGTACCGGAGGCGCTTCCTCGCGGCGCCCGCGCGGTCCCGCAGGCCGTCGACGCGCGCCAGGGACCCGTCGTCGCGCAGGGCGACGCCGAGGCCGAGGATGGCGCCGCCGCCCGCGCGCGCGAGCACGCGCGCGCGGCCGCAACCGCGGGAGCCGTAGACCGGCGACGTCCGCGCGCGCGTCTCCGAGGCGACGCAGAAGGAGATGGCGTCGACGCCCCCGCCCGGCGCCTCGCGCACGCAGACGGCGACGAGCACCTCGTCGCGCAGCAGCTCGAAGGGCCGGCACGACGCGACGCATTCCGCGGAAATCGGGCCGTAGCGCTCGCGCGAGCCGTCGTCGAAGGCGAAGGCGACCTTCTCGACGGCGGACGCCGTCGTCCAGACGCGGATGGACGCGAGGCGCCGCCAGAGCAATGGGCGCTGCGCGTGCCAGGACCGCGCCGTGCGCGTCGCGGCCATGCGATCTTTCAAAGGGAGGTGTTGCAGCGTTGCCGCGAGGCACGCCGCCGGTAGCTTATCGATTGACGCCATGTGGCGCGAGGCCCCGAAGGGGCTTGGAGCCCGGGGATGCAGGTGGGAAAAAGTTGCAGCCGACTGCAAACAGGTTTGTGGGAGATGGAAGCTTGGTGCGAACGCGGGCCCTGCCGGCTTCGACAAGTTCAAGCTAGCGGCGGCGAAGGATTGGGTGGGTGGCTCTCCGACGAAACATGGTGCAAACATCTCGACCAACATCAAAGCCTCGGCACCCGACTTGAGGGGGGTCGGTGGCGCCCTCGGCGCCCTCGGCGCCCTCGGGACGAGGGCGCCGCCCCCTCGTCCGACGCCCTCGGCTGAGGGATTTTCCCCTCGTCCGAGGGAGCCGAGCGTCCGAGGGTCCGAAATGGCCGAGGGCGCCGAGGGCGCCGACGGCCGCTGATTGGCCAGGCACGCCCGGCGCGCTCGAACCGTGACTGCAAATCTCTGGCCATCCGTCGTTGGAAGGTTATGAGGGGGCGCGGCAGCCCAAAGGCGCAGCCCTTGGGCGTCCCTGGGCGCGCCGTGGGTGCCGGCATTGACGCCCACGGTCGCGACGGTCCCCGAGACGGGGCGCAGCCAAGAGCGGCGGCCGTGCGGCGCTTTCCCCTCGCGGCGCCGTGGGCTGCCTACACGTCGGCGCGGGCACGAGGTCCTGTCGGTCCTAGGCCGCGCAGTCGCCCCAGTCGATGATGGAGCGTGGCCCGGGGGCGGCCAGGGACGATCTCTCCTGGCTGCTGACGCTGGTGCTGCCGTGGATCATCACGGAGTCTCCGTCGGACCGCCGCGGCGCCCGAGCCCCGACCGGACGAACTCGACGATTTCGAGTCTCACGACCCAGCCCTTGTACCGAGACGACGCCTGGGTGACGACGAACGATTCCCGATGCTGCAGTGATTCGAAACGAGTCGATGGGTTGGGAGGCGTCGAGCGCGCCCCATTCGAGCCTCTGAGAACCGCCCGCCTGTTCCCCGACGCCATCGCCTGGACGTCCCGTTTTCACCGGCGCGTCGTCCGTCAGGATGCGGCCCATGCAGCCACAGAGATCGTTGCGCATCTCCGCGTATTCGCTGAGCGGCGCGGGTGCAAAGCCTGTCATAAACACATCACGCAGCCCCGGACATCCAGCGCCCCGGGCCGGGGGTCACCAACGGTTCGCCGCCCTCGTCCGATGGACGTGCGCTCGTCCGACGGCCGCGCGCTCGTCCGACGGCCGAGTCCTCGTCCGAGGGCGCCGATCCTCCGTCCGAGGGTCCGAGGGCGTCGGACGAGGGGGCGGCGCCCTCGTCCCGAGGGCGCCGAGGGCGCCGAGGGCGCCACCGACCCCCCTCAACACCCGACGGAGAAAGTGACGGAGATATGCGGTGGTGCAGACGCACTACCAACACCACTTTCACCTTTACACACGAACCCGCGGGCCTAGCACCCGTCGGGCTCCAACCCGAGCATGTCGGAGATGTCGCGGTGGCGCTTGACGACGTCGCCGTGCACGGAGCGGCGGACCGCGCAGAGGCCGTCGACGTTCTCCTCGGGCCGCCGGCGGCGCGCGCCGTTCGTCGGCGTCGGCGCGGCCGTCTGGTTCGTCGGGTCCACGAGGCGCTGGTGCGAGAGGAGCTGGCTCTGGTAGAAGTTGGCGTAGTACTCGTCCTCGGGATTTTTCACGCTCTTGGCCTCGAGCTCGGACCGCGCGGCCTCGGCGGCGCGGAGCTCCTCGTCGTGGGAGGCCTGTTGGGTCTGGAGGGCCTGCTGCCACTGGGCGGACTGGGACGCGTGGGCCTGCTGCGCCTGGTGCCACTTGAACTCCTGCTGCTCCTTGTACGTGTGGTGGTTGAAGTGGGCCTGGTCGAGCTGCTTGCCGAGCGAGGCGCAGGTCTCGCTGAGCTTGGCCACCTTCTCCTCGAGCTCGCTGACGTTCGCCGACGGCGACACGGCGGCCGCGAAGTGCTCGGACGCGTCGCTGCGAGAAGACTGCGCGCGGCTCTGCGGCGCGTTGCGGTGCTGGGACCCGCGGCGCGCGCGCCTCGACCCGCCGCGGGGCGTGCCCCGGGGCGTGCCGGCGGTAGGCTGCCGCCGCTGCCAGGGGTCGTCGTCGTCGCTGCCGCCGCGCGCGCGCGAGTCGTCGCGCGGCTCGTCGGACGGGCCCCGCGGCCGCTGGGACGCCTCCGACGCCTTGGCGGCGAGGTCCGCGGCGAGGGCCTCCAATTTCGCGTTGGCGCCCGCGAGGCGCCGGTTCTCCTCCCGCAGCTGCCGCACCTCCTCCCGGAGCGCGCGCATCTCCGCCATCGTCTCCTCCTGCGCGGCCACCGCGATACTCCCGCGCGGCGCGCCGACGAGGTTCACGGCGGGCGAGTTGACGATGCCCTTGGCGCGGTAGGCGTATTGGAGCGTGCAGAGCGTCTCGTCGAGGTGGGCCTCCGCGGGGGACACGCACGCGATCATCAGCGTGACGACGTCGCCGCCGAGCGAGTCCATGAGGAGCTTCGTGAGCGTCGAGTCGCGGTAGGGCACGTGGGCCTCGTCCTCTTTGTCGCCCTTCTTCGCGAGCGTCGAGATGACCTTGCCCAGCGCGTGGAGCGACCGGTTGATCGAGCCTGTCTCCGCCGCGTCCGAATCCTCGGACCGCTTCAACCGCTCGTTGCCCGCGAGGTCGACGAAGCTCACCTTCCCCCGCGTCCGGCCGTGGACGAGCTTCAGCGTCAGCAGCGCGTGGCCCCGCGACGAGTCGCGGTTGAGCTTGTGCGCGGCGCGCCGCCGGCTCCGCCGCCCCTCGGCCAACACCGCGACGACGTCGTCGGGGCTGAAGCACTCGAGCTCGCTCAGGCCCGGCACGAAGAAGCCCGTGCCCACGTTGTGCCGCACGGGCAGCGGCGTCTTCGACGCGTCGAGCAGGTCGTAGACGCGCTCGTCGTAGACCTCGAAGAACGACGCCACCGCGAAGAAGCCGCTCTCCCTCGCGTTCGAGAAGAGGTAGGCCGCGGCCCGGTCGATGAGGCCCGTGCCCCCGTCGCCCCGGGGCTCCTGGGGGAACTCGGCGCCGTCGCGCGCGTGGCCGATGATCGTGTGCGTCTTCCCGGAGCCCGTCGCGCCGTACGCGAACATCGTCGCCTTCATCCCCCGCAGCGCGCTGTCCAGCAGCTCGCGCGCGCCGACGCTCCCGAAGACGTCGTCCTGGCCCATGCCCTCGTGGGCGCAGAGGTCGAAGTTGAACGTCTTCGCGGCCCGGACGCCGCCCGCCGACGGGCACATGAGCTCGAGGCTGCCCGGGTCGAGGCACCGCACGACGGCGCTCCCCGCCTCGCGGTCGTTGAGCGGCCGCACGCGCACGGCGACGCGCACGCGCTGGCTCGCGCCCGCCATGGCGACCGCGGGGGCTGCCCGGCGCCGCAGGGAGGAACGCCGATCGACGCGCCCGGTGTCTATCAACGTTGATCGGCCTCCCAGACGACGACGATACGATGGGGGAACGAGGGAAGCACTGGCCTCGTATCCGGCGCCGCCGCCGGTTTGGTCGAGTGCCGGCAGCCCCGGTGCACCGCGACGATGTCCAAGGCCTTCCGGGACCGCTTCGCCGGGCGCGTGCACCGGACGCGGTCCGACGGCACGTCCGTCGCGACGCTCGACAGCAACCTCCACAACCGGCGCACGCGGCCGGGCGCCGCGACGGCCCTGGCAGCCAAGGAGCGCCGCACGTCGGCGGCGGGCGCGCCGGACGTGAGCGCGAACCCGAGCTACGCGCGCCGGGCGGCCGGCGGCGGCTACGCGCGCGGCAGCGGCGGCGGCGCCGCCGTGGACCGCACGGGCCAGCGCGGCGGCTACGCGGACGACGCGCCCGAGCCGCGCCGCGAGCGGCGGCCGCCCGCGGAAGACGACGGCGACGACGACCACGCCGTCGGCGGCGGCGTCTCCTACGCCGTCCGCGGCGACGACGTCGCGCCGGAGCGGCGCCGGCCGCGGCCGGCGGACGACGACGCGCGCGACGACGGCTACGCGCGACGGCGGGGCGGCGACGCGCGAGACCGGGGCGGCTACGCGCGAGACCAGGGCGGCTACGCGAACCCGGGCTACGCGCGGTCGCCCGCCCGGGCCGCCGCGCTGTCGCCCGCGGCGTCGAGCTACACGGGCGGCTTCGACTCGCCCCAGGCCAACGTGTCGCCCAAGGACCGCTACCTGTCGCAGCGCGCGCCTCGGAGCCGCGGCAACAGCGCCAACTACCTCGCGACGCCCGACTCCCTCGACGAGCACTTCAAGGACCTCGGCGAGTGCGCGTCGCCGCCGCCGCCGCCGCCCGCGCCCGCCGAGGAGCGCCACGCGGCGCCCGGGCGGCCGCCGCGGCCCGAGCCGCGGCCCGAGCCGCTCGACGTCCCGCGCGAGCGGCCCGCGCGGCGGCGGCCGCGCCACGCGCCGCGCCGGGCGGCGCCGGAGCCGCCGCTCCTGGGCGACGAGCTCAACGAGAAGCACATCAAGCAGCCCGAGGACCAGCTCTACTTCAGCCGGAAGGCGCGGGCCGTGTCGAACTTCCAGCCCTACACGCTCGACGAGTACAAGAAGCGGAAGCCCGGCAAGTACGTCGAGTTCGGCAAGCTCCAGCCCGACCTCATGGACCCCGTGCTCGTCGAGAAGCGCCGCAAGGCCGCGGAGCTCAAGGAGTTCAGCCGCCAGCTCCAGGAGGCCAACACCGCGGCCGCGCGCGCGAAGCCGCAGAAGAAGAAGAAGCCCGAGGCGCCCAAGGAGCCGACGCGCGTCCAGCGCGCGGCGGACTACGCGCGGAACATCCCCAGGCCCAAGGTCAGGGCGCCCGCGCCGGACCCCATGGACACCGCGGCGCCGCCGACCGTCGTGCCCTACGACGACGACGAGGCGCCCGAGTTCGGCGACGAGCTCTACCAGCCCACGCGCCTCGAGAGCCTCGAGGCGAAGCACGACCAGCACCGGGCCATGGCCGCGGACATCCGCAAGCTCTACGGGTTCTGAAGGGCGGATCTTAAGCCTCGGCCGCCGTGAGCCGGTCGATCGCGTCCCGCAGCACGGCGGGCACGGGGCACCGCGCCGGCGCGGCGGCGGCGTAGTCCACGGTCACGACGACGCCCTCGCCCTTCGCGACGGGCACGTCCCAGCCCGCCTCGTCCGAGAACATCGTGTAGTCCATCGCGAAGCGGTCGTCGTCGAGGAGCTTCGCGGACACGAACGTGTGGAGCGTGTCCGGATACGTGCAGGGCCGTATGAACTTGCACGACGTGCTCGCGAGGATCGGGCCGACGGCGCGGCCGTGGATGAACCCGTCCGCGTCGAACGCGGGATCGAGCACCTTGCCGATTGCGACCATGGCTTCGAAGTATTTGATGCGCGCCGTCTCGATGTGGACGAAGTACTTGCCTACCAGCCCCAGTTCGTTTGTCGTGTTCCCAGCCAAAATCCCACGCTGGTACATGTGCAGTTATTCAAGTGTGCGTAGGCATCCATGTCGCCCCACAACAACGGCTGCGACAGGCACACGCCTCGGCCGCGCGGCGCGACCATGAATCTCTCCACGATGGAATCCATGCTGCTGAAGCGGCGGGCTGCATGTCGGGCAGCCATTGCTCTGTGGAAGGCCATCATAAGTTGTTCAAGGTGGCCAACTTGCACAGGCTGCAAATCCGCTCTTCCGAGGGGCTGCCCGATGGGGAGAGCGGCCTCGTGAGGGCCGCCTGCTAAAAACCATGCTCTCCCTCCTGGGCCTGAAGAAGAGCGAGGCCGGCGCGCGCTGGCTCGGCGACGAGCCCGGCCGGCCGTCGACGGGCAAGGAGTCCTGGCGCGTCGCCGGGGCGCGGCTCACGGCCGAGCAGCCCGGACTGATCCGGCCCGAGGAGCGCGTCGAGTGCGCGATCCGCGACGCCGAGCACGGCCTCGAGGTCCTCGTTGCCCTGGAGCAGTTCGCCGCGGGCCGCGTCGCGAGCAAGGCGCCGGCGGAGTGGTCCGCGCACGCGGCCGGCCTCGGCGCGGCGGCGGGCGCCGGCGGCTGCCGCGCGGGGCGGCGGTGGCCCCTCGGCGCCGGCGAGCAGGGCGCGCTGGCGCAGCCCTGCGCGCGCGACGGCCTCGGCCGCGGCGTCGACGCGCTCGCCGCGTACTGCGCGGCCGCGGGCGGCGACGGCGCCGGCGACGGCTACGCGTCGCTGAAGAAGCTCCTGCGCGGCGACGTCGGCGAGGCCGGCGTCGCGTTGGCCGAGAGCCACGGCCTGCTGGTCGCCGCGCGCCAGGCGGCGGCGGCGAGCGAGCAGGCCGTCGCCGCGCGGCGCGCGGCCGTCGCGAAGGCGTCCGACGGCCTCGACGCCGCGCGGCGCCACGCGGACGTCGCGCGGCGCAACGCCGTCAAGACGTCGGGCCGGGCCCAGCGCGAGTTCGCCGCCGGCGGCTCCAGCGCGCCCGCCGCGGGCACCACGGCGGACCGCGCGTCCTTCGCGGAGCGCAAGTCCGGGGAGCGCGCGCTCGAGGCCGAGGCGCGGCTCAACCACGAGCGGCGCGAGCTCCGCTGCGCGGCGGACGCGGCCATCGCCTGCATCGCCGAGCGGGAGCGCGCGGAGACCGTCGTGTCGACCGCGCTCCGGAGCCTGCGGCGGGACCTCGCGGGCCCGCGCGCGCTCGCAGCGCTGCGCGCCGCGGCGGCCGCGGAGCGGGCGAGCCTGGACGCGCGGCGCCGGCGCCTGGACGACCTCGACGCGGCGCTCGCGTTGGCCGACGGCGAGCTCTTCGACGACGAGCGCGGCGCGACGCCGGAGCGGCGCGCGGCGACGAAGGTGAGCCGCGCGCTCGCGTTGCTCCGGGACGCGGAGAAGCGGCGCGAGACGGACCCGCGGCAAAGTCCGAACTCGGCCGCGGAGGTGCTCGCGCGGGACCAGGACGTCGACGCGCGCATCTTCGCGCTCTTCCTCGACGGCGACGAGCCGCTCGAGGACGAGGCGACCGCGGACGCCGTCGAGGTCGAGGTCGGGACCCCGGCGTCCAAGGGCGGCTCGCCGCGGCGGCTCACGGCGAGCGACGTCATCGCCGAGGCCGCGGGCGCCGCGGGCTTCGAGGCGGACCACGCGCGGAGGCTCGTCGCGGGCATGTTCTTCGGCGGGGACAAGTCGCCCCCGGAGCCCGCGTCGCCCGCGGCGGCCGCCGAGGACGGGTCCCGCGCCTTCGAGCTCCGGGCGCGCGAGCTCGCGACGACCGAGGCCCCGGACGTCCTCGCGGCGAAGCTCGAGGACTTCGTGAAGCACGGCGGCGAGCGCAAGGGCGGCCTCGTCGCGCGCGGCACGGGCGGCAGCCACGGCGCGGGCGCGCGCGCGGCGGCGGTGGTTCGTGCCTTGAACCGCCAGCGGAGCCGGCGGACGGAGGCGCCGTCGCCGGAGAAGCTCGCGGCCGTCGCGGCCGTCGCGCGGACGTGCCTCGACGCGTCCTTGGCCGCGCGAGACGCGCGGTCGCCGGCGGTCTTGGGCATGCTCGCGCAGACCTTCTACCGTTTGGGCGACGACCCGGAGTCGCCGCCGGGTACGCCGGCGGACGGCGCGCCGAAGAAGCGGGACTCGCTCCGCGTCGCGGGCCGCGACGCGCGCGTCTACCTCAAGGACGCGCTCAAGGACCACGAGACCTGGCGGAGCGCGGCCTTCTGGGACCAGTCCATGGCCGAGGCGGCGCTCGACGCCGTCAACGCGACGTCGCGCGACGGCGTCACCTACGACGACCTCGTCTTCACGGCGCAGGCGCCGGACGCGGCGAAGCGCGTGCACCTCGTCGTCCACGCGCAGCTCGCGGCGTTCTGCCTGAGCATGTCGGACCTCGGCGCGGACCGCGTCGCCGTCCAGCGCTTCGCGCGAAGGACGGCGGCGCAGTACCAGCTCCCCGCCGAGGACCTCGCGTCGATTCTGGGCGCCTACGCGGACGAGCCCGACCCGGAGACGCCCGCGAGCGCGCCCGGCGGCGACGGTGCGACGCCCCCCTCCTAATTTTACATCACCAGGCGATGGCGGACGTGATGAAGGCGGCGACGGCCTTGGGGTCCCGGCCCGGGTTCTTGCCGAGCTTGCACGGGTCGGCCTTGTCGCCCGTCTTGTCGCAGCCGATCGCGTAGCGGCGCCAGTCCTCCTTGGCCTCGCAGTTGCCGTTGCGCGCGAGCTGGCAGACCTTCTTGCCCGTGGCCGCCTCCCAGGCCTCGAGGCCGTCGATGGGGTCGACGGAGACGGCGACGTCGACGTCCTCGCACTTCTTGCTCGAGCCCGCGAGCTCCAGATGCTTCTTGACGTCGATGTGGTAGTTCTGGAGGTACTGGCCCTGGCCCTGGTCGACGCGGCAGGCCCGGCAGGGCTCGCCGTCGACCGTGACCTTGAGCTCCATGTGCCAGTTCGCGTACGTCTTCGGCTTCGACCAGGCGTAGCCGGGCTCCGAGAGGCTCAGCGAGCACGACGCGTCGTTCGACGGCCGCGCGGGGAACCCCAGCACCAGCGCCCCGTCGGCGGCCGTGCCGGAGAAGGCGCGCTTCATGTCCGCGTAGGAGCACTTGCGCGTGTGGCCCCAGCAGCCGTTCGAGCCCGGCGAGTTCCGGCACTCCTTCGACGGCGCGGCGCAGGCCACGGCGACGTTGTTCGCCTCCTGGGTCGGGCGGTTCGACCACTTCGTCGGCCCGAACGCCGTGCCGTTCCGCACCCAGTCGCCGAGGTCCGGCGCCTGCGCCTTGGGCAGCGTCGACATCGCGCAGAGCGGCGGGCGCGGTCCGCAGAGCGCGGAGCCCGCGCAGGCCGCCGCGGGCGGCAGCGGCGCGGGGCCCGCGAAGGTCGACGGCGGCGCCGCCTCGCCGGACGACGCCACCTTCCCGAGGGCGTTGAGACCCCGCTGGAGCGCCTTGAGGACCGCGTACGCGACCTGGTGGCCCATCACCTCGTGGCCCAGCGCGCCCGGGTGCCAGTTGATGAAGAGCTTCGCCGGGTCCGCGAACGGTACGAGCGGGTCGTCCTCGGGGATGCCGATGTGGAGCGGCCGCGTGTGGTGGCCGTCGGGCTTGCCCTCGCCCACGGGGCAGTCGCCGACGTTGCGGCCGGAGCACTCCTTCTTGCCCGAGCGGTCGAGGCGCTTCTTCGGCGCCTTGGCCCGCAGGTGGTCGAAGGTCTTGCCGAAGGCGGAGAGCACGGCGACGCCGTGGTTCGGGCCGTAGGCCTCGTACACGGGGCCCGCGGCGAACATCTGGCCGAGCGCCTTCGTTTTCTGGCCCGCGCCGTCCGCGTCCAGATTGAGGAAAAACACGGACGGCGCGCCCGGCAGGCCCAGGGCGTTGCGCAGGAAGACCTCGACGTCGCCCGACTCGCCGCCCTTGCGCAGGCCCTCGCCCTGGAGGCCGTCGCCGAAGGACCAGTACTCCCACTCGCGCACGACGAGATCCGCGTCCTCGCCCGCGATGGGCGCCAGGCAGAGCGACGCGGGGAAGGGCTCGCGGCCGCCCACGGCCTGGTTCCGCACCTCGACGTCGATGCCCAGCGGGCCCAGCGCGCCCTTGAGCCGCCGCTCGAGCACGGCGGGCCACGCGGTCGAGCCGACGTTGTCGTGGCCCGCGGTCACGGACGACCCGAGCGCCGCGACGACGAAGCGCGCGCCCTCGCCGGAGACGGCCCGCGACGCCAGCTTCGCCTCCAGGTTCCGCGCGAGGCCCGGCGTGCTCGCGGTCACCGCGTCGAGCACCTGCTCGTCGCCCTCGTAGTACGCGAGCAGGCTCGCGATGGCCGCGGCCACGGCGCGCTGGGCGTTGCCGACGACGGCGTTGCGCTCCCCGACGTGCGTGTTCCGCACCCAGTTCGCGATGTCCTCGCCGTGGTGCTTTGCCGAAGCGGCGGCGGCGAGCGCGAGGAGCAGGGTGCGCAGCATCGTTCTCGCGGCGGCGTGACCGTGAGCGCTGGGCGGCGGCGTGTGTTTCTTGTGTTAGTGTGATTTTTGGGCGTCGCTTGGCGTTCTCGAGTGGCAGCGTTGACCGCGAGGCACGGACGGCGAGCTAGCGGGCGCCCATCGCAATCTCCACAGACTTTTTGCTGACCTCGTCGACGCCGGGCTGCGCCGTTCGCCGCGCGCGTCCCGGAGCGCGTCCCGAACCCCCCCACGAAACGCGCCTCGCTAAGCCGCGCCGCGCCGCTCGGCGACCATGTCGAAGCCCGACGACCTCGCGTTTTTGACGACGGACATGAACGACGACTACAACGAGGCGGCGACGAGCGCCCAGGCGGCGCCGCTCTTCGGCGAGGCCGAGGAGACGACGCTCGTCGGGAAGCTGGGCCTCTTCAAGGGGTCGCGGCACCCCGGCGCGGCGCTCTTCCACGTGCTCTTCAAGGCCCTGGCCGTCCTCGTCTACATGTTCTCCGGCATGTTCACGAGCAACTTCGTGCTCGTCTGCGTCGTCTGCATCCTGCTGCTCGCCTTCGACTTCTGGACCGTGAAGAACGTGAGCGGGCGGCTCATGGTCGGGCTGCGCTGGTGGAACTACGTCAAGGAGGACGGCGCCACGGAGTGGGTCTTCGAATCGGCCGACGACGCGTCGGAGATCAGCGACGTCGACCGCCGCGTCTTCTGGGGCGCGCTCTACGCGCCGGCCGTCGTCTGGTCCCTCTTCCTCCTCGTCGCCATCCTCCAGCTCAAGGTCCAGTGGCTCATCGTCATCGCCGCCGCGCTCTGCCTGTCCGGCGCGAACATCGTCGGCTACACCAAGTGCTCCAAGGAGGCGCGCCAGCGCATCGAGAACTTCGCCTCCGGCGGCGTCGCCGGGTCCCTCATCAACCAGGTCGGCATCGGCAACGTCATCTCGGGCATCGGCTCGTTGATGAGCAAGTCCTCGGGCGCCGCGACGGGGCCGCAGGCCGGCGTCGCCGCGGTCTAGGCGGCGCGGTGTAACGGGTGCGAACGTAGCTAGGTCGAGGGTGTGGTTTCCTATACGGCTCTTAAGTTGCACTACTGCTTACGCTAGAGCCAGTTCGCGCTGCGGTCCCAGCCGAAGAGTTGCGAGGCGCACGAGTATATGTGGCCTTCACCAGCCTCGTAGTAGATCTCTAATGGCCCCCGGATGCCAGTCAGGAATCCATCGTCGTCTGTCACAAGTCCACGCAATAGCGGGGACACATTTTTTTCGCCAAGTGGGACGTACTTCGGGTCGGCGTCCAACGCCACCTCGGCCCCCAACTCCAGTGCCAAATCAGGTCTGTTGACTCCCTCCGCGTTGGCGACGAGTCGCATGCATTTGCCGTCAACCTTCCTTACCAGGAATACTGAGACCGTCAGCCCTGGGAACTTTGAGCCATCGAGTTTGAAATTATGGTGTCGTAATGTGGGAACGGGAATGTCGACGTCGATGACAAAACAGTCGCTAGTTTCAGCATCGGCATCTACAGTTTTCATTTCGCTGGCGCGCGAAAATACACTCTTTCCGTGGAAGCCTTCTCTCTTTTTCATGATCACGACGACCGCGGAGTAGGCTTCGAGTCTGGGGGCCGTCGCGCGGCCGAACCACGGCCAGAGGCGGACCATGCGCAGGTACTCCCGATGCCTCGTAGGAGCGCGCGCGCCAGCCTTGCGCAGCTGCCCAGCCTCGGGGAAGCTACATCTCGTGGGCCAGTCCCACACTGTGTCCGCCGAGGCGAGCTTTTGCATAGATCGAGAGACCGACATAATAGCGACGATGTCCGCAGGATGGAGAAAATCTTCAGTCAAACACACGGTGAAGCAAGTGTGTCTCGCAGTGCGCGACAGCGGCGCGCGGCGGCGCTTTTGCTCGTCGGGCTCTCCAGCTTCTGTCAACACCAACGGCGCACGGCTGCGCTTAAGTTGATCCAGCCGCCACAACATACGCTCGGACGCTTCCGTGATGAGATCGCGGACGTCCTCCGGCGCGCTCAGCAGAGAGACGAGACGCAACCCCTCCCGGCGCCAGGCCACGAGCGCCTCTTGGGCTGCCTCCATTTGAACGCGCGACACTTGCACTTCAAGGAGAAGTCCAAGTCAAGCCTCGATAAATTTACGCCGCGGGCCGCTCCCAGGAGCTCGCGCCCGTGGCGGCGTTGTAGTAGTAGACGGAGCCGTGCGTCGCATCCTGCGCGGGGCGCGCGCGCGAAAGTGAGTGCCGCGCGGCCCGAACCCCCCCTCAAACGCGGCGGCGGTAAACGTCGGTCGCCGCGGTCATTCTGGAAAACGGCGCGTCGCAATGGCCCGGTGCGGCTCCTCCCGACGCCGGCGCGCGCCCACGTCGCGGCCCAGCCGTCCGGCAGCGGGCCCGGCGCCTTGGGCTTCTTCGGCGCCGCCTCGTCGTCGTCGGAGCTGCTCGGCAGCGGCGCGCCGACGCGGCGCTTCCGCTTCGGCGCCGGCGCCGGTGCGGGTGCGGGGGGCGGCGCCGGCGCCGGCGCCGGCGCGGGCGCGTCGAGGAGGCCCGCCATGGACCGGAGCCGGCAGACGAACAGGTCGTCGCTCAGCGCGCCCGAGTACCAGTCCGCGTAGCGCGCGAGGGCCGCCCCCAACGCGACGGCGCCGCGGAGGGCGTCGTCGTCGCAGGCGGCGCGCGCGGCGCGCATGGCGAGCGCGAGGCGCGCCGCGGGCTCCGCGACGGGCTGCACGGCGTCGCCCGTCGTCGACCTAGAGTAGAGCGTCGGAGCGGCGACCGCGAAACAAGAAACGCCGGCGTCGCGCGCGAAGGCGAGGCGCGTGCGCTGGGCGGCGTTCAAACTAAAGGCCTCGCCCGTCGAGGCGCCGTCGCTCTTCGCGTTGCGGACCTTGGCGTACGTCGCGAGCTCGGCCTCGAGGGCCTCGAGCACGGGAGCGAGCGGCGCGAGCGGCGACGGCGCCGGCTCGGGCGCCTCGGGCGGGGCCGGCGCCTCGGCCGCGGGCGTCGGGTCGTCCCAGGTCGTCTCGTTCGTCGCGCGGTTCCACCAGTACGGCGCGCCGCTCTGCGCGTCGACGTGCTTGTCCCAGGTCGCGGCGGGAGCTGGCGCGGCGTCCGAGGCGTCGTCGGCCTCCGAGTTGGCGTCGGAGTCGCTGCCGTAGTCGACGAGGCCGGCCATGGCCGCAGCCGGCGCCGGCGCCGGCGCCTTGAGGCGCCGCACGAGACGCCTGCCCATCGCGCGAGCTTGGCACCGCTGTGGCAATGAGGTCAACGAGTCAGCGAAGAGATAGCGAAGCAGCGCCGAGCACACAGACTGTGCTGGCGCCGACCACGACGCCGCCCTCGAGCTCCGTCGACGCGTGCAACCATGCGGTCAACTACGCTCCTGCTGCTCGCAACGCTGTCGCACGCGCTCGTCGCGCCGCGGACGCGCGCCGTCGCCAGCGCCGCTCGCCGATCGCCGGCGCCACTCTCCGAAGCGCCGCGCTCCGAGACGCGGCTCGCGGCGCTGCCCGACGAGGACGAGCTCTTCGGCGGCTACACGGCGAAGCAGCGGCTCCGCGAGGAGATCGACTCGCCCTTCCGCAAGGTGCGCCTCCTCTTCTTCGGCGCGTCGACGGGCTCGGCCGGCCTCGCGTTCTACTTCTCGCTCCTCAACGCTTTTAAAGCGAACGCGGGCTTCCGCGACGCGCCGCCCCTGAGCGACGCGCTCCAGTCCTGCGGCATCAACCTCGTCGCCATCGTCGCCTGCGCCGCCGTCACCTACAACGACTGGCGCGCGGGCCAGGCGAATTTGGAGCGCATCGCGCAGGGCGGTCGGCTCGCGAAGCTCGTCGTGTCGCCCGCGGCCGCGCCGGAGAAGCGCGCGCCCCTGGCGGACTACCGCCGCACGAGCCGCGTCGTCATCGCCTGCGGCGGCCGAGCCTACGTCGAGACGCTCGCGCGCCGGCTGTCCGCGGACCAGCGGCCCGACGCGAACACCTTACCGGAGGCCATCGAGTCCGTGGACATGGTCGTCGTGCCCGTGCTCCTCGAGGCGGGCGGCCTGCGCGTCGGCGACGCCGCGGCGGCCTGGCGCTCCACCGAGGCCGGCGAAAACGACCGCAACTTCGACGTCGCGCGGTCCGCGGGCGTCGTCGCGTTCCCCCGGGGGCCCGACGCGTGGGCCGACTACCTCGCGTCGGAGATCGAGACGGCGTCGTCCCAGGGCTTCGACCCCGTCGCGAAGGGCCTCACGATCATCATCAAGAAGAACGGCAGGGTGCTCCGGCGCGTCTCGGGCCTGCCGCCCTTCGACGGCCTCATCGGCACCATGGAGGTCGCCGACGGCTCCAAGTTCGGCATGCCGGGCGACGACCAGCGCGCGTCGTCGGCCACGCCGCGGTCCTAATAACACATCCCGCCGGTGGGAGTCTAGATGTGAAACGAGCCGTGCGAGCCTCGTGGCGAGTCGTGCGGCCGACAGGACGCCGCCGCGGAGGCTCCGACAGATCTCCGACGACCTTGGTCAAGTCTTGGTCAATCGTGGTAATTTTTGGCGCGCGCAGATGCAGGAGGAGGCGTTTGACGTGGTAGCGTATCGGGCGGCCGCAAGGGGGGATATCGGCGCAGTCAAGAGCGTGCTCGCAGCTGGTTTTGATGTGAATGATAGATTTGCTTCACATGACGAGAGAAATGCCGACACTATGCTCTGCTTGGCATCGGATCATGGCCACTGCGATCTTGTCAAGTTTCTCCTTGAGCGCGGCGCGGACCCAAATCTGTCTGATAATGAACAGTTCGATATTCGGCCTCTGATGATAGCGGAAAATGAGCGCGCGATCGACCTCCTCGTCGCGTCGGGCGCGGCTGTTGATTATGCACGGCGCCCACGTGACGACGAAGTCGACGGACACGAAACAGCGCTCATGTATCAAGTCACACTCCATCGAGTTGATTGTGTGCGCGCTCTGCTAAGAAACGGAGCGTCTTTCAGTCTTCGGGATGATTATGGTAAAACTGCGCTCGACATCGCACGCCAAAACTTGTCGTCGTTCCACTCCCATCGACGCCAAAGTATCGTCGACCTGCTCACGGCCGTGGAAAACGCCGGGTCGTGGAAGGCGTACGTGCGGGAGCCCGTCGTCGCGCTCCTCTCGCTGCGCTACCTGTGCCTCGCGGGCCGCGCGACGCCGCCGCCGCATCTCGCGAGATGCTTCGGCGCGCCGCCGATCCCGGCCGCCGGCGAAGCGGGAACGCGCTCGCGCCGCGCCGCGAACAATATCCCGCTTCCCGACGAGGTCTTCGAGCACATCTTGACGTTCTGGAACTTTGCGGCCCGGGGAGTCTAGAACGCGCGCGAAACATACGCATCTCGACAATAGTATCAACACCCTTAGAACAGGACGAAGAGGACGATGAGGGCGATGAGCACGGCGAAGACCTTCAGGAAGAGCGCCCGGTTGCCCCGGAGGACCTCCTGCGCCTTGAGGAGCTCCGCGTGGCCCATCTCGACCTCGCCGAGCGCGCCCTCGACGTCGTCGTCGAGGCGCTCGACGACCTCGGCCTGCTGGGCGACGAGGGACGAGAAGCGCGAGAAGACCTCGCCGAGCTTGCCGATCTCCTTCTCGATGTTGTGCGCCGTGTCGAGGCGCCGCCGCGACGTCTGCTCGAGCATCATCTGCTGCCGCTGCTGCTCCTGCTGGAGCTGGAGCCGCGACTGGGTCTCCGCCGCGGCGCCGGCGGCGGCGCCGGGCCGCCGCGCCCGGAGCCCGCTGGGCGCGAAGGAGCTCGACGGCGCGAAGGCGCCCGGCGGCGCGGCGGCCGCGGCCGGCGCGGCCGCGGCCGCGGCCGCGGGCCGCGGCGGCGCGGCCGCGGGCGGCCGCGCGGGCGCGCGCGGCTTGTAGGCCGTGGCGAAGAGGGGCGTGTCGAGCTGGACGCGCGTCGAGATCGCGGGCCCGCTGTGGGAAAATTTGTTGCGCCGCTTCTGCTGCTCTTTGAGGGCCCGCTGCCGCGCGGCCGCGCAGGCCTGGACCTCGCGGAGCCGGTCGCCGAGCCGCGACCGCAGCGTCGCCGCGATGACGCGCTCGTGGTCCCGGCGCTGGCCGCGCTTGCCGTCCGCCGCCGCGAGGATCGCCGCGATGCCCTTGTCGGCCCACGCGCAGTCGCGCTCGACGGCGGCCATCGCGCGCTCGAAGGCGTTGGCGCCGCCGTCGTGCTTGCGCTCCGCCGCGGCCCGCAGGTTCGCGAGGCGGCCGTCGATCTCCGACAGCTTCGCGGCGATGGCCGACGACTGGCGCGCCGCCAGCGACTGGTGCAGCGCCGGCGCACCGGCGCGCGGCTCGTCGGCGGCGGCGGGCGCGCCGAGCTTCTTGCGCGCGAGGCGGCAGGCGCTCTTGAACTCCAGGCCGCGGTCCGTCATCGTCGTTGCGCACGACGAGGCGCGCGCGTTGCGCTCGGCGCGCGTCGCGCACGTCGAGAGAGAGGCAACACCTGTTGACAGGCCAAAACCTCCTTCACGTTGCTGCATCGTTGCAGCGGCCACCGATGGAATCAACATAACTCCCGAGGCGGGCAGCCCTCCTCCGACATGTCGACGTCGGAGATGGCCGCGCGCATGCGGCTCCAGGCCGTGGACGTCATCAGCGACGACGACGACGAGGAGACCGCGGGCTTCGAGAGCCACGCGACGAAGGAAACCCTGACGCGCGCCCAGTACCTCGAGGACGACGTCTTCGGCCTGCGGAACTACAGCATCAACGCGCCGCCCGTGGAGCCCTTCGCGCCGGACGCCGAGGTCGAGGCGCACCAGAAGCTCTACGAGGTCTTCTGCCCCGGCAGCTGGCGCATCGACGGCGGCCGCGAGCGGCGGTCCAAGTTCCACGAGGTCGTCGTCGACGACGTCAAGAAGTACGGCAAGAGCAGCCTCTACGCCCAGGCGCGGTGCCCCTACAGCGGCGTCACGGCGCTCCACGCCTGCGCCATCAACGGGTTCCTGGGATTGCTGCGCGCGCTCGTCGAGTTCGGCGACTGCGACCCCGTCGACGTCGCGGAGCACCTCGCGCCCTACTTCGACGCGCGCATCGAGCGCGCGCGCGGCGCCGACGCGCTGTGGATGGCGAAGCGGCGGGGCCACAAGGCCTGCGTCGCCTACCTCATGTCGCTCGCCGCGGTCCAGGACAGCCTGGGCGCGGCGGCGCTCGACGCCAAGGGCCGGGAGAAGCTCGACAAGGAGGACGAGAAGCAGCGGCGCGCGCTCTTCGTCAAGAACGCGCGGGGCCTGGGCCGACGCGTCGAGGACCGGCGCGACCGCGAGCGCGTGCGGTCGCGCGAGCTCGCGGAGGGCTGCCGCGTCCGCGTCCTCGCGACGGGCGACAAGGCCACCGTGCGCTACGTGGGGCCCGTGGACTACACGCGGGGCACCATGGTGGGCGTCGAGCTCGACCACGACCGGGGCCGCAACAGCGGCGTCGTCAAGGGCAAGGAGTACTTCGAGTGCGCGCCGAAGCGCGGCCTCATGGTGAACCCGTCGGAGGTCCAGCTCGACGACGTCGACTACGCGACGATGACGCCCGTCGACAAGCTCCCGCGGAACCCGCTGCCCGTCCTCAACTACTTCCACGAGAAGTACGACGACGCCGCGGAGAAGCGCCGCCTCTCGCGGCTCTCCGTGCGCAAGTCGTCCTTCTCCGGCGCGTCCCTCGAGCGCCGCATGGTCGAGGGCGGCGCTGCGACCCTGGACAAGACCGACGAGGCCCGGGCCCAGGCCGCGGAGCTCGAACGCGCGCGCTTCCACTAAGGAGGTGTACTCGTTGCAGTACTGGTTGCGGTCGCTCTTTTCCACACAGGTTTGAATCAGGATGTTCGGCATGGCGAGGCTCGTCGCGTGCCTCGCCGTGCCCGCGCTCGCGTTGCAGAGCAACCCGCGGCGCGGCACGCCGCTGTCTCGCGCGCTGCGCAGCGCTCCGCACGGCACCCTCGGCGTGCGCTTGCCCGTCTTCGACGCGTCGCTCGTCGACGACGAAGAGCTGGTCGCCACCGCCGTCGACGCGCCGGTCGCCGCCGCCGACGCCGACGAGCTCGCCGGCGCCGTCGACGACGACGCGGTCGCGCTCTGCTCGCGCATGTTCGCGCGGTTCGCGCGGGGCCAGGAGCTGCTGCGGCGGAACCACGGCGTCCCCGTGCTGCACGGGCCGGCGACGCTCGACCGCTTCGTGCGCGACCTGAACGTGCACCACGGCGTGCCCGTCGAGGCGACGGAGATGCTCCAGCGCATGCGGAGCGGCGCGCTCATGAACAGCGCGGGCGGCACGCGCGGCGGCCGGCTCGCGATGACCGTCGCGTGCCTCAACAAGGAGCCCGCGTTCCAGGACCGCGTCAAGGAGCTCTACTTCGGCCGCGCGGACGACAGCGTCCACTTCGAGCTCTTCCCGTCGACGACCAAGTCCATCGAGGCCTTCGCGTCGCTCCTCGCGCACGAGGCGTCGCTCCGCGAGCGGCCCATCAAGCTCGTGCTGCCCGCGGACGCGCACTACTGCTGGGCCAACGTGCTCGGCAAGTACGCGGCGCACCCGTTCCTCTCCGCGATCCACGTGTCCCCGGACGACGACGCCGCGCTCGAGGCGACGCGGCTCCGCGCGGGCGACCTGGCCGTGGGCGTCTTCACGCTCGCGAACACGGTCAGCGGCGAGTCGACGGACGTGGACTGGTTCCAAAACATCATGGCCCGCTGCGCGCGCGACGGCGCTGACGCGGCGGTCTTCGTCGACGCGGCGCTGGCGGGCTGCTGCGTCGCGCGCGACGTGCTCGACCGCCGCGGCGGCGCGGACCCGGCGGCGGTCCGGAAGATCCTCGACGGCGCCCTGGGCGTCGTGCAGTCGGGCTTCAAGGACTTTGGGCTCTCGTCGATGATCTTCCTCGACGACGCGCGCTTCGAGTGCTGCGCGCGCGGCGACGGCCGCGGCGGCCTCCAGGCGGCCGTCGCGGGCGGCGCGCACGCGCTCATCACGCACGCGCCCGTGACGTCCATCCCGGAGAGCCCGTCGCTCGCCTTCCTCATCTTCGCGCGCGAGTACACGCAGTTCCGGAAGCGGTCCTTCGACGCGTGCGCGGCCGCGGTCCGCGGCGCGATCCCGGCCGACGTCGCGACGCTACGGCCGCGCTTCCCGCTCCTGATCGTCGAGTTCGCCGACGCGGACGTCTGCGCCGAGCTCACGGCCCTGCTCGAGGACACCTACTCCCTCATCACCATCGACGCGGAGCCGAACGCGCTCCGGCTCTGGCCGACGCCGACGAACCACGACGTCGCCGCGGTCATCAAGGCCCACTTCTACGACAAGGTGGAGCGCGCGTCGAACAACATCCTCCCGTTCACCGAAGATCCCTGATCCCCCTGTCCATGCCCGCGTGTTGTTTTTTGTATATTGTAATCTGTGTATCTTCGAGCGGCTGCTCCATCTTCGCGTCCTGCTCCGCCTCCGCATAACGAAAACGAAAAAAAAAAAAAAAAAAAAAAATACCCACCTAGGGCTAGTGTCCACACGATCCTACTCTTCGTTACTAGGTACCACTCCAGTTCGTAGTCCATAGACCAGTCCTAGCAGGAGGTAACCCTGTTCCGTTGCCGGCCTGAGGCAGTACCCTCGCGTTAACGCTTGGGCAAAAACTCCATCTACACGGAGTTTTCGGCCCAGCACTAAGACTCTCTTATGGGCAAACCGTAAACGTGGCATTTGATCCCAGCACTCGGAGGGAGTCGTGCATTCACTAGCCAAGGCCACCGAAGTGTGACAGGCACTCGGCACTCACGGGTGATGGTCTATAAAGCCGGGCAGCCGACTCGGGTTGGAATCCGGGCTGCCTCCGTATCAAAGGAAAGCATCCATGTTGAAGCGCGAATTACCACAACACGAGCACAACACGAGCACGAACCCCTCGAACACCGCCCGCCGCGCTCAGGAGCACGCCGTGCTCCGAGCGCCAGTCGACGTTCCGCGCGCCCGCGAACTCCTCGAACACCGCCCGCCGCGCTCAGGAGCTCCAAACACCAGTCGACGGTCCGCGCGCCCGCGGCGCGATGTTCTGCTTGAGCTGCAAGGAGGCGCCGGCGCGGCCGCCGCCGCCGCCGCGGCGCCCGCCGCCCGCGACCGCACCGCTGCGAGAAACGACGGCGCCGCCCATCGCGGCGACGACGACGCCGCCGCCGCCGCGCGAGGCCGTCGTCCTCGGCGAGGAGCCCGCGCCGCGCCGCGGGCCGTCCGGCGGCCTCTTCGTCGTCGGCTTCGCCGTCATCCTCGGCTCGCTCCACGGCGTGCTCGAGCCGCGGGAGTGGGCCGCGTTCGCCGTCGGCATGGCCGTGACGTGGGCGGCGTGCACGTGGCGGTCGGGCGAGCCTCCGCCGCGGGAGCCGACGGCGGCGGCCGTCGAGGACGTGCCCGAGGTGTCGGGCACGCGCCTGAGCGACGCGGAGCACGCGGAGGGCGCCGCGCGCGCGCGGCTCGAGCCCCTGCGGCGGGGCCTCGACGCGATCGAGGCGCTCGGCAAGGGCGAGCGGCGCGGCTGGGACAGATGGGGCGTGCGCGACGGCATCGAGGTCTGGTTCCACGTCAACGAGGCCACGGGCGTCAAGGACTCCGTCGGCGTCACGACGGTCGACGCGCCGCGCGACGCGGTGCTCGCCGCGCTCGACGAGAAGGCGCACTCGCCCGAGGCCTGGGATAAACAGTTCAAGAAGCTGACGATCCTCGAGACCTACGACGCCCGCCTCCTCGACGGCGCGGGGCGGTCGGGCCTCGAGTGCGCGCTGCGGCGCTACGAGTACCACGCGGTCTTCCCGACGAAGGCGCGCGACTCCGTCTGCGTCGTCGGCGTCGTCGCCGACGGGCCGGACCGCGCCGTGCGCTGCGTGACGTCCGTCA